TTGGAACTTGGAATCCTTTCAGATTTTACTATTTCAAAACTCAATTCCTACATATTTAACTTGATTTTCTTAAAAGATTTGATTAAACTGAATCCCTTTTAAATCTGCAAGCATTAGTTTACAACAGTGATGTAGTAAAAACCCAAGTCTAGTGGATTTAATATATTCTGTTGCTACGTCGGAGAAAGTTTTTATACTTCCCGGTCGGTTAGGGAAAGGGACACTGAATTACCCTGATAGGACCATCAAGATCTTTACCTAGTAAGGCTTATGCTTCAAATGGAACTGGAAGTTCCAGACTTTGCAACTGGACCTCGCATTGGGTTTCTTCATCCTAGCCCTTATTTGCACTCTGTCAAAATCTGGGGATATTGAAAGCTATGCCTATGTATGTCTATAGCAGTATTGGACCATTATCTTGGGATAGAGCTGTCACCTGGGAAGTCAGGGCTTTAGTTCAAACAATCTCTCTGGTCCAATATCCATTCATGTCAAGGATTTATTGACTTTCGCTCCCAATCGTCAAAGGCAATTTTTTTATATTATTCTTTTGTCTTAACTTTTTAGTTTTTACCGTAATCCACATCCCTCCTTTTCCCCTTTAGTATGTTGATACACACAAAGTTCATTGTCGTATAGATTGAACTAAGCTTTTTTGTTATTATAGTTGTGAATTTTAGAATTGAAATAGGAACCTGTAAACACTCATTGACGTTTTACTAGGATTATTCATAGTAATAGAAATTAATTTAAATCAAGTGGTCAAGCGATTCCTTGCTCCCTGATCAGGATGCTTCTTCTTCAGTTCATTCTTCTTTGATTGATTGAGTGTTCTGATCTTCCATGCATGCAGTGCTTTTAAGAGTTAGATATCCTTTTGCTTAGTCCTTGTTGCAAGGTAATGTTATGATTGGGGGCTTGTTCTTCATCCTTGATGATCAAGAAGTTCCATAGCCTCTCTATTTCATATCTCTCTGGCATCAAGGTTAAACTGCTTGTAAGTTTTTTCAATTTTTCATGTAATCTTCGTTTCTTGTTTAATTCCTAAAATATCTGGATACTGTTCAGCCTCCAAAATCAATTTTCTTTGTTCTATTGCTTCTAGACCTGATTGACTGATTCTCACCACCTTCCTTCTGAGTCCTACTGCCTTCTTTGCAAGACTGTCCCCTTATCTAAGTTTGCCAATGCTATCCTGTAACTTCCTGCCTAGAAAGGAGCTACATGGGCTCACGGCTATCCATTCATTTCTTACATTAACTTTTATTTAAGAATTCATTTGGATCGGCAATTTTTCCAAAAATAGATCGGTACGTTAATATCCTATATTAGATGATTTTGTTTGTCGTCATGGTGCATGCGTGAACGAAATATTTTCTTACTTTTTTTTTTTTTTGAACGAGTTGGTATGTGGAAATAATGACAGAAAATCCAGACAGTAAATCTACCAATCTTCTACTTTGATTTGTGAATAATCTTGTTCTGTCTATTGGGTAGTAGTTCTGTATTCTAATGTGCAATAGAATGAAAACATTTAGGAGATGTGTTTTGGGCTGATGTTATCTACCTTGAGTAATTGGAGGATTATTATGTTACTATTCATCCAAAATATTCAAGCAGGCACTGCAAAAAGATGCTGAATTGCTGCTCTCTGTCTCTAAAAGCTGATTCCCCCTCCCGAAGAAAAAGAAAATTGCACTCTAAATCCTTTTCTTGATTACAGGCATCTTGGGTGAATCTCAGATATCAAATTTACTCGTAATGTGAAAAAGAACACAAGGGAAGCGGTGACGTGGAATATACGAATGAAATTGTGACTTGTCTCCCCCGATCTAGTTTGACATGAGAATTTCCTGTCTTTGGTGCTCTTCCTAGACTTCAATCTGCACCATCCTTGTAATGATTATAAACCTTGGTCTTAAATTTTGTAAGGATTCAGGAATGTATTCTTGTTGCAGTGATTGTTGAAACTTTTCTGTTCAATTGCAATGAATGGAATTTGCATTTCATACATCATATTCATTTTCATCCTGCTTTGAATCGTAAAAAGGGACCCATTAACATCAATTAATCTGGCTCCCAAACGATGAGAACAGGCTCCAACTGACCAGATATAAGTTTTAGGACACGCATAATAAATTATAATTTTTACGAGGATCAAAAAGACTTGTACAAAAATCCTGTATCAACTAGAATGATATTCTTAACTTTAAGGATCACTGCCATGGAAATTTTCAACAAATCAAACTTTCACTGAATCTCAGGATTAAAATCAAAAGTTAAAAGGTTTTCAATGATAAGGGCGTCATCAGTATCTTCCAAACATGGTATGCTATGATCTTTCAAGTGGGAACAAAGCATCCTTAACGTCTAGGGAGTAAAGTTAGCAGAGTAGCCAAAGACAAACTCTACATTTCACCCCTACCGTCTATGATAACAGGAAGCTAAATGCATAGCAGAATTTTCCATGAGATGCCACAGTTTTTTAGTCAAAGGAGAAGCATAAACAAAGTGCTAAAAATCAGGTTCCCAAGCAATCGTTGTCAACCACAAAACCCAGAACAAAATTAACAAGAAGCTTCGCATCAGCATAATAAGGAAGATGAGTCCATGAACCTGAACAGATTAAATAAGGGAGTCATTGATGTTCAAAACTCTCCATAATGATTCACAAAAAAAATTTAAGCCTGCTTGAATTGATGCATTACAATATAAATGGGAATCTGATTTGACACAAATATGGGAGGCCATTCAGGAGTCACCCCTTGTAAGCTCATCCTTCATCACTAGCAATCAATCTGTCTTCAAAAATAAAAGAAGAAACAGACTCAAAAGGGTAGTTTTTGTTGAAGGTACATTTTAAAAGGCCATAAACACTACCAACCAGAGACTGGATCATGTTAAGACATTCAATAACAATGTCCAAAGAAAATTGCAGGTGAGGCTGTAGAACAAAGGGACCATGGACAACCAAGCAAACATTTGAGAATGAATGGCTAAAACCCATTAAGTGAGCTAAAAACTAAGAACATGAAAAAATAACCTCGATTCGAGAGGAGCAAGGGGGACAAAGAACTAAAAGATGCAAAACTTCCAAAATTTATTTTGCACATCCAACTTTGAACAGCATGGATTGCAGTAATTATATTGCACAAGGTAAACTACAATACTGTCGAACCAGGAAACAGCATACAGGAACTAAAATGCTTGACAGGCATAAAAGAGGGGTACAGCGCATAGTTCTGCAAGGAGGAATTTAATTGGGAACTAGAGACACACTCAAGTTTCCATAACATTACAATTTAACATTAAAGATAATACAAAACAATTAGCATCAAAAGTAACACACAAAAAAACAAATATCGATTCACCTCAAACTTTTAAAAGCTGCATTTTATTCGCAAATGCAATAGCAATCCAATCTGGGAGCGCTGCAGACCATTGAAGCTGGTTAATTTCAGAAGCAGCAGAGCACATGGACATTGGATCAATCCCATTTGGCCCAGCCACTGTAGGCAACTCCCAAATAAGTGCCTGTGAATCATCGCCAGCAGAACAAATATGCCTACAACTCTGAGGAGCCCAAGCAATAGCATTCACACTCGAACGATGCCTCTCCAACTCCGCAACAGGTATTGTTGGAGACCTAATATCCAAGATGACAACTTTATTACTATCCATCAATATGGTAGCCATATACCTCAAATCCTGCTTGTTCCAAGCCAATCTCAACAAGGGTGTATCAGGTCTAGGACTCTCATATATAATAGTAGAATGTTCCTTATCTCTTAAATCAAAAATCCTAACTGACCCATCAGCAGAAACTGAAGCAAAAACCCTTGCTTCACCCCAAGCAATATCATAAACTTCCTTATCATGAGCTATAAGTTGAGTTTCAACAGCACCCTTTTCAATATCCCAAATAGTACAAGTTGTATCAATACTACAAGTACCAATTCTCTTGGGTTCAATATCATTCCAATCAAAAGAAGTTAAAGGAGCACAGAACTCACTTGTCTTGCTATTGTTAAGCACAAAAACAGGCTCAACAGAAGCAGAGTCTCTAACTTCCCATAAGCGAAGATAGTCACCAGAAGAGGCTAAAAGGTCATTGGACTTGTGAATAGAGGAAGGGCTAAACATGAGCTTTGTGGGTGGGTAAGCATGCTCAAGAGAAAGATTTTGGTGGGTTTTGATAGAGAGGGTTTCAGGGTCAAAAGACAAAATGTCTATACGGTTGCTGTAGTCTTCAATGAAGCTGCCTAAGGCAATGCGTTGGTATTGGTTTGTTCGAGATGGGGTTGAAGAGATTGCCATGGCATAGAGAGGGTATGGAGATTCATAGGTTACGGTGTTTTCTGATCTTAGGAGGGATTCTTGGGTTGAGTTCTCCATCGTTCAGGCAAAAGATTGGATCTTTGGGGTTTCCCCGGGGTGTTTTGGCGTTGGGGTCAATAGGGTATTGGGTTTCTTCTGGTTTTGAAGAAGGGGAGTAGTGAATTTTCAAGGAAGGTGGGAGAAAAGGTGAAAATTCAACAGTTAAGACTTCCTCAACTGAACTCGGAGCAGACTACACAGAAGAGGGGGACCACATGGCTTTCTACCTAACAAGTTAGTTGGGTGAAGTGGTTTGGCTGCTATGCTTTGGGCCTTGTGGTTTGCAAGAGCATGGGCCTCCAAAATTTGAAGGTCATTACACAAATCTTCTAGCTTAAAGCCTCTTTTAGGGTTTAATTAGCCATGGGGTTTCCAACTTTCAAGACCATTTCACTACTTGTTCGCCATTTCATTTGTGGTTGTCATGTTGGTTACCCCAGAAAGGTGAGCTGAGTTGGCACTCAAAAGGCATCAAGAGCTGACCAACCAAGAAGCCACCAAAGGAACAAAGGGATATTATCTGATCCCAAACACAAAGCAGTCCTTACTCAAATCCAATATCAACCTCTAATTCTCCAAACCTCTCACCAATACACACAAACACCACTAAACCATAAGCCTGCCTAAACTCCTCTTCCCTTTTCTTTCTTCTTCTCGATGGACCCAATCTCAAAAACCCACTCTCTTGCCAAAACCAAACACTGCTTATTGCTTCCCACGACACAAGTACCATCATAATTCATCATTGTAATGTCACCGCCCCCTCCACTTCCACCACCACACCAAATAACACACATAAACCCCAACCACACCACCACTTTCCCCGATCTCTTCTTCACAGCACTCTCCATTCTCTTCCTCTTCTCCTCCTCTTCCTCCTCCTCCACCACTACTTCCTTTACCTTCTTCCCCAAACCCCACTTCCCAAAACTCCCTTTTCTCTCCTTCCCATCAAACCCTCGTAGATTCCTCAAAATTCCCTCCATGTCCATCTCTAGAAACACCAAAAACACCTACCATTTCCCTACCCCACAATCTCTTTCTGATTGGCTCAAACCTCGGTTACCATCGGACTCATTTGCCTCATGGGGTACCAAACCAGGCACCAAAAACATCCACAATCTTTGGCTTGAACTCTCTCAAGGTGAGACCTTTTTAGCTGACTCTACTCCGCCAATTCGCACAGTTAATGTAGTTACTGTTAAAATCATCAATAAGAATCGAACTCTGATTGAATCTCATCAAGAATTATCGGATGGCAGGGTTAGAAATAGGTGTAGACCTCTAGCAGAGAAAATGAAGCCTAATGAGTCGCTTAAAGATGCAATCTTTCGTGCGATCAACGAAGAACTTGGTTCAATTATGAAGGATGGTAATGAAGTTAGTATTAATATTGTGGATGGTTCTTATGAAGAGAAAGTTGAGGAGAGAAATTCATTGTCTTATCCGGGCTTGCCGGCACGGTATTTGTTGTATTCAGTGGATGTGGAAGTGGATGGGTTGCCTGATGGAGAGTTTTGGACCGAAGAGGATGAAGAGTATCCGGATTCGGACGAGAAGAGGATTGCTGATAAAGCTGTGTCTGTTAAGAAGCATTTTTGGAAATGGGTTAGTTCTGATTCAGTTCAATCTTGATGGATTATCAATTTCAAATATCGAATGGCAATTGGGGTTTGCTTTACATGGTATTTTTTGAACATGATGCGATAATGGTTCGTTGTCGATCATGCTGTTTTGAGACGTGTGAGATGATGAATAGCAATATTATACTTGTGTTAATTTCTTGTGAACGATTATGATTGTTAATTTTTCCGAGATTGATATTTTTATATATCAAAGATTACTTTACTCGTTTTTAGTTTATGTGACTATTTGTTATTGGCTCATGTTCTTGTTTAACTTTAATTTTGTATGCGTTGTGTATTGTTGAGATTGATAATAATGATATCATAGTAGTAATTGCTTTGCAAGCTCCATGCCTAATGTTTCAATTCAGGTATTGGCAAACCTCTAGTTATGTACCCTTCTGGTGATTATAGCTTTGCAATTATAGAATGAAGTGAAGCTCTTTGTTTTGAGTGATGATGGCAAGATTTAGGTTTGTAATTGAGCAATGGTGGCAGGGTTATGGCTGGAAAATTTTGAGTGTCAAACATTGGTTCCAAATGACCTAGAGCAGAATCCATGTAGTGCAAGGTTAGGTCTGTAGTTGCAGGCTAGCCAATTTATATAGCAAGTTTTTAGTAGCTGGAATTGCACCTTCCGGTGGTGAGAACTTTCCATCCACAAGAGTATTATGGAGTTGGATGCTTATGCTCCCATGCGAGATTTGCTGTGTCGTAATGGCTTCCAGTGTCATAGTTAAGAACTAGGCCAGCTTCCGACATGGTGTGTCTTTTTTCACCACCTACAACTGTATGAGAATTTTCATCTTCAAAGGGATTTCTGTCTACCTCTTACAGCTGACGGACACTGTAAACAAACATATGGAAAGGAACGATACATGTGTGAATGTGACTTCCCCCTGAGACTCTGTGCTTACACATTTGTTCTATAGCCGAGCCTTTAGGAAAAGGTAAAAGTTTAGTCGTTTCCAACAACAACACTGTGTTACAGGCCATCCAAATAAATGGAGTATCAGCATAAAAGCCTCTTTTTTGTTGTTTAGGTTACCCATGGGACACCAGTAGACATACCTGCATGTGTAGGTAACTTGTTGAAGGGAATGTATACTGTACACCATGGAGACTGCTGGTGATTTTGACTTGCCATTTTAGATTAAAAAAGCAGCTATTCTGTAGCTTTCTAACCGTTTTGAAAGCCAACAGAATATGGAATCGATTGAATCGAATCAGGTTAGTTCAACTAACAAAGTAGTTCTGTTTGGAAAGAATTGCTACTTGCACGTGTGCGTTAAAAACTTGACCGCAAGGTACCATGTCTGTGCCTCATCTGTTCTCTCTTTCTCTCTCTTTCTCCAGCTCAATCTGTTTCATCTCCTCTATCTCCCTCTCCGCATGGATGTCTCCCCCATATTCCTTCCCGCTCGCTCTTTCTCACTCTCACATTTTGATTGTGAGGTGATGTTGCGGAGAACCCCAAATATCAGGATATTGACATCGGAATTTCATTGCCAACTATGATGAAGTTGAATTTTTGTTTTTCAACTGCTTTTTGGTGAAGACGATCTATCTGTTTGGTGATGTTGTTTCTACTACTTCAGAATCAGGAAGGCTATATAGAGGCGATGGAGTTCGTATTATAAAAGTGGCTTATGATCCTGGATTTGTAAATATGTTGATGGGTTTGGAAGGATTTTCAACGAATAAGGAATATGAATGTTTGTTTGGGTGTCATTCCAGAGCAATTTGGACTACTTGGGATGGGAAGGTGACAAAGATGGTGACCACTTATAATCGGCAGTGAGCTTTGATGAATGCCCTTGATAGCAATGGGAAAAGGTGATCGATGTTTGGCTCTGGGGTAGGATAATTTGGTTGTACATGAGCAAAACACTTCTCTTGAATTTTAAGCTTCTCAACTTTTAATTTTGGATTTGATCTTTTGTCAATTATTTTTCCTTTGAACTTGAGACTTTTTATTAGGTTTTCATCAATTTTAACAGATAAGTATAATTCTTGAGTAATTAAAAAATATTAAAAAAAGAAATAATTTTTATAGGAAAAAAATAAATCATTCATAAGTTTTTACATGTTTTTAATTATTAGAGAAGTTAAAAGGTAAACAATGAATAAATTAAATATACTTTTACCGTTAAAATTGATGAAATCTAATAGAATAATATAATTATAAATGAAAAGTTCTTGGAGAAAAGTCTTTCAAGGGAAAGTTTGTATCCTTTAGCTTTATTTAGGTGTATGATTAACGAGTAAATAATAAACTAGTCCTTCTAGTTTTAATAAATAAATTAATTAATCCTTTTTGTTTCAAAAATTAATCATTTAGTCTTCATATTTGGAATTTATTTGTAATTTAAGATTTGTTTAGATGAGGCGAAGGTGAATTTAAAGTCAAGCCCCATCATGTAGCTCTGTTTCTTCTTCGATTCTATTAGCAAATACTATGGCATTTTTTGAGCTCAAATCCTTATCAACCCCATTTAACGCTGATGCAGTAATGCTTGTGCCACATTTAACCTGCTTAAAATGCTGTTCTTCAGCAAGTTCTCAAGGTTTTTTAGCTACTACAAACGTATACGAGGCTGAAAGTAGCTAGCTTTTGAGATCTTGAAAAGTTTGATCACTTTTGAAAATTGTGGCAATGGATGTGTCTTCTTTCCTTAAATTTTCTATTTCGTAAAAGAAATAGTGGTGGAAGTGGAACTGTCGTTGTCTGCATCCCACATTTTTTTCACCACCACATCAATTGTTGGTAACAAAATGGCTTTGACTGTTTGATAGCTAGCTTCCAGATGGCTGTGAAGTTTGGACCTTGCCAATAAAAGGTACCAAAAGGCAGAAAAATATGCCATATAAAAGGTGGTGGCACATGTATGTTCTTCCTTTGCTCCTCGGAAAGAATTTATGGTAGTATATTCCTGTCTTTATATGTAGAAGTTTGGCCTGTGGTGTAAACACATTTTAGATTTGGTTTACTATTTTACCTTTGAATTATTTTTGTTTTACATGGACAGAGGAAGTGGAGGGAGAAAATTTGGAATCTTGAATGAATTTCATTCTTCACTTGTAGCAGCATCACATGTGTTTGATCAATCTAGTATTTTCTGATCTTTTAGAGGCAGCAAATTCCTTCACCGAATTAGTATGTTCTTTTAGTATATTCATTAGCCTGCAGATCCAATTCCATAATGTGAGAGAAGAAAGTGAATTTGAGCGAAAAGATTCCAGAATTCTAATGGTCATAGGGATCCTCTAGTTGTGGCTGGAGGAAAGTGATCTCCTGAGCATGAAAGCGGAGGGATTGACGTGGAAATTTCATTCTCAGCAAAGGTAGCAAGTAAATTTCTCGCCTTTTATCTCCTTTTTCTCCCCCAGATTCTCATCTCTATCAGACTCTCTCCCTTTCTTTCTGCTCAGAGAACATTCAAAGAATCAAAGTTGAAACAAGAACCCCTGAAAATCCACTACAACCCATAAAAACCCACCTCGAAAGAATCTTTGAAAAACTGCTTTTTCACTCTCCAACCATCATCACAGCTAAGCAAAATCAAAGTTGCAATGATAAAAGATAAAGATCCACAAGCTTTCATTAACACTATCATCATAACTTCAATCTTATCATGTAATATTGTTTAATTTACAGCACTTAGGAGAAGCAAAAACATGTAGAACACGAACTTAATTAAATAGCTTAGCAAGCAGTGCTAAGTAACTTCACTAGCAGCTTAGCTTGTGCTTGGTAGATCTTACTCAGACAGTGGTGGAACATATAGCCCCCTCCCTTGAACTCAAAGGTCCTGTTGGGAGAGTGGGTCCAAGAGCCATAACAGCAAGGCAATTAACATTAATCCTGTATCGCCCAGAAACCCAAGTCCCAACCTTCCACCTGATCCTTCCATTCACCTTTAGATTCAGAACTAGTTTTCCAGCAGTCTGATCACGCCCCACTTCATAATTGAAGGATGAAGCCACAGGCAATCCAGTTCCAACCAAAGATGCTGTCAATAGATTGCTATCCTGATGTCCTTGGTAGAATGGAGGAAGGGTGGTGTCAACAGTTATCTGTTGGCTCTTGTAGGCAGCATAAACCTGTAAATCGTCGTAGTAAATGCCGACTTTTTGATTCGGGTTTTTGGAAAGTAGGGTAAGTTGGATAGAGGAGTTGAGAAGGTTGGGACCTGAGAGGCTGAGTTGGAAGATATCAGCCTCTTTGAGAGTGAACTCAGGCTTGGCAGGCCGCAGGATAAGCCAGACGATCAATATGAGTGAGAGAAGTGTGGTAAAGAATGCTGAGAAGGCAAAGAAAAGCTTTTTATAGAGCTTGTCGACGTTAAGTCCGTGCTTCGCACAGTGTTTTGGAGATTTTATGGAGATTTGAGACATTTGCAGAAGGAGGCAAAGGAGAGGAACAGGGAAGTAGAGAGGAGAAGGAGAGGAAGTTTACAAGGCTAAGGAAAGGAGAAACGTTGGGGTTAATAAAAGGGAGCACTGGGAAACACAAAGCAGCAATTATTTTGTAGTGTTATGCTTTTGACTGGTGCTTGTCCTGATTATGGGAGTTGCTAAGAGAAATTTACTTCTAAGCTTCTGGAATTCACCTTTTAAATCTATGGCTATAAATTCAATTAATATGTTAACGATGCATCTCCACCATTGAATCACTCACCTAATGCTCCCTGCTTTCCCTGAATATAACGGATCTTATGGAGTATAATGCACAGCCAAGGCCAAGGCCAAGACCAAGTTGAGGTGGGACAAGGGTACCCTTTTTCATAAAAAAAGCATTCTGACTTGTTTGGCTTTCATTGCCTTGGAAGTCAATATCATTTTTCATATATGAACTTAGAAATTCAAAAGGTGCATGCTATTTCATATTTTTTAGGGCAAGAAGCAGTTGCTTCTACGATATTCATGTGTCCCGTACCATAATAACGCTCATTTTGTCATTGTTTGATCATATTCCACTAAGGTTTGATTCATTTTACCATGTCATTTACAGGTCTACACAACCTTTAAAATCCTGGATTTTCAAAAATACACAGGATATCAGGACTCTTACAGATACTATCCCATAATCCCGATCACAAGAGCTATTTTTCTGATGAAAATCAATTAGATTAAGAAGAGAGCCATCTAGTCGAAGGCAAAAGAGAGATTATTTAATTAGCTAATAAACTATCTGCAAGAGCTATTATTTTTAGGTTCTGCTTTATTAGTGGGCAATAATCACAGAAATAGGGACATTGAAAATCTGATAGAGGTCCCAGTATCTGAGATTTGAAACCTCTATCAACAGTATTTTCACGCATTTTCTCAACAGGCTTTACTTTTTCTATGCGTGCTTTTACAAGCTAGGGAAGGATCGTATGTCCAAATCGTATGTCTAACAGGATGACAGACAAGATAGGAAACGTTGGAAACACTTTTAATTATGATAATGGTACGGAAAGGAAGGCTTTTAAAACAGGGAGACTAGATAGTGTAGTCGCCAGTAGCCTTTCTTGTGGAGATAAGTATGTAATGCAAGCGATAATGCAATGGCCATGGCCTAGTGGCTTCATTCTCCATAACTCTCTTTACTTGCTCAACTTGTGTTCTGCTTGCAAAAGGCTAAAAGCCAAGTAATTATGTTGAAAACGAAGTTTTGATTAAAATATATGCATTAAGCTGATGGTGATAATATTCTTGTTTACCTAATCACATAATGATTAATCAAGAGCCTTCAGGTTTTGTGGGGTGCCTTTTGTTTTATTGAGCTGTGCAGAGGATCGAGAAGAGTTCAAAGAAGAAAACATGGAGAATCTCTAAACTAGCTTTTGGAAAGCGGCTGCCATTACTTTTTGCTTAAGAAAAGTGTTGATATAGTGGAATGTTAGTTGAGAAACTATATAGTTTGTGTGATGTTTGATGCAATCTCAGCCGTTCGATAGTTCGTCCCGGCGTGTCCTTGCGGTTGATGTCTGCCGCGTATGCCAATCATTTGATCGGTGCATTGGTCAGGTGAGGCTTTGCACGATGGAGCCATGGGACCTCCTAATAAGGATCTCCAGAAGAATGTTTTGTGCTCGAAATTATAGACCCTACTTGCAGTGCCCACAAGGCATTAGAGGTTTGAAATCAAGGGAAAGAGTAGTTTTAGTCTTTTAGGTTCACTTTTGAAAGGCTTATGTTTTGCAGTTTTCGTGTCTTCCAATCACACGAGAAAGCTGGATGACCCCATGATCTTAGTGATTTCTGATCTGCTCTCCTTTGCTACCCATAAGTTCCTTATTTTCCTTGTTATAGGACCCAATATTATTGATTACTATCAAAAAAGAAAAAGAAAAAAAAAAAGAAAAACTTTGATAGGGTTTGCAATATATTGTTATACATATTAAACAGAATTAAAGAAAATTATTTGTTTTTATTTATGCAGTAAAATTTAGTAAAAAATGATAATAATTAAAGATTGGATTATTAAGTTTATTTTATAGGGTTTATAATAATTATATATATTAAAAAAACTTTAAAAATAATTAAAATACCGAGTTGGATGATGATACGGATGAGCCTTTCGTCTGCTTACAAATCCAATCAAGATAAAATCAAATTGATTTTTATCTGATTTATTTTAATTGTGATCAAATTAAAATAAAACTCGATATAATTGATTTGATTTTTTAAAAAAAGGGTGGAATTGTCATCATCTTGTAAAAAGAGGTGAAGTCTCCAAGAGGCAGATGGGGACAATGTTATGTTTCAATCCTGCCTCGCATTCTTTTCTAGGGTGGGGTAACAACATTGAGGAAACCATGAATCAGAAAAAGCTAAATCATACATATCCTGAAATTACAGAAGTCACATCCATGGCAGTGCCTACTGCCCCGTAAATTGAATTGTTTTCAAGCCCATGTTTTTTCCTACGTCTCGAATATGCCCCTGCTTCATCATCATCCTATTGAAATAGGTCCCATCAGCAGTCATCATCATCCTTCAAAGTGTACAGGCAGAGCCATTTGGTGCAACGAAAAAAAAGGTAGAAAAAACCTGAAATCCTGAATAGCCCCTCATGCAACTCCTCGTTTTTGAAACTTCACTCTCACCGTAACAAGTGCTTCACGAGGAGAAAGCAGAAAAGGCATCACTTGTGATCATTTGCACTGGTGACTGCCACGCTTGCCATCTGTCCAGGTAACAGGAAACAACAATGGAGTCCAGGCAACCAATCTTTATGGCCCAAATTTCAAGCATGAATTTCAACTATTTGTAAGTTTTTTCTAATAGGAAAATGACGTCACTTAAATTCTTCAACAACAAGGGCAAAACTATTGAGAACAACATGATACTGTGATCAGAGCTGTTGAAAAGAGAGATCTCTTTTTGACTTTTGCTCAATTACCATTACATTTTGCTCCAGGCGTCGGAAGCGAGTTACAAATAATAGCCATCATCTTAATGAACTCACATCATATTATACACAAACAAAAATATTGTTCAGTGCCATTAGGCATAAACATAAACCTGCTTATAGTATCTAATGTAGCTGAGACTGAACTTTTACAAAACTATTACTAGATTAATCAACAAAATACAACACCTGTAATTCAATAGTCTGACAGATACAAAGCATTCAGGAAAACGGCCAAAGAAAAGAAAAGGAAGCCGATCTTGAAAACCAGGTGCAGATGAGCTGGTTTGGTCCTACTGTATTTTCTGACACAAAGATCCCAAGTTTTTCCTAGTTCATGTACTAGATACCTACACTACACGTTCTTGAAGAAGCAGAACCTAAAAGTTAAAAATAAAGAGAAAGATGTTACTCGCAAAATGTACCAAAGAAAAACCTGTGAAATAGAAAACTACGCTGTTATATCCACAAATGACATGATGTCATGAACACCTTCAGACTCTTCGCATATTGTCCCCTCTGGACTTCGCAGAGCAGAAGGCAGATACAATCAGTTCCGGGTACTTTTAAGTCTTAAGTTATCACTGAATCCACCCTAATCGACTGTAACTCCAGTAGCCACTATCACTTGGATTGCCACTCTACTGATCACTTTCAGGAAGCGAGGGATCAATGTAGACTTGGCGAACAAATTGTCCTTTTACTCTAGGACGCTGCTCAGCAAGTTTTTTTCTGCTCTCGTACCGAACCTGCACATAAAATTCTTGTGAGAAAAAATGAACACGTATTTACTGTTCTAAGTGTATGTAAGGTAATTAATTGTGTCTCACTCTGTCCCGGAAGTCAGACAAGAAAAGAATCGATGCTAAAGACACTTTGGTGACAATGACATACCTTCTTCTCATAGCATCTCTCTTTACGCTTCAAGCGAAACTTATTTAGAGCTGCTTCTCTTTGAATAGATCGATGAGAGTTTGAATTGTGTGTGAAAACACCACCTTCATTCTTGCTCTCAGAAGCAGCCCTGACATTCGCAACTTGATCAACATTGCTGTTGCTTCCAGAAGTGCTTCCGTAGCCCATGCTGTTAAAGTGACTTGCAGCACCATTACAGAAACTGCTACTTGCACTCTGATCAGTTGCGGGAGAAATATGTCCTCTATCTTCCAAAGAATCCAATTTGTTTTCTTGCTTTTGTAGAGAACCATTGGTGGAATCATTTGCATTTTGACCAAGTTGACCATAGAGTTGTTCAGAGGTGCTCCCATAATTGGAATGTTGAAATGGGTTCGCTTTATAGGCTGGCTCTTGCTGACTAGCTGAACTTGTACTCATCATTGGTGATAAACCTGATTGTTTACAAAATATTGGAGGATAAACAGAACCATAACTGTTGCATAGATTATTGAACCTTGCATCTTTCACTGGAATTTGGACCGGAAATACTTTTTGTCCAGAAGATGAAGTTGCAAATTCAGATTCCTTGGATTGACCAGCAGTCAGAGAGATAGCACTTCTTTGAGTACTCGGTGCTAGACAAAAGGCATCAGAGTTATAGCCATTAACATTACTGAATATTTTTCTGTCATAATTGGCTCCAAATTCTTTCTGATTCCCAGTATTTGCCAGTGCTGAATGCGGAAGCTGCAAAGGCCTGTTAGTGTACCTGCAAGAACATCGTTGAATGTATTAGAAAGCAGATACTACAGACTATAAACCTTTATCTCCAGATAATTTAATTACTACTAAAACATAAATTGAATCAAGGATAAAGTAAATAGAAATAGGAATTCACCGGGTAAAGGCAGAGGGATTAGAATGCCGGAGAGTTTGTTTTTCTTCTGTAACTTGAATCTCGAACCCACTTGGTTGAGATCTTCTCAAGGAAAGATCCAAATGTGGAGAAGAACCAAAGTTGATTTTGACGTTATTGAAAGAAGAACTGTGATTAGTAGATGCTCCCATGAAATCAATGGCTTCTCTAGGATAGTTGGCAAGGGCATCGTTGTTGTCACACCCCTTAATGCCAATATTAGCATCCATTCTTCCACTTCCCAGAGAAATTTCCTTGTCCGCAGTCATTTTATTAGAATCCTTGCAGGCAGCTGCAGCTGAACCTAATTCAAGTGAACACACAAAATTTTAGTAATCCTAACAGAACTTAACATTGATGATATTGCTAGATGAAGTTGTTCAGTATTTTTACCTTCAGCTTCACTATCACGCACAAGCAATTTCTGACCCAAATTCACACGCCCTTCATGCTTCTGCATATTCATGTCAGTCAATGAAAATTTGCTCCATACCGGCTGCAAAAATTCCTGCATATTTTCCATGTGGACACCCTCAGCTCCCAAATCTGGCTTTGTACAAGAGCTCTGCAAGAGAAAGTAAACTGAGATCTCTAAATGAAGCCAAATGTAGCAAACCTAAACTGAAAGGAAATTTCTTTAAACCATGAGTGGACTCATAAATGCAGATATGTATGTCCATGGTGAGACATACGTTCGAGCTTCTAGAAATATTCAATTATCCTACGAGTAACATTCACCTAAGGGATTCAGGATTCTAGATGGACAGTGAATCCATTCGTAAGATGAGACTCATATGGCTTCTGAGTAAGTCTAGAATAAGCAATTGAAAAAAGTTAATAACTCACCTAAGAGGATAAATTGAAACAATATCAAGGATTAATTATTTATCTCCTCTTTACAGCAGTTTCATAGAACAAAATGACGATGGAGTTCTCAGTCAAAGTTTAGCTGACAAGGGGTTTCAGTTGAGATTATGACTGAAGAATGGGTTCATATCAGCCAATAACATTTCAAGCACCCATAACCTAATCTGAGTAAGTTTGATCGGGCTTGAAATTTTCCAGCTTTTTCAACAATACACTAAAAAATTCACCACAAAAACATCTGAAATTTTTTTTTTCCATTTAGTACCAAATCTCCGCATGAAGCTACTTATACAAGAAATGTATAATGGCAGTGTGATAGTTATGCTTTTATTACAGAAGTATATGAAAGAATGACGGTACATCTTTTTAGAGATGTTTCACGCTAAGCCAAGCACCAAGTAAAGTATGTGTTGTCTCATATACAAAAAGAGAACTAACCTGAGAATCACTCCCTTTCTCTGCTTGCTCTTTACTTCTCTGAATGGAAGCCATTTCACCAATTGAATGATTGCTGGCAGCATTGTTTTCAGAAGTGGCTTCAACCTTATCCTGTCCAACACTTTCTTCTTGGGCTCCAGCAAGGGACTGAGAAAAAAAGGAACTGTTTAGGGCTCGGCTAGAATGGGAGGTTAATAACTTTCAACTAACATGAAAAGAAGAGAAAATAAGATAAACATGATTAAGTGCGAAGATCACATACAGATTGTCTTCTCCATACATGCTGCCACAAGTTTATCAGTTCATTTTTCCTTATAGGCTTAACAAGATAGTCAGCAGCACCTCTCAACATGCATTTATAAACTGTACTAACTGAATCCTGAGATGACATCACTGCAAAATGACCCAAAAACATCACTGTAAGTTCCCTTATCACAGAGGTTAATTAAATCATTTATATTGATCCGGAAATTCATTCTCCCTATCATACTTATGACTGGAATGTTTTTGCAAATCTCGTGCTCCGTAATAAGTGAAAGAAGAGCATATCCAGATATTGAAGGCAAATCCACTTCAGTCAATACGAGGTCTATGTTATGTGGTCTTGCTTTTAGTATCTCCCATGCCTTTAAGCCATCAGGAACAGTGGCAACTGCTCGACAGAAAAGAAGAAAGAAAATTATATCAGTACTTCCAAAATAGAGCATGCTACAAAATGCTAACAAATATCATCTTAGCGTGTGGCCTATTTTAGTGCTGAATTTATTGCGGCATTAGCAGGTAGAAATAAAATAACTCAAAGGAAGTAACCAGTTTTTACTTCTCAAAAGCCCTACCCAGAAAGTCAGGGATTTCATAGCACTACGAAACGTGTATCAGACATGCTTCATTACATGCACAAACATTGATGAGAACATGAATGGTTTATTGAGCAGACAAATTGACAGAAACACAAGACGGTTTAAACGATAATTATCTTTCTTTTGGGTACAAGCCTAATTGAAATGACCATAACTTTTGAATCTACTTAAAGAAAGAATCTTGCAAGATATGCACGAAAAGCTTTTCTTAATCCACCATTCAATGGGTTTCTGACATGTTTTGAGCTCCAGAGTCCTGGTTTTTAGGGCAGTTTAGATTCATTCATATTTTTCAAACTTTCATTAGTTATTTTTCTATGGCCAACAAACATTTTATTACAACTTCATATTTGGGATCTTTCCCAATTTCCCGTCAAATTAAGACTAGGCTTCCTTTATGAGCATGTCTGTTATCTTTTTAGAGCTTTCCTTTGCTACCTGATGCATCAGAACTGAGTCAGAGCGCTCGTACTTTTTCAGTTTTTGCTTCCAAAAATCCAAGTTTTCGTTTCCTTTTTCCTTTTTCCTTTTATGGCTATACTTTCAACTTATCCATCAAAACCAGAATAGCTACTAGATAACAGGATCTAAAAAAATATATACACATATATTTCTCATTGTAATACAACGAAGATCTTTTTCCAATCTAAAAATAGAAATCATGTCAACCAAAACCAGCTAATGAAGAACTTAACCACAAATCATAAGCTGAACATAACACTAACGGTCCTTATCTTCAAAGATCAAGTTAAGAACAACATACACACATAAAAAGCCTGCAACTTGAGTCGCAAAACCATAACGTTACAAAACAAGAAGACTCTTCAAAAACACGCATCACAAGCAAGCATCCTCAACATGAATAGCAAAACCAACCAGAATCCAATTCTCAAATTCACAAAAACAAACAAACAATTTTTACAAATTAACAATTGAACCAAATTCAGAAACAAGACCAAACAACTTACCTTTATAACTACATTTCCGAAGAAGAGCAGCAATTATCTGTCTAGTTGAGTCATCAGCTTCAACTAACAAGACCCTTAATACCATTTTTGGTAAAAACCTCTCCCATCTCACTAATCCATTATTTACTTCTTCACCTCCTTTCTTCTTCTTCCTCCTCCTCCTTTTCACCACCCCTGTTTCACTCTCTGTTTCTTCTCTACTCTGTTTCTCCATCTCTGTTTCACTCCATGTTTTCACTTCCCATTCTTCACCACTACTAACCACTACCTCTCCCATGATGCTACAATCTCTCCTACCTCAAAGTTTCAATATTTTTTAGCTTTTCTTTTTTTTATGAATGCTTTCTCTTGGTCTTATTGTTGTCTTAAGGCAAGCACCAAACACAGAAAAATCTAAGCCCCTCCAAAAAAATTCCAATAAATATCTGAAACAATCCACCACCTCTAATATGAGGCCAAGATCCAATGGCTGTGATACAAAATTCGATAGCCACCCTACACTAATCCTAGGGTCGATAATGTGCCATCCCTATAAGCATCCAAAATATCTAGATGCCTCTAGTTCATGGGTCCCTGTTTGACACCTCAGCCACCCCATCTTTGGATTGAGTCCATATATTTTCAGTCCCCAAATAATATTTTATGGATCAAAAGTTAATTGCTCATTGGTGGTGCACATTTAAGGGTCAACAATAAAAAGCTACTTCCTTTCTCTCTTCTATTCTTTGTTTTTTTTTATTTATCTTTATTCTTTGATCAAAAAATTCAAATAATATATATATTTTTTAAAAAAATTAAACATTTACTTTGATAACTAATAATTTAAAAAATATAAATTTAATATAATATAATCATTAATTTTTTTTTCAATTTGTGTGGAAAAAAAAACAATCTTTTTATAACAGCCAGAGAGTAAGTTGGTGGTTTCTTTTACTTCACCTTAAACTGTCCTCTCCTATTCTAGATATTTGTTGATATTTTCTTAGTTGGGGGATACTTTGCATGTTGTTTGTGGGGTCTCAAAGATTTTTATTTTTTTATTATTTTTTTCCTCAGTGCTTCGAAGGGGACAATCGTCATCTTCATGGTTAGGATTTTTCCACATAGGAAGTGCATTAAGGATGGTTTAGATTTGTGGTTGTGGCTTTTGTCTTCGATGTTGTCAACTTCGAAATGACTTTTTTTTTTTTTTTTTTTTTTGTAATTGGGTTTTGCCAGCTAATCACTCCTCTAATCTCTATGGCCATCAAAGATTGTGGACTTTTATTTCCTCCTGTTGTGTTTACTTTTCATTGGACAATTGGGATAGTCATCATCTCCAATGATAAATTAAATTAATTAAGCCATTAGAATTTTCATGAATACTTTTAATTACCAAGCTATCCTATGGCTCGAATGTGTGGCCTGTGTTAAAGGTGATGTGTTGCATGGTTTGCTTACAAACCTTAAGGTTAGCGGGTGGGATAAGCTGATATGACATTTCGTGCCTACTTTTGCCTTATCCGTTATAGTATTTTCCTTTCAATAAGTCTTAAAACTACAACTTTTTTGGCAAGGCAGCACAACATGGGAGAGAAGGGTGACATCTCATGCGTATATTTATGCTAAGTTGCCTAATTTAAGAGAAGGAAAATATTAGGCTTTCTTGCAATTTGGCAATTTCACCAACCATGCGTCTTAAAACAAATTACCTAGTTTATGCAAAGTTCGAGCAACATGATTATGAGCCACTGCGAGTGGCTCCGTGTTAGGAGAACTTCTAACGGGAGTTCTTTCCAATTTCAAAAGTACACGGGACTTGAAAATCTCCATTTTAAAATCAATATGTATTTATCAAAAATAATTACAAGATAATTAATTCTTGAGTTAAAAAAGAGAGCATAATTATGGTTTAATAGTAAATTTTACTTTTATTTTATTGCGATTTGTTAACTTTATGTTTTTAGCATCAAATTTCATAATTTGGATCCTAAATAATTGGTTTTTTGATAAAATTGATTTAATTTTTTTAACTATTGTTATATTTAACGTCAATTAGATTGACCGTCGGTTAAGATGTCAAACGACATTGTTTGACATTCCATTGTTAATTATATTTTTCTAAAAATATATATTTTAAAAATATTTTTAACCCTTCTAATTTTGAACTTTTTTGAAAAACATTTTTTCTTATAAAATATAATATTTTATAAATTATATTAAAAACTATTTTATAAATATTTTTAACCCCTTAATTTTGAATTTTTAAATTTTTTTTATAAAATATTATAAATATTTTATAAAAATATATATATTTTTTATAATTTATAAAATTATGGGGGTCAACCCTTAATTATGCTCATTTTAATTTATAAAATATTTTTTAGAAGACTTGAAATTGTGTATTGTTAATTATGTTTTTTACAACATTTTTTTATAAAATATTTATAGTATTCAATGAGCATTAAAATGTTTATAATATAAATTAAAATATTTTATAAATTAAAATGAGTATAATTAAGGGTTGTCCCCCTTAATTTTATAAATTATATAAAAAAAAATTATAAAATGTTTATAATTTTTTATAATTTTTTTTTAAGTTCGAAACTAAGGGTTAAAAATTTTTATAAAATATTTTTTATATAATTTATAAAATATTATAAATATTTATAAGAAAAAAAGTTTTTAAAAAAGCTCAAGATTGAGGGTTAAAGATATTTGAATTTTTTTAAATATAATTAATCATTAAATGTCAAAACAACGACGTGTTAATATTTTAAATAATGGCCAACTTAATTTACTATTACATATAACGACAATTAGAAAAATTGAATTGATGTTGATCAAAAACCAATAATTTTGAGTTTAAATTACTCAATTTAATACTAAAAGTCTGAAATTGTCGAATCTCATTAGAATAGAGATAAATTTTACCATTAAACCCGTGATTATGTAATGTTCTTTGCACGTGTGATGGACTAATATTATCATGTGACTACTAGCAAGTCAAGATCGCAATAAGACTTAATACTATGAGGGTTTAGCCTAACCTTAATTGACAGGTTTATTGATAAAGATTTTTTGTTCCTCTTTTTAATTTTTAAAGTTTGAATTTTACAGTTGAGGAGTGCTAGCAACACTTTTTCTAGCATTCTTTTTTAAACACTTCTTCAATAAAAATATTTACGTCAAATCTTTTAACATGATTTTAAAAATAAACAAAGGATGTTTCAACATTTTAGGTAATATGAGATTGATTATAATTTAAAAACTTTATGAGAACACGAGATATCAATTATCTTCTATTTGTTATTATTTGATGTAAATATTTTTATTGAGTAAGCGTATAAAAGAGAGTGTTAGATAAAGTGTTGCTAACACTCTTCTTTTACTATTGGTACGAAAAAAAATGTCTTTTTTTAATAATATATTAGGATAATGCGAGACGTATTCTTAAAATCAAGGAGTTTTGCTTTCTCTCTTAACATTCAAAATTCAAATATTGGCTTAGCATCTAAAAGAATTTATTGCCTTAAATACAAATGTAGAGGTGTGCTTTTAATATTGTGTAGAAAAAGATTTGGTTGACGTGTAAATTGCAACTGTTAGTAGTCAATGCAAGTCTTTGTTAATTCCAACTTTGAACTGACACGTGACATGTTTCTATTGGTTTTTTTTTTTTGAAGTTGTATTTTATAGGTTTCACATGCCACATGTCAAAATTTCACTTGTTGATAACATGGCCTAGTTGACACATAAGCAACCACTTGGATTTTTTCTTTAACAATTAAGAAAATTTAATATAAAAATGAATAAACTAACTAACGAATTCAGTTCTTAATCACACAGAGTTGCTCAATGATAAAAACTTTAAATTTTGATTAAAGAGATTCAAGATTCAAATCTCACTTTTCATTGTGGCCACCATAAAATTTAATCATGCTTCTTTGATTCTAAAAACGTGAATGGTTTGAAATTTTTGATTTAAAATCAATTCATGCCTATTAAAAGTGATTGATAGATGATCAGTTTTGAATAATAATAATAAATTCAACCGATTGTTTAATTAATTCATTTTTAAAAACCCTTTTTAATTACTAGAGGAAAAATGCAGGTGGTTGCTAACGTGTCAATTAGGCCAATTTCACAAATAAATGATTTTAAGACATGGCATGTGAAATCTTCGAAAATAACCTCTTCAGAAATCAACAGGATTTCTCATCAATAGCCAAAATTTATACCAATCTATGGAACTTCATCACACAAAAGAATTTGATGGGCCTAAACCCACAAACCTTTCAGATTCCTGCCCGTTATTGGGCCCTTCTAATTCTACGTATCATTCCTTTTTTTTTTTTTTTTTTTTGGGTTTTCGTCACAAATTTTGGACAGAAGAAACTGGAGACACGTGGTCATGTATTTAAACACAAGGAAGTAAGATATGGGCAGCTACACAATGGGCCCACAAGCCCATTTCATTATAAAAAAGCGGGGACCCAACCAAACCCAATACTGAATATCCATCAGCTGACGTGTCCTTATCCATTTCTTTTGTAAGAGAAACCCCTTCAAAAAGCCAGACAACCTCAATATTTTCCTTCATTTTCCAGCATTCCAAGCAAACCTCAAAAGAAAATTTGCCAATGGCTTCTCTTGTATGCACTTTGCAAACCAGCTTTAACAACCCATGTGTCTCATTATCACCCACACCACCTAATACTTCGTTGGCTTCTTCTTTAATCATTTCTACTAAGACCCAAATCCCAAAATCATCTCTCAATTCCAGTTTTTTAGGCAAAAATGTGAGCTTTATTGAGATTAGAAGGATAGCAAAGACCCCTTTAAGCCATGCTGCTTACTCAGTCAAGATGTCATGGGATGGTCCACTTTCCTCTGTCAAATTAATCATTCAAGGCAAAAACTTGGAGGTTTTGCTTTTACATTTGCATTTCTAATTTTTGCTGTCTTTGAATTCTTTAAAGATTAAAGTTTTTATCTTTTCTGTTATTGACTATCCAAATTGTAAATTGGTTTGATATAGTTAACCGATACGGTTAAGAAACATGTGGAAGACAAAGTAGGAAAGGCAGTTGAAAAACATAGTCATCTTGTAAGGGAAGTTGATGTAAGGTTGTCGGTTAGAGGTGGAGAGTTGGGGAGAGGTCCGAGGATTAGAAGATGCGAGGTACCATTCACATTTTGAATTGAAAGTTAGATGTCTTGCTCTTTGGGTTGCTTCAAATTGGTATTGTGGGGTGTTTTTATTTGTAGGTGACTTTGTTTACAAAGAGGCATGGAGTGATCAGAGCAGAGGAAGACGCTGAGACAATCTATGCAAGTATTGATTTGGTGTCGCCAATTATCCAAAGGAAGTTGAGGAAGATTAAGGAGAAGGAGTCTGATCATGGTAGACACATGAAAGGGTTTAATAGGTTGAAGGTTAGGGAGCCAGTGCCACTTGTCGTGGAGGATGATGCAGATGAAGTTTCACAGCAAGAAGATGAGGATTATCTCGAAGAGGTTTGTCTATTTTAAATTTTTGTTTAATCAAATTAATATTGTGGTTTAGGTTGCGATTATTGTTTCTGTTTGTATTTAGTTATTATCCATTGTTTCGTATCATCAAATTTAGGTCCCATCCATTTATATGAGTTCATTGAATATTGTCATAGAATAGTTCTATTCCCCATAAAGAGCTTTATCCATTCCACTATCTGGTGACCAGTGTGGCACGTCAAATTTGCAGATAGTTACATCATACCTTGTGCCATGGCCATTGCTATATTGATTTTCTTAGCTAATCATTTATAGGTTCTGGAAAAGGATCTTGTTCCACAAAGATTTAATTTTGTTCACATAAAGGATTTCAGTCTTAATCTTTTCAAATTATGGCTTGGCACTGAAAATTCTTCCATACAGCTTGGTGCCAGTGCCCCGATATCAACAGTTGAAATTATATACACATGCATTCCTTCTATCTGTAGTATTGAGAGGTCATTTAATTGCCTACCTAGATATATCATTTTTGTCTGCCAGACTCACTGTCAAACCATTTCTCAGGTTGTTCGCACGAAGTATTTTGACATGCCACCTTTAACTGTCTCGGAAGCTATTGAGCAGCTGGAAAATGTTGATCATGATTTCTATGGTTTCAGAAATGAAGAAACTGGTATGAACTTATGCTGCTTGTTTCAATTTGTTTTTTCACTAATCCTCTGCAATCTGCTATATAGAGGCTAAGTTGCTGTGTGCTTGATTCCAGGTGAGATAAATATTGTTTACAAAAGAAAAGCTGGAGGATATGGTCTCATCATACCTAAGGGAAACGGTGAAGCTGAGAGATTAGAGCCGTTGGTGGTAGAACCAGCTAAAGAACCATTTTTGGCAGAATAACCAGGCCTACAAAGAAAATCTTCCTCTGAAATAGTGTAGAAAACCCTCGTTTTCGGTAATGTGGTATATATAATGCTGAGACATCTGAGTAAGCACGATATAGTGTTCAAGATATAGTGAATGCACACTAATGTGATGTAGTGACATGGTTGTACTGGTCATTAGTTTTTGGAAGATGAGGTTCACTGTGTTGTGTCCCAACTTTTACTGGGATGAGAAGACAAACCTTGTAGTCACCATCCAAATTTACATGTCAAGTGGAGGTTAATCAATTTGGATAAAACAGCTCACAACTCCATAATTTGCAACGAGTTAAGTTTCTAAGCCTTTGGGACGGTTATGGACTGGATATTCACATCTAGAATTTAAAGCTTCTCAGAGGGCTTGATGTGCAAGGTTTGGTAAACAGGGGATATAGCAGAGTTATGTGACAGCAAAACAAAGCTGCCTGCAAAATGAAATGGATCAGCAACCTTCAGTTTAAATAAAAATAAAGGCTGTGGCCTTTGAATGTAGACTTTTGAAGACTTACAACTAGAGTGTAGTTCCGTACTTTAGCATACACATATACAAGACATTTTCCAAATCATATCTTGGGTTTGATAAGACAAATAAGATTTCTTTTACATCACATCTGGTTGGAGAGGTTAAAAAGGCTTTTTTTCTCAATGGTAAAGTGGTAGCTAGTAACTTGAGTGACTGAGGATTAAGGAGCAATTATTACAAACCATGTTTCGAGGCTCTTATCCCATTTGTTGATGGATATTCTTCGTCCAATAGCCATCTTCTTTACTTATGCTTGATTGTGTCCTTAAGGTTGTGACCAAGAAATGAACAAGAAAACAATAGCTATCCAACTTTATGATCCATTCTCTCAATCAAGCATTCTAACTTCTGGAAAAAAAGTATACTAACATTTCCAAAGCAGCACATCTATACTGCTGAATCTCAGGTTCTTGGTCATGGCAAGAATGTCTGCGTAAGAAAGACCATCATATCTCAAGAATACCCCAATCACATTCTATGGCATAATTTACATTTACTAAAATAGAATATGGTTTTATTGTAGTTAAGCTCCTGCTACAGTGAAACTAAAATGGTATCGTTTTGAGTCTTTTAGACTCAAAATGATGCCGTTTTAAAAAAAAAATGAATTTTTTATCAATTTATCAGTATTTTACGCTTTAGTCATCTAAGTTATTATGTTATATAAAACAGTCCCTAAGTTTCATTAATATTACCAAAAGGTTCTTATCTTTTTTTTTTCGGACTGGTTTTTTCATTAATATTATTTAATCAAAATAATTTAATCAAGCTCCCATGCATAATCTGTTATACAAAGCATTACACTCCTCTTTCCATCGTTCCCTCCTAAGCATGGTAATGATGATACCGTCACTAAAGCACTAATACCAACTGTTAATTAGAATTTATCACCACCTCTATAGTAGAAGAAATTAAGTACAGCTGTAATTATTCATTTTTAAGGCCAAAAAAAAAAAAGTAGATAAATATCGAGAGAAACAACTAGGAAACTCCAAAACGTATTATACTAACATTCAACTATCTAATTCCCAACCAATTTTTAACACTTTCGAAATTTATCAAATCCTTTCCCGGAAGGATTATTCAATATTAATTCAGTTTTACGACGATATATGACACTCATCGCAACATCTTCTAACTCCCATGTCACTGGACCAAAGAAAATCCGTCTCCCAAAACCATGACCAGAAGAAAGATAGAAATCAAGAAAATAGAGAAGAAGGAGTATCTAAAGGTCGCCCACTCAAAGCGACACACTGGTCTTTTTAAGAAGGCCAAGAAGCTTTGCCAATTGTCACCCAATACCAAGATTGCCGTCATCACCTCTACACCAGGCGGCAAGCCCCTTTTCTATGGCCACCCTTCGGTGGATTCCATTGTCGACCCCTTCCTTGCCAACTACTACAGCAGGTCATGTAGTAGCGGCGGCTCTGACAATATACAGAAGTCATCATCACCAAAGAGATTAGAACGTTCTTGGTGGGATTTGTCTATTGAGGATATGAATTTAAACATGGATGAGCTTAAGCAATACAAGGCTTCTATGGAAGTTCTGAAAAACAATGTGACTGCTAAATTAGAAGACATGATCATGAGAAAAGCTCGTACTGTAGATTTTTTGAGTTCCTTTGAATCACCTTGATCTTAGTTTGGTAAATTAATTAGGGTTTCTTGTTATAGTTTTTTGTTACAAGTTATAAGATGGAAGTTATCAATTTAGTAGATTTAACAAAGAATATTACAGTTCACAGTGAAGGAGGGAAGTACATCATATTCTTACGGTTCTGAATGATGACTCCTCTTGATGCTAACAAATATCTAATCAATTTTCAACATCTCGGGATGACACAACAAGCTAGCTAAACTAACGAAGCTAATGAGGTACAATACTTAATCCTTCTGACAAGCAAGGAAACAAAGCACATTCCTAATTACTATGGCAACTATAACATCTAACAACAATCGAAAATAGCATTGAATAGAACAACTAGGTATAACAAAAAGTCACACTAAAGCGAGAAGGTCGTAAAATTCAGTGCATGCTCCGACCATTTCACCAAGATTGGAGGAATTTGCACCCATATTTCAGGTAATGTAAAACGCGCCAGTTTAAATTATTAGAAGTTTTTATTTAAAAATCAATTTATAAATAAGAGAATTATGTTTTTTAAGTAGAAAATTTATAAAAAATATTAATTAAAAAAAATTAAAATGATTTTGTTTTATCATATCTGCAGCATAGTGTAGACAATTAACCAATTATCCCTAAAATCCATGCATGGGTTTCCACCGAATTATTACATAAGCTGCGAACTCATTATACATTGTATCATGAATGTAGCAATAATTGTAGAAATGTTAAAATGGAAAATGTCTAATGTTGCTAAATCATTTCCAGTAAATTATATACAACAACCACGTACGTAGAATGAAACCTTATCAAAAGACAAACGAATTTTTTTAAAAAAAAACTATCAAATTTGATGATGCTATATACATACAAAATATTCTTCATTCAAAATGACGTGACAAACGTAATCATTTTTCGAGAAATTTTATAATATTTAAAGAGTAATTATTAGTGTAAATTATTCAATGAAAGAAATTTTATAATACTCAATATATATAGTAGTTACTCCAAGAACATACTTTTCAATAGAAATATAGAAACATAAAAAAAAAAAAAACATCCAAACCCATAAAAATGATAAGAAAATTTTCACGTTAACTTAATTTTCTCATATTAATACCCATAAAAAGTTGAGTGAACGTGAAAATTTTCTTATCATTTTTTGTGGATTTGGATGTTATTATTATTTTTTAATGTGTCTATCTCTCTCTTCAAAAGTGAATTCATGGAGTAACTACCGTATATGCCACTAATTACTTTTTGAGTATTACAAAATTTCTCATTCCATATAAAAAGATAGACACAAAGAAGAGAGAGAAATATGAGAAAGAAAATTAAAAAAAAATTGAGCCAATGTAAAAATTTTCTTATCATTTTTGTGGATCCGAATCACCAGATTTGATTTTTTTTATATGTCTATCTTTTTCTTGAAAAGTGAACCCGTAAAATAACTATTGTACTACTATATATGTATACTGATTACTCCTTACGTATTATAAAATTTCTCTCATTTTTGTACTTAACCAACCATTCAACATTTATGAAACTTATAATTCACATCTTACCATTGCCTAGATTTTATTTTTGTAGAGTATTAGTAACATTTATTTGCACACATAACAACTGAAATTACATGAATAGGTGGATATTTACAATCTTTTTCCATAAACGGAGAGTGTAAAAAAGGAATCTATGGCATTAATATGAGATTTGACAAATGCATGCATGCGTTCACGAAATGATGACAAATATATGGGTTGGCAAACTTGCTAGCTACTATAAATATTTACTAGAGCAACCAATTCTTCTCAACTTCACTGTCTCAATTGTAGAGAGAAGAATTATTCTATTCAAAGCAACTATGGCTAGGCTCTCTTTTATCCTTTCTGCTTGTCTTCTTGTTCTCGTTGCCATGGCCTTCGTCATTGGAACTTCAGAAGTAAGTTTTTTCTCTCTTTCATTGTTTATGTTTGTTATTACTTAGTAAATTCTCTTCATGCTAGAAAGATGGATTTTATAGGTTTTGTTTTTTTATCCCATAATTTATAAATATACTATTCGATGGTACTGTGTATCCTTTTAATTGGATGGAAATTGGAATCGAATTTAAATTTTATGAGACATATATGACAGGATCTTATTCTTCAACTAATTAAGTTTAATATCGTACTAACCTTTTTTATTGATTTAATTTCAACAGGCTGGCGGAGAGGGATCCCTTCGTCCTGAAGGTACAATAATATTAATTTCTGCTTTCACAATGTTTTATATTGCTCAAGCACAAGAGAAACCAGTGAAAAAACAAAAGAAGGAAAGAAAAAAATTACAATAGATCTAGGAAGTAGAAATTAATATATAGTTTGATATGTTTTGAAGAAAACGATGCTAATTTGTTTATTTATTTATTTTCTATAATATATATGCTTAATTAACTAATAGTAATGAATATTCAAAAACTAATTAATTAATTATGATTTTTCAGAATGTGCCGGTGCCTGCGATTACCGATGTTCTAAAACATCTCACAAGAAGCCATGCCTATTCTTCTGCAACTATTGCTGCAAAAAATGTTTGTGCGTTCCCTCAGGCACATATGGTCACAAGGAGGAATGTCCATGCTATAATAATTGGAAGACAAAGGAAGGCAAGCCCAAGTGCCCATGAAGTACTGGGAGAGCCAAACAAACCAAATAAATAAACAAGTTTAATTTTTTTGTTTGCCTATGTTTTGATCGATCCCATAATAAGTTTCTACACAGATATATATGATTATCCTTATAATTAAGGATATGGCTGTTTTTAATTAGAGAAATCATCTTTGTATTCAAAATCCTTTAAATTATAATTCTAATGTTATTTATTTATATTTATGAACAATTATTGCCTAATTACATTATTGAATCATATGAATGAAAAACGGAGATTGTTTACCTTTTATTTAGTCGTCTCTAAACATTTGTTAGATCTAAATTTTAAATTGTGCATTTTTCTAAAATATCTCTTATTAAAGTTTATTTTATAAAAAAAAATTGTCCAAATATATTTTTTTCAAAGTTATTTTAAGAAAATATGAACAAAAGATATCATAACAATTAATAACTTTTTTTTTCTGCGCAAAAAATAAATAAAGAAAATATTTTTCAGACAAAAGGATGAGCATGATAATTTTGAGGAACTATATATTATGACATTTTAAAGCATCAAATTTAGAATTAGGGATAAATTTTTGTTTCTCCAAAACTTTGGAGGAACGTGGATCCGTCACTCACGGGCATAAAGTATTTTGTTAACGAATTCGTTGAACGTAGCAGTCGTCAGAGGATTCTGTGAATTAGCTCCATAATAGAAATTGACGTCAGGAAGTGTAGCCCAGATGCGTTTCCATCTCACGTGTCTGGATTGCTTGTTTCAGGTCAAGCAAACAAAGAACTTCGTGAATGATAGTCTGGTAGATCACTAAATCTGTCCATTTATTCTTCCACTTTACGGTTCTTGTTTGCCATTCTAATTCGTGAATGAATGACGATGGTCAAATTACTGGGGAAAAAAAGGAGATCAATGGGTAGTGATGTTGAGATGAAGTCAAATCTGTGAGATGGACTTACTCCTGGTGTTGATGCAGCTGTATCAAACATCAACCTCCATCTGCAAGAAAGTAAGAGATCATTTCGGTTGTAGCCATGGATGTGGATTACAATGAGATATAACAGAGGATTCAATAACCCTATTTCAGATATGCATATTTAACAATATTCATATTAACAAACAATGTGTTTCAAGCTACATGTCTGCATTATGCAACTTCCAGATTGCTACCTAGCGAGTACATTGATTTCAAATATTACTGATATATAAGCAAGTGATATATTCCAGCTCTCTAAAGATATGAATATATGGCATTCCAGATTAGCGGAGTTTGTGCCAAAGTTTATGGATAGGGTTGGATGGATGCAAATAGAGGTTATTGCATCCATCCCCTCCAAAAAGAAAAATAAATAAATAAATAAAATAAAATCTGTCACTAATGTTCTCTGACCAGGTTGAATTAAGAACACGTGCAATTAATTACAAGAAATGCAAGGCAGATTAATTTTCAGCATTGTAGAGCGTCTGAACCACCAATAATAACATAAACAACGAGGATACAATCAAGTATACATCCAGCTTACGAAGAAGGTAATTGATGACATGCCAGAAAAATCGATAATAGCAATGAATCAAACAGCTGAAGACTATAATCAAAAGTCATATTATATGTAGAAATAAAAATGTGGACCAGTACGTACCTATAGGTAATTTGCATGAGAAGTGCCACCAAGTAAGTAGGTCATCACATGGGGAGGCACCAAAGATTTACCGTGGGGGGCAACTTTCAAAGACTTCAATCTTTTAAAAGGAGAAGGTTCTAGTTCTAGCAAACCAGGAAATGAACCAAGGACCTAATTATAAGAGAAACCAAAATCCCAAGTAAGGGATAATTATCAACAGCCTTTTTTTAAGGATATATATATATACAGCTCTAATATTGATAGAAATGTTACACATTAATCAAAGAATTCTTTAGCAGCAATGTAAAATGACTTTTTTTTTTTTTTTTAATTGCCGAATGCAAATAGAGGTCTTACATAGCGCACAAGCAATAAAGCAACAAATAGCAATAGCTAAGATGATGCATAAGATATGTATATATAATTACCTCAATGGTTTCAGAATGTAGCTTGACAGATTGTGCATTACCAAGCCCTTTGAAAAGATTGATCGCATCCAGATAGGCCTCTCTCTTCTTGTCTTGCTTAGCACAAACATGAATATGGGCATAGTTAAGGGAGGGAAGGTGGAGCCCGGAGAAATCCACTACATAAGAGAGTTTGTAGATGAAAGACACGAGCTTTGGTGCAAAAATCTCAATCCTAGACAGTAATCCTGCTAGATTCATATATCCAAGGCCTAAAATTTCTAGGTCAAGTAATTGGAACCCAGATATTTTCAAGACTTTTGAAGACAGAAAACTGCAAAAGCGTAGGCTTAGATTTTTCAAATTCAAACAACTGGCAAAAGGATCATCGATATCACTCGGATAAGTAAATGAACAATGGGAGAGACTCAATGAGATGAGATTTGGGAGAGCAACACCAAAAGCTTTAAGATTGAATCCAGATAATTGAAGGGTTTTCAATGATTGACATGTTAAGAATGCAGGTGGTAAAGAAAAAGATCGGATAGCAGAATGACCATAATTTATGACCATATTCTGAATATGATGGGAAACTGCATATTTTATGACCATATCCAATAGAGAATGATGGGGACTCCAAGTGGAATAGAGCTGAACCCTGTAAAGGTTGCTGTCATCACGGGTAGCTAATACTCTGCTCACGAATCTATTGAAAGTTAAAAAGTTCATGAAATCCATACAGGTACCATTGAAATTGAGTTCAGTAAGTGAAGTCCACAAAAATCTCCATCTTTTGGACAACACACATGTCTGGACTGCACATTTGAGGTCAACCAAGCATAGAATTTTATGAATTATGCTGTCGGGTAGGTCACTGAATCTGTCTACATTCTCGCTGCTGCTACCACTTCTAGCTTTCTCTGCCTCATTTGCCATTCTTCTGTTCTGTTTCTGAATGTACAACAACAGCATCCAATTTGGGCTCCTCTCTTGTCTCTATAGGCTGCGGCAAGTCAGCAATGTATCTATCAAAGGAAGCTTGGCCTGGACTGATTCTGAACCATATAAGAAAGTAACAGTGAGCCAGCATATCCTAAATTAATTACAATGAATAATATTGATTTCGTAAGAGATTCAAAGTTTTATTGTTTTAGATTCTTCTTTTTTTCTTAATAAAAAAATCTGAGCTTTTAATTTCAAACTCAAAGGTTGGAAATAGCCAACATGATTTATTCTATTATCCATAACACAAGAGGATTTCAATCCAATAAGTAATTTGTCTCTCGTTGATATTCTTCACTGTCTCTGTATCTTTATAAGCACGAAACATTCTACATGCCATTTTAATGAAAGTATTCGATTCAATCATTAAAACTCTAATAAAGAAAGCTCATAATTATTCCTCCAAAACAACTTAAATCCAATTATCCAAAATAGTTGATAAGAAGTTGCAAAATAAGAACTTATTAATCCTTCAACTGGGGACCAACCTGAAACCTGTCAATAAACATGGACACAAAATAAATACTTGCAAGACTTTCGGGCTCAAAAAGTAATCGTCAACCTCTACACCACAATGCCTGCTTTAACAGTACCAATAATCCATTTTTTCCCTATCTCTCCTTTCCAAGTTCCAAGAAGAAAAAATTCATCAATCCTCAAAAATCATCTTTTAAAATTGATTGATAAAACAAACCATAACTTCTCTCTTAACAATTTCTCACCAAATCAAACAAATAATCCCTCAAAAAAAAAAAATAATAATAATCCCATCTCAAAGCATGTATAAAAGAACATGAAAAGGAAATCCTTACCAAAACTTGATATTGATGATCAAGCTGCAGAGTGACTGAGTTCCCACTTTCTTTCGTTCTTATTTTCATTTTATCTCTCTTCTTTCTCTCTCACTTCCGCCGGCTCTGCAGTTCTTTACCTGACGTCATTATAAATGATGCACGAGTTATAAAATTTCATTTTTACCCTTCCATATTTATTCCCACCAGGATCCAAAATAGCCCACGTGTTGGGTTACTAGTCATTTCAAATTTGCAACTATTTTTCTTTTCTTCAATAAACTTTTGTTTTTTTAAATTAATTTTGTCTTAAAACTAACTGCTTAATATAATCAAAATTATGTCCCAAATAAAATTAAGCTTAGACAAAGCCTTTTGCTAAAAAATACATCAAATCATATTCAATAATTTGCGATGCAATCTAAAGGAGCGGGTGCGATGGTTAAAGATGTTCCTTGTGGATGATTAAAGTTTTAAACTCAATAATTTGGTCCCAAATTAATTGCTTCATAAAATTACGTCCTTCCTTTTGGGCATCAACGTAATTAAGATGAAGATAGGTCTCTTCGTAAACGAAGTCAGAAAATTCAAGAACATGAACAACCTTTGCGGAAACAAAAGAGCGAAACAAAATAAAAAGAAGATGAGAGGTGAATTTTTGGTCTCGGTTTTTCCTTATATTATAACAAAAAATCCTTATGAAAAGTGAAAATGGCCAAGCCCATGATAAGAGACTGGGCTTCTAAAAGAAAGGTGGGCCTAAATAAAACCCAGCTTGTGAATACAATTTCTCAATAGTCAAATAGGTAAAAAAAAATAAAAGGTACTGACCTGGGGAAATGGTCAGCAGATGAGAGAGAGAGAGAGAGCGACTGAGAGCGAGAGCAAGTTTTCTTGGGGGAAAAGAAGAGAAAGAAGGTTTAACTAGGGCTTTTCCTTTTTCCAATTTCGAACACTACCAACAACCAGAAAGAAAAAAATGTGGAGAAGAAGTAGTAATTCGTTAATAAACCACGGCGTCAGAATTTTGAACCACCACCACTCCTCCTTATCGGCTACCACCACAACCAGAACTCTCCTTACTTCCTCATCCTCTAATTCTCCCTTGTTTAACAACCCATCCTTTCACTTGGCCCAAAACAACCGCCTTTCCTCTCCTCTCTCCTCCACAATCTCCGTCCGCCTCCTCCGCACCGGCCGCGACCCCTTCAACAGGTACGTAAATACATTATTTATTACCTTTTTGGATTCATTTTGTTTGTTGGCCAGTTAATTAATTATAATAGTCAGTTATGAGATCACTCCGCCTTTGAATTGGGGGATACGGATTGTGCCGGAGAAGAAGGCTTTCGTGATAGAAAGATTTGGAAAGTATTTGAAGACACTGCCATCTGGAATTCATTTTTTGATTCCTTTTGTGGATCGAATCGCTTATGTTCACTCTTTGAAGGAAGAGGCTATTCAGATTCCTGATCAATCTGCTATTACCAGAGACAATGTCAGCATTCTCATCGATGGCGTCCTCTATGTCAAGGTTCATTTCTTCTTCTTCTTTTTTTATTTATCTATTTTGTTTGGGTCATTCAATTAAATCCCATCCAGTATTATTATTGATATTATTAATACTGAAATTGTTATCCAACAGATTGTGGACCCTAAACTTGCCTCTTATGGTGTTGAGAATCCCATCTATGCTGTTGTTCAACTTGCGCAGACCACTATGCGTAGTGAGCTAGGTAAGATTTCCCTTGACAAGACGTTTGAAGAAAGAGACACACTCAATGAAAAGATTGTGGTACGTCATCCCTACCCTTGAATCATCTTTCTATATGTATGTACTGCTTTTTTTCAAAGTAAGTTGCATTTCATTTATTTTCGTCGAAGAAAATGTTTTGATTGTTTCGATATTTGCGATTCACTAATTTTTGAAATGCCAAAGATATAAATTCTATATTGTAAGAAAAATGGGAAGCTGATACGAGAAATTGACTTGGTTAGTTCTTAGCAAAATTGAAATCATACTTTTCAATTTTTGTTTTCTTTTTTATGAATTGTAGTTGAAATTCTAACGTTGTTTTGGATTTTTAATTGAAAATCAAGCATTTTAAGAAAAAAAGGATGTTGTTGATTATGTAAAACTGTCATCATCTTTGCAGGAGTCCATTAATGTGGCCGCCAGAGACTGGGGTCTCAAATGCCTTCGTTATGAAATAAGTGAGCCAGCCGCACCAATCTAATTTGATATCTAATGTTAGGTTCCTGTTGCATCTGTTGTAAATGATTCACTGTTTCTTTAGGGGATATATCTCCTCCACGTGGAGTGAAGCAAGCTATGGAGATGCAAGCAGAAGCAGAACGTAGAAAGAGAGCTCAAATTCTTGAGTCTGAAGGTTAAATGTAGTTTAAAATTTTCAGTTTTAGCGCAGCTTAATTGAACACAACTTTAATCAAACTTTGTGGCAATTGCCTGCATGCATCTTTTTTATCCATCTGTACAGAATTGTTATGACATATTCTCATACTTAAGTCCTTTACCACCACTCATTCCCATGACATTTTTGTCCGCCTCTCTCACATCTTCACTCCTACATAACGTAACCACTTTTCTCCACTGTTGTATCTATTAATCTTTGTTGTTCATGGCTAAATCGTCATAGGCAACCGGTTTTAAAATCATTTATTCAATGTCTTGAGGCATTTTCCAATTCATTGCTTAATTTTTGTATTGGTGATTTTTAACAGGAGAGAGACAGTCCAACATTAATATTGCTGATGGTCAGAAGAGTGCTCAAATATTGTCATCACAAGGTTAGTTTTCTTGTTTGCAGTAAGAGTTCTGTTAATTACAAATGTCATTAGAGAATATTGTAACTTCTCAATTATTGTTTCAAAACACAGCACATTTGACTTCTTTAATGTTCACCATCCAATTACCATTTTTTCTTCATGAAAACTCTATTCTTTTACAGGAGAGAAACAAGCCGTCATTAACAGAGCACAAGGTTAGTTTTCTTATGTCTGTCTTTGTGCAAGAATACCTTGATGCTCCTCTAAATTTCTTTTTCTAGACCCACCAGTAGTTCTAAAATATTAGACAAGCAAACAGATTTCACGAGGCAATATTATGGCTTATCTTGCTACAGTTATCCTATAGGCAGATAATCTCATTTCCCTTTTAATCCTTATCTTTCTTATGCCCTTGTGTAGTTGTGAAATAATCCATTGATTATTATTGGGTTTCGTCGGAGATGGTTGTAACATCTCAAGTATTAGTTTGTTTCAAACCATATGATGTGAGAACATTTCTGTTATATATGACTTTGCAATGTGTTGAAGCTTTTACGTGGCAGTGCTGATACCAAGTTGCACATAAAATAGTTTGAGCTCTTAATTTTGTCCTCTGGCCTCCTTGGATTGTTTAGTATTTCATGCTGCTCTAGTATTTCATTTTCTAGTCCTATTAGCTGCTCTAAAATATTTGATAATCAACCAGACTTGATCAGGTAATATTATGGCTTATCTTTATGTAGTTCTCTTATGATAGGTTATGATAGGCAGCCAATCTCATTTCCCTTTCAATCTTATCAAATAATATTTCAGGTGAAGCTGAAGCCATCCTTGCTAAAGCACAAGCAACAGCCAAAGGAATTGCCATTGTGTCAGAGAATATTAAAAAGAGTGGGGGAATTGAGGTGAGGTTCTTTACATAGATTGTGATGCGGTTGCTTTTGATTTGAAATCTCACTTAAATGATCACATGTTTTTATACCATATATATGATTTATGATTCATGCATTTAGCATTCACAAGACAATCAATTGCGACATATCTAATGTGCATCAAGGCTCAAGTTTGCGGCATGATTTGCAGGCAGCTAGTTTGAAAATTGCTGAGCAATACGTGGGAGCTTTTGGTAACATTGCCAAAGAGGTAAGTAGATTTATTCGAATTTGCATGTGACTGTCTAGTTTGATAAGCAATTAGTTTACAAGGTTCTGATTATTTTGTTTTCTTCTTTTCCTTTTCCCCCAATCTTTTTTGTTTTTTTTTTTTTAACCCTTTCTTCAGGGGACAACAATACTGCTTCCCAGCGCTACTGGCAATCCTGCCAATATCATGGCTCAAGCTTTCACTATGTACAAGAGCCTGCTTGGTAATGTTACCAATGGTGGTCGTAGTGAATCTTCTTCTTCGGCAGAAAGCGCATCTGTTGAGCCCGTGGATTCTGCCACAACTATAGAGGACAATGCTTCCTCCCTTCAACCCAAAGCCAAGGATGGGAGTGCAAGAAATAATGGTGAACCAGCATTTTCACTTCAAAAAAGGGAAAGCTGAATAAAGTTTGTGGAATATGAAGGGAGGATAGAGTTGATTCTGCCAAAAACATCCACCAAATGAACCACTATCTGCAAGGGTGTTTTCTTTTTCTTTTTTTTTTTTTTCAGTTGTATGACTGATTACGAAAAGTCCGGATTCTAAGTTTAGTCATTCAAAGAGAGAAAAGTTGAACATAGGTCGCTGTTAGTGATTGGGGGGAATTACTCAAAACTTTCAGTTTGTTTTTTTGCCTGCTCTATTGTCATGGATTTCTTACATTTACCAGCTTGACATCAACAGAGAGTTTTGCTAACAAATTATATGGCAAGAACCATTGAGGTTATTTTGCAGACGCTAAGATGACTGTTTTATGGTAGTCATGGTGCATATTTCCTTGCTTCTATCTCTTAAGCTGGTTTATATTCATTTTGAACTAGCGAATGTGTTTAATCAATTGGAGCAAATAGCTGCCTTGGACAACCGTTTTATATACAGAATGATTCTGGATTTCCAAACTCTGTGTGTGCACAACAAATTATACCGAGGGCGTGAGGGGTTCAAAGTTCAAACTCTGCAAAATAGATGATCATTACTTGGGATCTCAAAAGATGGCTACAAATTAAATGCTTGATTAAGCAACAGAATAATTAGTAAACTGTAAAAGAAGAAGAAAAAAAACAATACAGTAACTGTGGAAGGAATACACACACACACATAGCAGCATTAACACGAAAAAGAAAATAATCAAGTTGTGTTAGAATTAATGTATGTGTATTGAATCCTGTTATATGCATACACAGGAAAAGAAAGCTGTGTCTCTCAGATTTCATACATGGAGCAGCAGGTTCAGATATACAAAAAGAAGCAGAATGAGAAGACAGAGAATAGGAATCAAAAGAAGCCAAAAAAGATGGAGAAACCAAGAACAATGAGCCAAACAATATGAACAAGGAGCAGAGCCTGAGCAGCAGCCCCATTATTCCCAACCTCACAGAAACCCTTTCTGGCCACCTTGGTCCCAGCGCACCGAGCATCATCGCATCCACACCAGTAAGTCACGCCGTCCACGCCACAAACTGGGTCTGGCCGAAAGCACTTGACGGGGCAGGAGGAGGCAGGGGGTCTTCTGCTCCATTCTCCACAGACATCATAACCAAGATCATCACCATCGTTGTTGTTCTGTTGGGTGGGTAATCGGATTGGATTGGAATCTGACCGAACGGTGGGGATAGAGCAGAAGGCAATGGCGGTGACGAGGAGGATATGTATGAACAATGTGGATGGCATCATCTTTGGGAACGGAAGCTGCTGATAAATCATGGAAATTCAAATTCCAATTCCGTCCCCAAAGACGAGATCATGGAAAATGAAAACAAAAGGAGATTCTGATTCTGACTGTAATTAGAGAAATGGATTGCTAATTACAGAACGAAGAAAGGCATATATACCTATGTTGTTGTTGTTGTTTTTTTTATGTTTGGTAATGTAATCTTAGCTGGAGGAGGATGCCCTATCTATTGTCCTGCACCATCTTATCATAGGTGCCTTCCTTTTTTCTTTCAGTTTGTTCGCCAGCTTTTTTATGTCGGCTCTCATATGCTTTTCTTGCTTCCTAATACAAAGGCACACGACAAGACCCTTAACCCTTTACATGAAAAAGTAAAAAGAAATTTTGAATTACTACTATATATGTTTATGCTTAGTATTGTTTAGAGGAGTAGAATAGAAAGATGGTGATAGGAAAATGATGGAATATCTTTTTCAATTATCATATGATTATACTAATGATTTAAAACTAAAACGCTTTGCTCGATGATTGCCATCATGTTGCTGCCATATGCTTATTATTAATCTTTCTGCTATTTTGGTTACAAACTATGCATCACAAATACCAATAGGCTTTTAGCTTGAGTCTGAAAAAAACCTTATTATAAGAGGAATAATTAAATGAGCTGTAGGGTACATATTTATTGGGAAAAAGAAAATTACGATTTTAGGACTATCTGACCGTTACAATCAATTAGTACCACCTTCATACCGGCTGTGAGAAAAGCTATCTCATTCATTATGATTTTATGACCTCATCACTCAGAGGTGTCAGAGCTAGCCTGTGCTTCAAATCATTGAAGATAAGAGAGTGGAATTTATCCCCCAAAAAAAAAAAAAAAAAAAATATATATATATATATATATATATATATATATATATTTCAGACATTTTGTTTTTATCTCAAATGCATTTTATATTACACATATATATCCAACTGAAACTCAAATTTTGGTTAAAAACTTATCTCCGAGTTTCTCTCTCTAGCTTTATTTATTTATGTTATGCATGTGTTGGGGCTGCTCTTCTTTGTTTTTCCCTTCAATTTGTTCCCTATCTTCTTTCTATCCTATTCGTACCTCATTCCATTCTTTGATAACTAAAATCCTCAAGGTAATAACCATACAAACTGCCAGTTCCGGATGCAAGTTTTTCCCGTTAATTCTGGTTGTTGCCGTAGCTCGAATGCAATGGCCAAGCCGAATCAAGTCCATTTTCGTGTCTTAAGTGATTTCTTCCATCACTTGAGTAAACCACTTGATTTGAGAAAGCTAAAGTGAGAAAATAGTCTCTAAATATAATCAAGGGCGTATATTATGTCACAAAAAAAACCAGAGTTATGAGGACCGGAGTAAGCCGGAGAAGGACACCTGGAGCCATCGAAATCCAACAGTTTTTAACTGTAAAAACTAGCTGTCTGTCTCCAACATGAAACTCGCCAAACAGAGGCATGCTGTCCATAGGAAAAGGTCATGCAGCAGGTTTGCCAAAAACAAATTTGTCCCAAATATAGAAAGCTGAACCAGCTATATTATGTACCTCATCACGACGGAATTGATACCTCAACCTCAAATCGTCATCTTGGGAACCGATAGCCATTCGCATTTGTGATTTTAATCTCTCTCTGCCTCCTCAGATTCCCGCATCATCCCACAAGTCAAAAACATCATGGGAGGCTGTGCGGGTAAATTCAAGGGCTCTGATGATTTGCCCCCAGAGCCCCTCCCAAGTGACGCTCCTGTCAACCCTGACCAGGCTGAGGGCGAGACCGTTGCTAAGGTATGTTAATTACCTTACCTTAGTTTTATCTTCTTTTCTTGTGTTAATGATCTCTTATTGTGAATGCAATGCATGTGTGAGTCTTGTAATCCACGCTATGTGAATTAATGCAGGAGAAGGAGGTAGGTGAGACCAAGACTGAAGCACCTTTGGTAGATGTCTCGGAGCAAAAACAGGAGGGTGAGAAACCCGCTGAGCCAGAGACTCCTGCTGCTGCTGAGGCTGAGAAGAAAGACGAAACCCCAGCTGCCAAAGCAGAGGACAAGGTTGAGGCCGCTGCTGCACCTGAGAAGAAAGAGGAAACCCCTGCCGCCAAGGAGACTGAGAAGAAGGAATCAGATGTTGCTCCTACCAAAGAAGCAAACACAGAGGCTCCTCTTGTTACCGTCTGACCTGAACTGAAATAAATTGTATTGGCAGACAAATATAAACCAGATAATCAGATGTGGCAGAAAGTCCAATTGTTAATGTAAGATTGTTGGTTTTTTACATCTTGTGTTGTCCATTCTTGTGTGACAGAGTCATCAACACTTTGACTAATTTCTCCTTTAAACTACATCGTTTCATTTTGTGCCTGTAAGAAACAACTGCTATACTGATGAACTGAACACATCATTGTAATGAAATAGGGAAAATAAATTTACATCATCAACCCTTCCAAAAGAAAAGTTTCTTTCTTTCGTTTCTTTTCTTTTTCTCTTTTCTGAGTTTGTAGATATATTATGCTGCTACATTTATTTAACAGCATATGATGGATCACACCTGATTAGTTCAAAATCAAGAACCGTAAATTGCTTGCATTAATTTCCAAGATAATTTTAAAAAATGATGTTACAAGCTAGCACGAAAATTCTTCTTGCTCTGCGAAACCTGAATTTTCATTTGCTCAAAATTAGAGAAGATTTCATTGGTTTTGAATTGCCAGCTCTTATAAACCTAAAGGCAAATAAAATACAGCCTTTAACGATTCTTGAATTTCACATCAATGCTATTCGCGGCTACAGTTTTATCCTGAAGGATTTAGCCTGCTTCCCCTTAAGCAGAATGCTTTAGATTTTCGCCTAGGTGTTGTTACAAATGTCAGAGAAATTATTGTTTTTTTAGAAACTTCAAGGATTTCCTTCCCACTTCAATATAATTTCCTGAATCAGAACGCTTTTCACTGAGATTTATTACTCGCAACATTCAACCAGAGGTGCATGCCACCTCCCTTGTCTTCATCCACCAGGTTATTTATAACTAGTTCCTTTCAATAGAATTGCTCGGCATTCAGCAAGTTAGTACAATAAGCATCTTAGAGTTACTTATTTCAAAGGACTGATCTGATACTGTAATGGTAATAATAATCAGAATACAGGAAAACTGACGTACCAACCAATGGTTACAGCAGTAAAGATATAACAATCAATGGGAGATAACTGCCAGACATGTAGAGCAAAATGACTCGATTCCTTGGTATAAACTTGCTGGATATTGCAACTAGTCCGAAGATTAAGGTAGGAAACTCGTTTTTTCCTTCGACAACTGGATTTGACAAATTTTAGCCTTAGTCGTTCGTCCAGCCTTGTTTTTGCCTCCCAAAAGTAAAATATAGCAAAAGATGGAAATACACGCTTCCTTCCTTTTGATCGTTCGTTTCATCTTTGATAGTCAAATCTGTTTCTGCAGCACTAGTGATATTTTGAGGCCAGAAATGCTAATTTGATAGGCCAAGTGATCAGAACAATCATCTTTACCAAATCCAAACCTATCATGCTAAATCCTGATCTAATGACCTTCTCAAGGTGGTCCCATTTGAAGTTGCGTCCAGACAAACAGTAGCATCCAATTCAGGGGTAATGCAGAAAGTCACAAATATTATAAAAACTTGGGAAACAGCTATAAATACTAGTTGCTTTATACTAAATCCAAGAACTAAAATCATCCAGGGAAATTGACCTTTGATAAGAATGTTTCTGCATAACGTTGTAGAAGACAGTGAATGCCAAAGTCACCAAAATTTGAAGACATCAGGATTCTATTTTGTTAGAAATAAGCCAGTTTTCAAGCAGAGAGCAATTTTCATGCCAGACAAAGAAAACAGATTCTTTCCCCTTCTTGATTGGACAATTCCAGCTACAACAATTATGTTCCGTGTATTAAGAACAACGAAAAAACAGTAATTAACTTTAACAATCGAAGAAAAAGGCAACTAAGACATACTGCACAAGACATGAAATTTTGGATTACCCTTAAATACTCTAATAGTGGACATGGACTAAGATTAAACTGGTTTGCTATTGTTATCCATAGATGCAGGGTTAACAGATGCCTCTTCATCCTGCTTATCGTCCTTGACAGCAAGCATGACTAGGATGGCAAGCAATGGATAACTCACTGTAGTGAGTGACCAATTCACAATCAACTGGTTAAGCAATGGAACTTCGTGTGAATCAACTTGCCAAGCAACTGCAGCCCCTGCACTTTGCACTCCCTTGTAGAATCCAACATATCTGCAATTACATTCAAATGACATGGTTTAGTGTCAGAACAAAAAGTATATGATCAATAAGACACACAAACCCTTCAATTACTTTTCACCTAGTTCTTGTTTCTCACGGAACATAAATTACCTGCTAAGAATCTCAGAGTCATCAGCCAAGGCCCCGATCACCCAGTAGACCATGCTTTGGAACATGGCATCTAGCAGCCCATAACCGAAATACAAAACGAAAGGCCCCGCGAAAGCAGAACCAGAGTCCTTGAAATCCAACTTGGGTGGTGAATCATTGTGGCTATATCCTAGCTGCTTTGCAAGTCCACCTGCCCAGATAGCAGTCCCAAGCACAGAAACAATCCCAATGCCAACAAAACCCCTCTTCCTCCTACTCTGGAAGCTGAAATCCAATATATATCCAATCCCTACAGAACCCACCATCTGTGCCCCCCAATAGAACACATTGTTCAATCCCCTTGTCCTCAAATTAAAGAGTGCCCCATTCACATTATTGAACTGGTAACTGTAAAAAAAGTTGCTGGCCCAAGCAGCAGGAGCAATGAGAAGCATTTTCCAATTGAAGAACAACTTGCTAATCTCCACAATCTCCGTAGAAACCTTGGAGTACTTAATGTTTGTGCAACGTGTGCCATCATTTCGAACCACTTTGCCCGGCGGCAAAATGGCCAAAGAAAGAAGAGTCCCCAAAGTCATGAAACACATGAATCCAATATAAGTCCCATCATTGACAGAAGCAGCCTCGCTCCGGTTGTAATTAAGAATGAAAGGAATCAGGCCACCAATGACCCCTCCCATGTTGAATATGCTCCAAAACAGAGAGATATAAGTCCCCTTTCGATGCGGGGGCGGATAAGAGGTCATGATTGCCCCTTCTCCAGCCCATAAGAAACCAGCACCAATGCCAAGAATAGCACCAGCAACGATAGCAAAAGCCTGATGCTTTTCGTGATTGTAATAAAGAAAAGATCCTGCATACAACACATAAGTGCTGCAACCGGCAGCTAAGGTCAGGCGAGGACCAAGAATGTTGTAAATTCCACCACCGAGAACGCCAAAGATGGCAAAGGTGGTGTAGAGGGCGGTGTTGGCATTGTTGGCAGCAGTGGGATCCACCTGACCACCACCTCCCATACCAGAGAGGGCGTTGAACATACCAGGACAACAGAAACAGACGAGTCCTATGAGGGTAACCTGGACCAACGGGGAGTTGTACCTGAATCTTGATGTGGTTGACACTTGGTTAGCAGCTGATTCCTCATCTCCTTCGAAACCCATGTCGGGCCAGGATGGTGTTGATTGTTTGTTTCTTGGTTTTGGAAAGAGAATGAAAGGTGTTGGGATTTCGGGATCTGTGATGGAGATGGAAGATTTGAGATGAGGATGAGGAAAGAGGTGGTGAATTTAAGGACAGCCGAAAAGGGGTAACGGGTTTTTAGCCCTTGCAGTTTTTTTAGCAAGACAGAGACAATAGACTGATGAGGAACGACGATGATGTCAGATTCCTCACAGAATCTGCAGGCGTTCCATTACAACCCAATTCCCTTAAAAAGACATTTTTGTTGTTGTCATTTCACCGAATATGACTTACCTTGTAATTATAGAATCTTACCATCCATTTTCATTAGATGGATATATAATTGATTTAAACATATCTCCTTATTGAAAATAAGAAAAGGAAATTAATTGATTGATTGTGAGTACAAATAAAAATCTCATCCAGCCCTCGGTAATTGGGTCCATATGATTGATTATTTCAATGCTTTTGCCTAGAAATAGGAATGGAGGATACAAGCATCCAACCCACAAGAGCATTTAATTTCATTAAATATAAGATAGAGAATCTGCAGCCTACATCTACTGCTTCTTTTTACATCAAATTTACAACTACTTGCCATTACAATTACAACTGCTTATAATTATAGTGTGTGATGGACTTTCATTTTGGCTTATTTGGCTTTAATTTATAATCAAAAAACACAGATACTTTCTTTTTTTTTTTAAAAAAAAAAAAGGAAATGTTATATAATATCTACATAATTAATTAAAAGCCGGCCCCGCCGGCTGAGTTTTGTACTCTCCTCCGATGTTACACATGAGATGACATCACTGCTTGCCTTGTGGTTGTGGAGAAGTGGGAGAGAGGCACATGCCGTGTGAGCGTATCCTATTGAAGGCAGTGACGTGCTTGAAAATTCTAATTTGTCTCTATCTATCTAATTTTCTTACTTTTTAGACTAATTACCATGGCAATTTCAATTTTGGCCAGAAAAACCACTACCTTTGTTCGTAAAAGTCAACGTAAAAACTGCATTATGTCTCTTTCCTCTCGCCCTTGGAATAGGATTGGGGATAGGATAAGACAAAAAAAAAAAAAAAAACAGAGACCTTATCTTGGTACTACATTAATCTTGGAATCTTGGTCAAGTTTTTTGAGAGACGGATACGACAAAAGGCAAGATGCAAAGGGACATGGACAAATTAATTCATGCTGACATTCAAACCCCGAACCTTAATTCAAAAAAAAAAAAAAAAAAAAAGTGAACAGTATTGAAATATTATAGAGTATTGATATAATCACCGAACCTTACCTTTCTAAGAAACAGGGGGTATCTCTTAGCATCTGCATCTAGGAGAAAGCAGACTAATAAAGTCAAAAACAGAGGCATCAATTGCTGATTAATCTCTCAGAATTGAACACTTTTTGGAACTCCATGGCATTCAAATGATTACAAGATAAGTGAAAGAGAAGCATGTTAAATTCATTAGATTCTTTTTCTTTTAAATCAAAAATTCATTAGATATCACCAACGCATTAATCATTCATTTAATTAATTAGGGATATTTAATACATGCACAAATAAATGGGCCTAAAAGTCGATACATCAAAGCCCAATAAAACCTATTCTAGCGAATAGCAGGGCTTGTTTGTGTTTTAGAAATATTTATAATGAGTGTACGTATATTAATATACTTACTCTTCTTTTTCGCGCTCTAAATTTTAGCCGAAAAGGAAAAGAAGAAGAAATTTGGGCCTCACCTTCAGAGTCACAGACGAACCAGTGGTCGCAGATATTGCAAAAGAGTGAAGACTGTCTTCTCACTCGTGATCGATAGGGAGGCCGTAGTGCGTTGGTGAAGAGAATGATCTCCGCCGCCTCCTCTGGTGGTGCGGTATTTGGCAGCAACTGTATAACATTAATTACTACTCCTACTAGATTATATTTATGTGATAGCGCTGCTGCTGTTTCTGCTGCTGCTTTTCCACTCAATATTAGTATCACTAGTAGAAGTCATAGAAGAATTAGATTGCAGAATTACTTTTATAATAATAATAATAATAATTTTTCCTCCTCCTCTTCCACCTCCTCGTTTCCCTTAACTTTAACACAACCAGACGACAATCAGCAGCAGAGTAAGAAGAAATACGATAATGACGCTCACTATTCCAGTCTACGAATATTGGAATGGGATAAGCTCTGCGATTTGGTTGCATCCTTTGCTACTACTTCCTTAGGCCGTGAAGCCGCTAAGGCGCAGTTATGGTCCCTCAACCAGACCTACCAACACAGTTTGAACCTTTTGAAAGAGACCAATGCCGCCGTCCAAATGCACAACCATGGCGCTTGCAGCCTGGACTTCTCCACCATTAACCTCCTCCTAGTTACTCACCTCTTTCCTTTCTTGTTTCTCTTGTGTTTATGAATTTTGAATTGCTCTTCAAGTGTTTGATTTTTTGTTCGTTTGACAAAAAAATGTACATAATTAGGTCAAATCTGGTATCCGAAATGCTAGAAGGGGGTTTCCCATCAATGCAAATGAAGCAGTGGCTGTTGCTGCTATGCTTGAGTCTGCCTACTTTTTGCAGCTTAATCTCAAAGCTGCAATCAAGGAAGATGCTGATTGGTACAATCGTTTTATGCCTCTTTCACAAATGGTTGGTACTTGGCAAGCACAGGAATTAACTCGAAGCTCTAAATAAAAGTTCCCTTAGTTTAATTTCATGGAGATATATTATTTCTAATTACTTCTTATCCTCTCGCAGATAATGGAAATGGTTATCAATAGATCATTAGTTAGGGACATACAACAAGTTATAGATGAAGATGGTTCTGTTAAAGACTCTGCGGTATGTTTATTCCTTATTTTATATGGTTTGCTTTCACTTTCTCTTGCTGTTTTATATCTCAATTTTGTCTGTCCTTGTGTCTCAGAGTTCTGCTTTGAAACGAGCGCGTGATCAAGCTCGGCTACTTGAGAAAAAGGTTTAAAAAAAAAATCTATTTTTGCCTTTTCTTTTTTCATAATTGAATTCGTGCTCTTCCTTGGAGACTTACCAGCATCATTTAGTAGAAACTTCGGGTTGCTTATGCCACCAATTTATGATATAAGAGTTATTAATCAACCAATCTGACTTGCTAAACACCATTTACTAAAGGTAGACTACTTTTGGGTTTCTTGTAAGAAGCGAATATGGGCGAGGTTCTGTTGTGGAACCTCAAATATTGGATGCAAGCTCTATTTACTAATAATATTCCCCCTTTTCAAATTAGGCCTTCTAATGGATTTCTTCTGCTTTTGTGGTCCTTTGCGTGGCCTGTAACATCTGCTGTAGGGTAGGGATGTCCTCCTTCAATCAGGCATATCAGCCTTTGCTTGGGCCTAAAGATCTACCAGGGGTTTTTGTGGCCTTTAGTTAGGGTGTTGATTTCTGGTCGTCAGTTTCTATATGATGATGCAAACTCTGCTTCCCGTAGACTACTTTTGGGTTTTTTGTGGCCTTTTGTCTAATATTGTATTATCTATTTTAGCCAACTCTGCTTCCCGTAGACTACATTTAATCTGATTCATTTGCACTAATTAATAATTTGAGTTTTAAGTATCCCTTCTTAATGGATTTAGAGTTGACATAACAGTGGTTATATTTAATTTCCACCATTACACTCCTATTCAAAACTACTTATGAATTTCTTCATCATTGTTTCGTGCTGAACCCCTCAGTTTATTTCTTTTTTCAGCTGTCTCAGTTAATGGACAGCCTGATTAGGAATGAAATGAAAGATACACCTTTTCTGGTAAGATGACTAATACTGTTGTGTCCTTACGATTTGTCTTTTTCCTTTTTTCTTCTCTAGTTGTTGTAACTGTGTTCGTTCAGGAAGTGAGTAATGTTGACGGCAGATGGTGTATAAACTCAGGCACTGATCAGCTGACAAGTTTTAAGGGCCTTTTATTGTCCAGGTGTGTGTGGTTAGTTTCTCGGTATTGGTTTTCAATCCACATATCAATAACATATTGCTTGATGTTGTGCAAATACATGCATGCTCCCTTTGTCTCTCTCTCACACACATTCACTCTGCATGCACTAAAGGAAAATAATGTCTACTCCCCACAACAATTGTGACTCATTTATCACCATGATGGTACCATAATTGAAGTTGCATTACTATCTAGCCACAAAACAGCAGGATCAAAATCCTGTATACTAAAAACAAACTCATCAATGAAGAGCTAACCTCTCTGCTCCCCATGCTAATTTAAGCCTTCAATCATACAGAAAAGTCTCATCAGGAAGACCCTTTTTCTCACTTTTTAGATTGAAAAACTTGAATCATGTAAGTCTGAGCCCATTGGTTGTGGAAAACTTGCATGTTGATTCTGGTTGGTTATTTGGTGACAAAAACTTCAGAAGACAAACTTACAGCGATGCATCTGTTACATAAGTTCTTAGGTAATCTATAGAACAACTTCTGCTCAATAAACTGTAACATAAAAAATATTTTTTTTGAAAATGCTAGCTTCAAAACCCTGGGATTTGTTGCTGAAATTTTTCCCCCCAAATAACCAGTCAGATCTTCATTTGTGGGGGGCTTAGCTCTTTGCGTGTCATGCCTGAAGGGTAATTTACTGCTGTAGTGATTCAGGAACTGGAAGAATTATAGAGCCACTCTCGGCAGTTCCTTTAAATGATGAGTTGGAACAAGCAAGAGCATCGATTGCAAAGGCAGAGACAGATGTGCTTTTAATGTTAACAGAAAAGGTGCTTTACTCTTTTGATGTTTTATCCATTATCCATACCATTCCTTCAATTATCGTGTTTTCATTTGCAATCTATGCAGATGAAAAAGGATCTTGATAACATTGAAAAATTATCAGACAGTGTAGTTCAACTGGATGTGGTAGGTGCTCGCCAACTTTTCCTATTCTCTCTCTTTCTGCCCCTCACACTCACACACACACACACACACACATAGTCCTTTTAAGGTTTTTTAGTAGATTCATTCCTATATATTTACTTGTCCCTGTCTTTCAAATGATATGTGTTAATTATGGAACCTTAGTGGTAAGAGATAGAGTTTATGTAGTGCAACTTTGTTTAATTCCTATGATGGGAATGCTTTAATATGACCTAGAGCTTGGAGGTGCTGCAGAAACTCAGCAGGGTCTTGTGTATGAATTCTGTTATGGTCACAACTATGGTTGCAAACAGTATAAAATGAGGATTATAAGCAAGGATTCTACCTTTGTTACCTTTGCAGAACAAGCGCGATAAAAATATAATTGCTCATGCAAGGCCTTTAAACACATTTGAATACATTGATACTGTAATTGTATTTTTGGTTTTCAAATATAAATTGCCTTGCACTTGTTAAACTAAACTCATATTGTGTTAAATTATTGCCATTTGTTTCTGATGTGATTCTTACCATGTAGATCAATGCCCGGGCAACTTATAGTCTTTCTTTTGGAGGAGCATCTCCCAATTTGTATCTTCCAGAAGAACTGGATGAATCTTTTGCCACTGAAACTTATTTATCAGAAAATGAAACTTCAAAGGCATCATTGTCCAGAAAGAAGGAGTGGCTATTGTACATGCCTAAAGCCTATCATCCTTTATTACTCCAGCAACATAGACAAAATATGCAGAAAGAGCGAAAGGATGCCAGTAATGCTACTGATGTAAGTTATACTGTGCTGACGAGTGCAGTCTTTTTCTTTTTAGTCAAAGTAAATGAAAGTTCTGCAAGTTGAGAATTTTCTATTTCTTTTTTCCCCTGGAATGGACATCTACTACATCAGTACTTGAATTTATGGGGTTAATATTTAAATCATTCTGATGGCTTGCATTTTTTCTGTTTCAAGATAAAACTGAAAGGAGATAATGGACATAAAAATTAGAGCCAGAGTTAGATCTTTGATCCTTAGAAATGCATGTAACTGCATAATTTTCAATGTCCAGATGATAAAAAGTGTTTAAATATATTTCTTAGATCTAAATTTACAATTTTCCTGTTTCAATGCAAATTTACTATTGGTTGTCAGGTTTCTGCATTGCAACAAGCTCGCCCGGTTCCAGTTGATTTTTTTATCACCCATAAAACAAGAGTCCTGATTATAACTGGTCCTAATACCGGGGGAAAACCATTTGCCTAAAGACAGTTGGATTGGCTGCTATGATGGCAAAATCAGGTTGATTCAGCATCTTTCCTGTTTTCATGTGACTGTTCATCTGACATTGTATCTCTCCTCCAATGGGATTTGTATACTGCAAACTTCTTATTTTATTCGCTTTATGCAATTCAAAATATATACCATCCATAATGATAAAGAGCATAAGATCTTCCCTCTGGGCATGATATATACAGAGGTAGAAAAGTCGCTCAATGAAAATTTGATTATAAATTCTATTTCTGATGCCACGTACTAGTTCTGGTTGTATCCAAATAACTTAGGCAGAAATTTCATGCAATTTTTGTCATATGGCTCATGCAAAAACAAAACTAGCTTAGTCTAAAGGACTTCGGCATTGCATCTGATGTTTTACCAATGACCCTTTATTGCTGTTTCATAACCTTCCTGTTTGATACTGCAGGTCTTCATGTTTTGTCATCTGAATCTGTGGAAATTCCTTGGTTTGATTTTGTTTTTGCTGATATTGGTGATGAACAGTCCTTGTCCCAGTCTTTATCTACCTTCTCGAGCCACTTAAAACAGATAAGTGTAAGGATAATATGCTTTCCACAATTCTTTTTGTTGGTTTTTAATGGTGATGGATATGCAGGCTAGAGCACTATAAATTGCTTACAGTGTTTCTTACTGTGAATAGACACCTCTTTCTTAATGCAATTTTCCAGTATCTTGCATATTATCAGTCATCTGGAGGTTTTTCAAACTGATTGCATACTGTTACTGAGATTGCAAATTGAGTGATAAGAACGTTGGAGATTACTAAAAGACATGCTTCAATTTGATATCTTCTCTTTATTAATGAGAGTAGCAGCCCATCCAATTCTAGGATTCGGAGTTGTTAAATAGATCTTTGCTATAAATTTTTTGACCATGCTCAATATCATTTTTTGTATTATTTTCCATCTTCCAGATAAGAGAATTTCCATGGAATTTAATAGATTCATCATGCAGGACATTCGATCTCGATCCACAAGTCAGTCGTTGGTGCTACTAGATGAAGTAAGTTTCTATGATTATTTTTTCTTCATTGATATTTAACTAGTAGTTATTGGTATGGCACATAAATCTAAGCTGGTAGTATATAATGCATATCTCTTGCATAGGTTGGTGCAGGGACAAATCCACTTGAAGGAGCTGCATTGGGGATGTCATTGCTGGAATCTTTTGCTGATAGTGGTGCTTTATTGACAATAGCTACAACCCATCATGGTGAACTTAAATCTCTGAAGTACAGGTATCTAAACAATAAAGTTGTGATAGTAGCATGAAAATTGCTGTGTTTCTGCAGTTCATATTTTCTGTTCAATGAGAAATTTGCATTGTTATCTGGCCCTTGTGCTGCTCTGTGCCAGTCTGTCATTGCCTGCTCCAAGTCCTCAGTCATGTCTTAAAGTTTCTTTTTTGCCAGCAATCATGCCTTTGAAAATGCTTGTATGGAGTTCGATGAGGTGAACTTAAAGCCAACTTACAAGATTCTCTGGGGAGTACCAGGTTTTCCTCTTTGGGAGCATGACTAAGCAACCTTTATTGAAAGTGTGAATTGCTTATAATTTAATTTATAGTCTTTGAAATTGTTATTAATTTCCCTTTTTGTTTGATCTGTCTCTCTTGGATGTCATGGACATGGTATGTAAATCAAGTATAGGGGAAGGGAATCAAAATTTTGTAATCTTTTAGCCTCTTCCCTAAAGGTTTTTGACACTAAGAGAAGTGACTTTTCATCTCAAACTAAAAGCATGGCCCAGGGTAATGCCATTTCTCCATTTCAAAAACTTCTCTCTTTATTCAGTGCAAGACCACGGAGCTTTCATTTGTGTGATGTGGTTGTGAATACTAGGCCTATGGGCTTTGTAAGGAAAGTTGCACATTTGAGAAGTGGGGGCTTCTAAAGAGTAATTTAGTTTTGAAAACCCATTGGCGCTTCCCTTATGTGTAAAAGTTGTTTAGGATGCTCTTTTCTGCTAGTTATGACTGTTGTTTGTATCTGCTACTATACTTCATGACTTAAAAGCTGTTGATTTCCTATAGGCCGTTCGAATGCAATCAATATATCTGAAAAATTGGGACTCCCCAGTGTAGTTGTCTCTAATGCCCGAGAACTTTATGGTGCTGCTAGTGCAGAGATTAACGAGGTAGCATGGACTATCCTGTACGAGTTTTATTTTTTAGTTATACTTTGAAATTGATGAACATCATGGCATGACTCAATTGTATGGTTTTCTACCATTCTTAGTAACAATTACCTCTCTTTTTTCACTTGACAGCATTAAAACCATATGAAAAACTACTGCATTCTCTGTCCCTTACTCCAAATATAAATATATATATATATCTTCAACATCCTGCCCATTCACTATGTATTTAGTGGAAGTTTACTTTTTAACTATGTATTTATGAATATATTTTGGTTGGAACTTTTGTTATTTTCAACATGCAAGCAATTAGTTGATGATTAAAGCTTTGTTTCTTCAGTGTGATTTTCAAGCGTCAACTATAATCTTTGTAATATTTACAGGTCATAATTGATATGGAAAAATTCAAGCAAGATAGTCAACAGCTTTTGTACGAGGCACAGCATCATTTGATGTAAGAATCCGTGCCTTCAAGACTACATATAAATGTTTTTTTTTCATGATGTCAATTGGATGTGCTTTATTAAATATATGGGAAATAAATCATCCAAATAATAATGGGCAAGATCAGGAACTCTACCCATCAACATGCTCATACCATTTATTTGTTTTAAACTGGGGCATCTCTATAACTAATTTACTCCAGATAAATTTGTGGATGGATTATCTTTACCTCTTCTTTGTTTAACACTTGGTTATATTGGTTCTCACTGGCAATAAAGAGCAGCGATTGTAAATTTGTTGATGCTCTATACAGTATCTTTTTTCATTTGTAGGCTCTCAAGAAATCTTCACAAGAAATTAAAGCTTGCCAGAAGGAAGATATGGGAGCATCGTACTGAACAAAGATACCGTAAGATGCGGCAAATATCTGAGGCTGCATCAATGGCACGATCTATGCTTCACAAGAAAGTGCGGCAGCTTCGTGCCCATGCAACACAACCTTTTCGTCCTGTTACAGCAGAGAAGAAACAATTATCAACAAGTGATAGGCGGTTTACTGCAGCAGATAAAAATGGACAGTCTACAGCAAACATGAGTACTTCAGTAGTTGAAATTAATAAACAGCCATCAGGTAATTTTCGAAACTCATGAAAGTACCAAGTTTGTATTGAAATTTGTTTGAAAGGCAAGTTTGCTTATGCAGAAGTTGTTAGTGCTAGCATGTTCTTTCTTAGTTTATGTTAAGCAATAAGGTCTGAACTATAGTATGTTCTCAGGAGTAACGAACAAGCTTCCTGAGGTTGGTGATGTGGTTCAAATCTCTTCTCTAGGAAGGAAAGCAACGGTTTTGAGAGTGGATCCATCTAAAGAAGAAATAGTAGTTCAAGCTGGCAGCATGAAGTTGAAGTTGAAATTTACTGAAATTGGCGTTGAAAGGTAACAAAATATGTACTGTCGAATACTATGAAATAATGAATGCATTTTTATCTTTAAATACAGAAGTACAAAGACAATATCATATAAATGGACAGCTGTTCATTTTTCTTATAAAAAGAAAGCATACATGTCAGACCCTTTGGAAGGCGGGATTTTGTCGAATGAGATCCCAACATCTTCTTCAGGCGCAATTAGTGAGGAAATACTAGTAGAATTTACAAATGACTGGAAAAGATTGAAAGCTGACATTCCAAAATTCAAGAAAAGAAGTGCTTTGAAGTCGGTGATTGTAATCAATATTCTTGGAATTGCCCACCTCTATGCTTAGGAAGACTCGATCCATTAATGTTGTACACTAATAGTTGAAGATACTGAAAGAGACGAGTTCTTCTCTTTTTTTCGTTTTTTTGTTTTTTTCTTGGTAGCAGTTAAGTTAAATAACAAAGCATGTGAATATTAATATTATAAGCAATACAAACATCAACTCTTTTTGCCAAATTTGTACTATTTTTCTTATGATATGCGGTTCGTCTTATTTTAACAAAATTTGATGCATCTGGACTTGCACTGGAAATGTGCTAATTTGAAGTATAATAATAGGATATAATAAATGTGGGAAGCATGAGCTGGTTATAAAATGGTGTCCCAGCTTTTCTTGTTGACCTCTTTCTGTGGGATGCATCAAACAAATATAATAGTATTTGGTTTGATAATGGACGGGCATGATCCTATAAATGAAAAATCAAGCATTAATAAGGTTTTCTTGATTTGCAATTGTGTCTGGTCAAAGTGCGGGACACAGTGGAAAGTGGGCTAGGGTAGGAGGAATGCAGTGTCTTGTCTTGACTTTGCTTCTTAAACATTGATGCAAGAAACGAACTTTTGGCATCTACCATTGCACTTTACAAGATTTCTTCTTCTTAAAAACACCCACCAGCTACAGAATCAGCGGGAAAGTTGAGATTAGTTTGCCATTTTAATGTTGCTCACCCACCAAAAGTGACAAATTTGCTAATCTCGTAGTGCTCAGGGTAAGCAGAATAGCACGAAGGAAAGCATGGGATTAATTTTATATTGGGACATGTGTTTCTTTTTGTTCTAGTTCTCTAGAATCGAGATTACAGCTAAGGAAAGCAAGTGTAGATTCTCCACTTCAGTTAATTCCATTTGTCAATGTTGGAGACCCGAGGCTTAGTCAAAAAACCCCAACTAACAAGGTCAGGGAAGGCAAAATTCAACTTTCTACCAACAGCAAAGAAACATTAACCATTTAGTCTTATTGATATGTAGTTGAAGTGATTTAAAAGCACATTTTATTGCACACGTCATTGCTTCTTTTTCTTTTCTGCGAATCTAATTTAAGTTTCGTACCCAAATTTAGAGCGCAGAAAAGCAACAGAAAACACAGATACAGCAGCTTCTTCTAAAGTAGAAACGCAATTCAATTCAACTTGGATTGAAAATGAATTGCACTTTGTTCCTTTCTGCAGTCGATTGGATCCTTATTGTCCTATCCTAGTACAAATCCAGTATCTCTCTAGTAACGAAATCAAACATGATTTTGGGACCCCAATTTCTCCTTGTCCGCGTGGCTATCATCATCGGATATGCCATCAACCCACCCAATTTCAAAGGTGACATCCAGGAAATAGAGCATGAAAACCAGGAAAAAGCAAGACAAGAACATAGGAATGGGCCCAAAGATCCACAAAAAGAGTGGGAAAGAGAAATAAAAGGCACGCAGCCCTAATGACCAGAAATAGCTACCCCGGTTCACAGACCTAGCCACATACTCAGTAGAGAGATGCTGATGGCGATGATTGAGGCATATTTTCTTGAAGGGCACGTTGATGAGGATGCTTCCATGGCTGTAGTACCTGATGGACTGCACAGTCAGCAAGAACGCCATCAAGAAGCACACCAATATTAAGAAGAACTTGACAGACAACGCTAGCTCACTCCTGTCCCCAAACACAAAATTCCTAGCCGATTTGTCCCCGGTGCCGCTTGTCATGAGGACGGCAATAAGGGAGCTGAGCATGATGGCTGTTGATGCCAAAACGGTGGATGCCATTATATTGTTTCTCATTGTCTGCACTGCAAGAACTCCATTCTTAGACACGTCCTGCACCAATATATATAAATCCCTAATGGTCAGAGTTTTATCTTGAAAAAACAAGATGACCAGGAGGCATGCACGTCGTAATTAATAAGAAACAGTAGTGTATAAAAGTAAGAAATGAATTTAAAAGGAATATATACAAGACAGACAGACCTCCATCATGGCTCGAACCCATAAGCGGCGATTGATAGCATTGATGCCAATGACAGTCTTGGTGGGGTGCTTCATGATTCGATAAAGAAGCCAGAGATGGTATGCCACCATAACGACAAGTCCCAAAGGAACCAATGTGTAATCAAGAGCAGCTTTCTCCATTCAATTCTACAACAATTTGTAAAAATCACTCTCTGCGATAGAGATGATCTTGTAATTAGAAACCCAGTATATACTTGATTTCCCCTAATTTACTCTGATTTCTGATTATGTTGATGCAGGCTGAAGAAGAGAGAGAGAGAGGGAGATAATAAAGAGTCCAAGTGTAACACGGGAGTTCGTAAGCGGACTCAGGAAACAGAAATTAATTGGGCTCGATGGGTAGCTGAAAAGGGCAGTAAATAAGAGATATTTTATACTAGATGTAACGAATCTGATGGAGCTAGGGTTAGGTGGTAAGGATTCTTACGTGGATCAAACAAGTTTTGCCATGCTGCTCACCAAATTAACAACCTAAGCCTCTAGTCTCTAGCAGCTGCTTTACACACTGCTTACTCCTATTTATTTGTTTGTCTCTGTCTGTGTGTTTACATGGTATTCTTTCCTCAATTTTCGTGTACTTTAAAAATATATTTATTTTGTCGGTTTTATATATAAAAAAGAACAGACTAAGCATGAGATTTAGATCAAGATAACTAGTAATTCCATTAATTAATCATCAAGCCAAATCCTCAGTTTTTACACTTTGAATATTGTTGAAGCATGGTGAAATTTAAGCTTTTCTGTACAAAAATTTAAGCTATACCCTCTCGTTTTAAAAGGGATCTTAATTAATACCTCGAGAATAAATCTCCTTTTTTCCTCTTTCTAGCTAGCTTTCACTCTCTATATATGAATATGATACACACACGTATCATGTCATATAAAAAAGTATAAACAAATTAATACGCATTTAATTATCGAAGTGGTTTTGCCTAACTCTTTTTAATATCATATAATAAATTCCATCAAAGCTACTAAAAAAATTATAACTTTCAAAAAATATATATATATATAATTCAAGATATATGTATGGTGGCCGACAGCAAGTTTGGCAGAGACAATGAAGAAGGATAGCATGCATGTAATGTAAATACATTGGTGGAAGGAAGCTGTGGAGACATGTCCTTTTGGGTTCACTAAGATTGAGAACAGAGTACGTAGTCCAAAGAGGGCCGGCTGAGTTTTTGAAATCTGGCTACGTACCACAGCGGATGACATCACTGCTTTTGTTTTCTCTTGCTTCCTAATAGTTAAATGGTCAAGCTTTCACCCAAAAAAAAAGACATTTGTTTTGTTGTCTGTGACAGTTTAATTTGTAAGTTAAATTAGCTGTATGTTGCTACTTCATTGTTGATAGAATTAATTAATTTATCTCACCATTTTCAGATAAGATTAATTCGTTATATAAATTATAAGAGATTCAAATGCGTTGGTGAGAGAAGCATATGCCATGTGGGGTGTGGGGGTATGCTATGGAAGGCAGTGATATCCTGCCAATTTGTCCAACTGTGAGACATCTATATCCATTATAAAGTTAAATAACTGAGATTTATAGAATTAGGTAATTGAGATAATTGAATTTGGATTTCATATAAAAGACTTAAGTCTTAAGGTGGATTGTTCCGTTTTTAATTTTATATATATTATTAATTTAACTATTCAATATGAGATATGTGTCATAATACTCCATTTCACTAACTTTATATATATCATTAGTTTAACTATTCAATGTGAGATATATGTTTTAACATTTCTTCTCACTTGTAATCCATTTTTATCTTTGTTAAGATAGTTGAAATTAGATTCCATTCAAAAGACTTAAGTCTTATGGTAGGTTACCTCTTCTTAATTTTATATATTATTTATTATTAATTTAATTATTTAATATGAGATGTAAAATTCGATTTTGACATCTATCTATATATTATTATTTATATATTATTTATTTTTGTTCTAACATCTACCTATCCAATTCTCATATATATATATATATATATATTGTTGGCATTATCAAATAATTAATGTTAGTAGTCGTAGTCATACTAACTAAGATGCCAAATTCGATTTTGACAAACTCGTAACCTTTTTCCAAAAAGTCAGCTTAAAAAAAGCATTATGTTTCTTTCTACTACCAATATGAATAGGATAAACAATTGAGAGCTCATCGTTAGTACAACGTTAATCTCCGAATCTTGGGCTTGCTTTCTCTGAGAGATAGGTACAACAAAGTCAAGATACAATGGGACATGGACCAATTAATTAATGCGTTTTTTCACATTTGCACTTTTTTTTTTTTTTTTAGTATTTTTGAGATTTCTTATTTCTTATATTCTGTTATAATTCTTACATTCTGTTATAATATCATCAATCAATTATCAAGATAAAATATTTAAAATAAAAAATATCAAACATTAAAAAAATCATGTGATTTCAAAATTAATACGAAGAAAACTTGCTAATTAATGTTGTCATTCAAACCCCAAACTTTAATTTAAACTAAAAATAATATTAAAAAAATAAAGAGTACATTTATGATTGCAAAAGTCATTCTACTTTTGTTTTCTCGTTTTTTTTTTTTAATCTTAAGTTCATCTTTCTGTTTGATTTATGTCTTAATCTTGTTCTTTCATTAATTTTTAGACTAACGATATCAACTTTTTTTCTATTTTAACGTCCTCCCTCTATTCTTTTTTTTTTTATCTTAATCTTTTTTTTTACTAAATTTAAATAAATATATAAATTTTAGAAAAAAAAACTAAGAAATAGGTGAAGATATATATGGTTATTCTCTCTAAAAATAAAAAATAAAAAAAGATGAAGATAAAAATATTTTTTAATCCAGCATATTCTTTATGGGGTTTAATTTGTCTCTTTGATAATAAAAAAATTTTGAATATAAAATAAAATATTTATACAATTTATTTTTTAATATATCTCTATGATAGTAGGCAAATTTTGTGTATAAAATAAAATATTTATAGTATTTTTTAAAAAATATATAAAAAGAGTTTTAGTTAAATTTTTAAAATTAAAAAAATAGAAAATAAAAATAAGTAAATTATAGTAGACTCTTTTAAGGTTTTATAAAATTATAAATACCATTTAAAATTTAAAAATTTAACTAAAATTCTTTTCATATTTTAAAAAATATATTTTATTTTATACTTAAAATTTGTTTACTATCATAAAGATAAATTTAAAACCATAAAAGATCTTTTGGATTAAAAAAAAAATTTATTTTTTATCTTCACTTTTTTTTATTTAATTTTTTCTATTTTTAATTTTTAAAGAGAATGACTGGATATATCTTCATCTCTTTTTTTTCAATTTCTTTATTTTTATTTTTAAAAATTTATTTATTTAAATTTAGTAAAAATAAATGAAGAAGAAAAATAGAGTAAAGGGTTGAGATTAAGACAAAAAAATAATTTAATATTATAAGTCTAAAAGTTGATAAAAAGACGAGATTAAAACAGAAACCAGACATAAAAGAATGAATTTAAGATGAAAAAAAGTAAAAAGATATCATAAAAACAAAATTCTGTACAATTATTAACCCATTTATAGTAAATATATATCAATATATATGAAATAGAGAAGTTCGATCAATTAAAAAGTTTGAGATCGATTGATCATTAACATGCTTTCTTTTTCTCTTTATTTTTATTTTGTTTATTTATTTATTTTGAGAATTAAGTGCTTTCTTTACTTTCATTATTTGTAATTAAGATGATAGAGTAAAGAAAGCACCTTATTTTGTTGGGAATTTTACTTATCCATACGCAGTTAGAAAAGTTTCACAAGTCATCCTCAAATTAACTTTGTTAATTAATCTAGATATATAATTTTTGTTTTTTATTCTATATAATAACCAATCTGTTTGCTTTCATAGACAATCCAAATTCTCCATTTCCTTTAATTTCCCTCCTCCAAAACTCAAAACTAAATGAAACCTTAAAGTTTATCTCCTTTATTTACTTTATGTGAATTACATACTTTGGGTGCTTAATTGGTACCCATGAAAAAGCTCTGGCATGCATGAAGGGTGAACGTTGGATTAGTTCCCACTGGTGAAGGAAAGGTTGTTCTGTTCTTGTAAGAGGCTAATGAAAGAGTAGGCACTTGATTAGCTATCTGTAGAAACAAATTTTGGAATTTTTTTTTCCTTTTTTAATGATATTTGACCAGTAAAACCAAACGCACTTTCACCTGTGGGCAAACTCCATTGATTTTCCGAATGCCTGCCATACCAAGGCTGCTTCGAACTGTTTAAAATAAATCAATAGTTTCAGAAATTATCAAATTTGATGTGAATTTAAACCATTTTTTATGTACTTGTGATTGTCAAATAAGCATAATTACCATCTCCACTAGTAACTGGTGTTAAGCCAATCAAACAACTCACCGTGCTAGTTTTTCCGGCCCAATTGGCTCCAAGCAGCCAGCCAAAACAACTGATTCTTTATGAAGTTCATCCACAGGCCCTGCAGATAACAAATTAATAGCCAGTATCAGAATATGAGACAAAAGAAAGAAGTTTGTTTGCATCATCATTTTTTCGTTCAAAATGATTCTCAATTACAGTTCACAACAAACGAAGGCAAGCAAACTGTATATATATATATATATATATAGATCCTTCACAATTTCTAGTCTTGTAGTCGGATTGCAATTAGAAAATACTTACCTTAACAGCATGGTATGGTGAAGTCTTCTTGGGTTTACAACAACCAATCTTCTTGGTATTTTTCGAAAATCGTGAAAGCACAAGTTTGTATTGAAATTTGTTTGAAAGACAAGTTTGCTTATGCAGGAGTTGTTAGCGCTAGCATGTTCTTTCTTAGTTTATGTTAAGCAATAAGGTCTGAACTTCTGGTATGTTTTCAGCAGCAATGACCGATCTTCCTGAGGTTGGTGATGTGGTTCAAATCTCTTCGCTAGGAAGGAAAGCAATAGTTTCGAGAGTGGATCCATCTAGAGAAGAAATAGTAGTTCGAGCTGGTAACATGAAGCTGAAGTTGAAATTTGCTGAAATTGGCGTTGAATGGTAACAAAAAATATATGTACTACGTAGAATACCATGAAATAATGAATGCATTTTATTTTTATATACAGAGGTACAAAGACAATATCATATAAATGGACAGCTGTTCATTTTTCTTATAAAAAGAAAACATGCATGTCAGACCCTTTGGAAGGCGGGATTTTGTGGAAGGAGATCCCAACATCTTCTTCAGGCGCAATATTCAGGGAGGAAATACTAGTAGAATTTACAGAGGACTGGAAAAATTGGAAAGAGAGGAGAGTTAATGAACAGATGTTTTCTTCGATCTTCTCTTGTTTTGTTTTTGTTTTTCTTGGTAGCAGTTAAGTTGAATAACAAATGATGTGAATATTAATAATATTAGCAATACAAACATCAACTCTTTTTGCCAAATTTTTACTATGTTTTCTTATGATATGGGGTTTGTCTAATTATTTTAACAGAAGTTGATGCATCTTGACTTGTACTGGAAATCCTAAGGCACGCAGTTTGCCAAAAGCAAAGAATGTGCTAATTTGAAGTATAATAGTCGTATATAATAAATGTGGGAAGCATGTACTAGCTATAAAATAGCGTCCCAGCTTTTCTTGAAGGCCTCTTTCTGTGGGATGCATCTAATACAATAGCATTTGGTCTGATAATGGACTGGCATGATCCTATAAATGAAAAATCAAACATTAATAAGGTTTTCTTGATTTGCAATTGTGTCTGCAACAAGTTGGTGGAGTGGCTAAATTTCTGCACATGGTCTTGACTTTGCTCCTTAAACGTTGATGCAAGAAACGAACTCTTGGCATCTACCCTTGCACTTTAGAAGATTCATCTTCTACAGAATCAGCTGGAAAGTGGAGATTAGTTTGCCATTTTTTAAAGTTGCCCACCCACCAAATGTGCTGATCTCACAGTGCTCGGGGTAAGTAGAGTAGCACGAAGGAAAGCAAGTGTAGATTCTCCGCCTCAGTTCATTCCATTTGTCAATGTTGGCGACACGAGTCTTAGTCTTAAAAAATCCAACTAAAAAGTTGCGGTGGTGCCTGCGCAAAATTCAACATTCTACACACAATAAAGAGACATTAAATAGAACCTCAAAAGGTCAGGGGATGCATCAGGCAAATATATATATCTTGTTGACATGTAAATTAAACTGATTTAAGAATACATTTTATTGCTCACTGCATTCTTCTTTTTCTTTTCTGCGAATCTAATTTAGGTAATTTAGAGGGCAGAAAACACAGATGCAGCAGCTTCTTCTAAAGTAGAAACGCAATTCAATTCCACTTGGATTCATAACGAATTGCACTTTGTCTCTTTCTGCATACAATTGGATCCTAACTTCGCTAATTATGGTCCTATTGTAGTACACATCCAGTACATGTCTAGAAACGTAATCAAACATGATTTTGGGACCCCAATTTCTCCTTGTCCTCGAGGCCATCATCATCAGTATCGTCATCGGATATGCTATCAACCCACCCAATTTCAAAGGTGACATCCAAGAAATAGAGCATGAAAACCAGGAAAAAGCAAGACACGAACATAGGAATGGGCCCAAAGATCCACAAAAAGAGGGGGAAAGAGAAATAAAAGGCACGCAGCCCTAATGACCAGAAATAGCTACCCCGGTTCACAGACCTGGCCACATACTCGGTAGTGAGATGCTGATGGCGATGATTAAGGCATATTTTCTTGAAGGGCACGTTGATGAGGATGCTTGCATGGCTGTAGTACCTGATGGACTGCACATTCAGCAAGAATGCCACCAAGAAGCACACCAATATTGAAAAGAACTTGATAGACAACCCCAGCTCACTCCGGTCCCCCAGCACAAAATACCTAGCCGATTTGTCCCCGGTGCCGCTTGTCATGAGGACGGCAATAAGGGAGCTGAGCATGATGGCTGTTGATGCCAAAACGGTGGATGCCATTATATTGTTTCTCATTGTCTGCACTGCAAGAACTCCATTCTTGGACACGTCCTGCACCAACATATATAAATCCCTGATGGTCAGAACTTAATCTTGAAAAAATAAGATGATCAAGATGCATGCATGTAATAAGAAACAGTAGTGTATAAAAGTAAGGACTGAAAAGGAATATATACAAGACAGACAGACCTCCATCATGGCTCGAACCCAGAAGCGGCGATTGATAGCATTGATGCCAATGATAGTCTTGGTGGGGTGCTTCATGATTCGATAAAGAAGCCATATGTGGTATGACACCATAACCACAAGTCCCAAAGGAACCAATGCGTAATCAAGAATTGGTTTCTCCATGCAATTTTTCAAGAAATTAACCCTAGGATGAAGATGATATTGCCCAGTCTATGCTTGATTTCCCCTAATTTCCTCTGATTTCTGATTTTGTTGATGCAGGCTGAAGAAGAGAGACGGAGAGAGGAAGATAAAAGAGTCCAAGCGTAACACGGGAGTTTGTTAGTGGACTCAGGAAACACAAATTAATTGGGCTGGGTTTGATGGAAAGCGGAGAGTCTGTAGGGGATATTTATAGCTGCACTAAATTACGCGAAAACATCCTCACTTTTCTTTTCTTTTCTTTTCTTTTAATTAGACTACTATATATTAATATTTTCATACTCATTCTATCTTAAAAAAAAAAAATCTGTATTTTTATTTATATATTTTAAAATGTTTATCTGATTAAAATTTTAAATGATGTGTGTTTTTTTTAAAAGCACCTTTAATTAAATTTTATTTTATAAAAAATATTTAAAAATAATTCATATATATATATATATAGAAAAGTGTGAATAAAAAATTCTGATATGGTATAACCATTAATAATTTTTTTCAATTTGCATGAAAGGTCAACGAAGTTTTTTTCTTTTTTTTTTAAATCTTCATACAAAGAAAATATATATTTTTAATAAAAATAATTTATGATGATAAAACCCAAAAAAAATAAATTATCCAAAAATATAAATAAATTATCGTCAGCATGGGATTTTTACTAAGTTAAGAAAACCCCAAAAAAGAAATAAATTATACATCGAAAAAAGAAAAAGGGGGGAAAATCAAGACAAATGTAAGCAAAGAAAAATGAATTTATCTGATATAATATTATTATTATTAAGCGTTTTTATGAATTAATAAGAGCTTCCTTACCCGTTTTAGTCTATTGTATTTTTCGTAACTAATGACTTTTTAAAAATTAAATATAATTGCTGTCAAGAATGGGATTCGAACCCATGCCCTTTCGGACCAGTACCTGAAACTGGCGCCTTAGACCAACTCGGCCATCTTGACATGTTGCACTTGATAGCTGCCTAGCAATCTAACACTAGTACCCTATTGTCTTGTACTGTTTTACTTTTAAGTCCATTACCATTACTGTACCCTAAACTATTCATTCCCTGTAGTCTAAGGCTCATCTACCCTATTCATGTTTTTTTTTTTTTTTTGCTTCTTTATCCCTTTTTTTGGAAGACAAATTAATTAGTCCCTTTATAATTTTCTATATACAATGCACCCTTAGAGCCTTTTTTTTTTTTTTTTTCCAGAGAGTTTGAGCAAGCTTCTTTTTTTTTTTTTTTTTTTGTTGATACATTCTCATAAACAAATATAATTTTAAAGTATTTGCTTTTGAATTCTTAATTAATATTTCAAGTTTAAATTATCACAAGTTTTTATTTAAGAATCCCTAAAAAAAGATAAATAAATCATGTTTGTTAAGCAAAAACTTTATGAAAAACACACAAAAAAAATTTTAATAATTAAATAAAAAATTATAAAAATTTTGAAGGATGAAGTCGTTGAATCATAAAGGATGTTCAATTTTGTAGATACACTGGCCAATTCGGTTAAAGAATGCGGTTTGCAGGTACGAAGGATCTCAAAGGTTCTTCGCAGGCTCTCTCCCCTGAACAAGTTCTTGAAAGGATGCTCCAAACAAAAATGGTGCTGCTAGTATGATTTCAAACATCTCCTCAGATTCAACACCCCAAAGGCGAATAAAAACCAGAAGGGATGAACCAGAAATGGCCAGTTTGAACCCGTTCATGAGTAGTGCACAACAAAGCAGTGCTCCGAAATTTGACAGACCAGTAGGCTACCACCAATGCAAGACTCAGTGCTCCAAAATTTTGATCTCTTCAAAACAGTTTTGCATGTCCTGACTAACATCAGCAGAGAGCCGTGCTCCAGCTGCAAGTTTGTATTGCTCAAATTTCTTTTCATCACACTTCAAGGCAGCAGCTTTACAGGCCCTGATACTTCCTAGAACAAACAAGCACTAGCAAAATTAATAAGTAAAAGATCTAATGGCAGCAAAAGGAAGTAAAATCAGAATAAAACATATTGGAACATTGTGATCAATTGACAATAGTTCATTTTTGGGATCAATTGATAGGTTGTATTGTTGCAGAAATACTTGAACCAACATGGACCTCGGATTATCAGTCTATGCTTGAGCTTACTTTTTTCTTTGAACTTTCCACATTGATAATAGGTGGCAGCAAGTTTGCAGGTTTAATTAACTTTTTTTTTCTTTTGTTCTAGTTCTCTTTAGTAATCAGTTTGCGACTCAACTCACCGAAGCAAAGAAGAAACTTACCACTTAGATCTAGTAAGTTGAACAACACTGGGCAGTTAGCAATGCTCCTAACCATGGTAATTGCCGACCAAACCTTTTGGTACTCCTCCCGTGAGGTTCTGATGATACATAGCTTGGTATTCGGATTCACATACTTGACTGCAAATAACCCAGATTTAGAAGAATGATGAGAGAAGATTTTATAGTGAGGCAAAGAGAAGTCTGCAACAGCAGCAAACTTGAAGTGGCAACATATTACATACCTTGGAACGAGCCAAGAGACGAAGCCAAGCCACACTCCCCAAAGTTTACAAGAATGCTGTCTTTAACCGCTTTTGACAAATTATATTTTGTTATTTTAATCGGATCATCCACTCCAAGATCTCGATTTGGATCCACAAAAACTTCCATTACCATGTACCTATTCTTAAATCCCACCATGATCCTTTACCTAGCTGCTAATGACAATTTCACCAGGATATAGCAAATCAACATAAAGAATATTCTACTTGGCATATGTTATATGAAATATATGTTTCATACGAAACCAAACAACGGAAAGGTAAGGTGCACAGGAAAAGATTGATAGACATTTTAATTGGAACATTCTAAACCCTGAAGAGGGGAAATTGCTAAATTAGGAGAGATGTGAATGACCTAAACCAAGAATGGCTGGACAACAAAGTAAATGAGTAGACTCACAACCCTGAACTAATAAAAACAAAGGCACCAAATTTTTGTCAGGTGGACTAATTTATAATTTACTCCAAACTGAATGAGTTTGTCTCTTACCATCTGAACCAATCTTTGGAGAAATTAATTAAACTATTAAAGTAGGTACTCTAACCAATGATTTAATTATCTTATCTTATTTTACAACCATGTCAAATAACCATTTCAAATTAAAAATTTAAACCATTATGTAAGACATAAAGAATAAGAATGATAAGAGTTGAAGTTATGACTGTTTCACCACCCATTCTTCACCCATAAGAAAACAACAAAATGACTAGGTGGAGGAGGGCGTGGAGCAGATCTTTTCTTTTGGGTTACAAAATCCAGTATCTAAAATCGCACCTCAATTTCAAGGATATATTAAACACTACCAGTGTCTTGAGCTACCCAAGGATAAGACCACGTTGGCTTCAATTCATGGTGTGGAAATTAAAATTATATAGCTTCAATGGAAGCACTGTTGAGAATACGAAACAACACTCCCCCTAAAAGGTTTTTTATTTCGTTTACTAGGCTAATTCATTTCCATTCCCAATTTCCTAATCTAAATCATTTTGTTGTTAGCAATCAAATACTGACATGGCTGCAAAAGCAATTCAAGATAACATTTACTAAACAGTTTCAAATTTTTGAAGATCAGCCATAAAGCTTCAAAGTGTTTCTTGCTGATATCTAAAATCTTTATCAACAAATTACCTGCAACAAATGAAATTAAGCTACAACAAAAATCTCAAAACTTTTCGTGAGTGGCAAAGGGTAATGTTTAGAATGTTTGCAACAATGTCAGAGCATTACAGGCAGCAAAAACATGAAAATCTTTAAGCTGCAAAGCGCATCCCCTGTGTTCATTATTTGCACATTAATGTTTAGGTCGCACGATCAATATGATTCAATGATCCCGGACCTCAGTACTGTGCAATATCATATCTAAACAAATTGACCTTTCTGTACAATCCCATCGAACCAACAAGTTACAAAAAGAAGGAAGAGGAGGGTATCCTTTTTTTTATTGAAGAAGTTTATAATTAACATAAAAAGTGGCGAGTGGGGATTATAGTCCTTTAATCTTTTTGGGTAATTACATATGAACGACTTATATATTTCAGAACTAGACACATCCAAAAATATTTTAGCTTATAAGCAATAATAGAGGGCCAAGAAAACAAGCAATTTTGCATTAAATTGAACGAGAAGCTTACCTACGCCTGTGCTTGCGATTTTCCGGCTTTGACTTGGCGATTGATAAATAGAATAGAATACAATTCAATCCAATCCAATCCACTGTTTAGGGTAGCTGCTGCTTTCTCAAGATCTTTTTCCGGGATCAACCGCGTTCCGGGGAGCTCTTCCTTTGAGACTCCAGTAACCCAAACCAAATTTGGTGGATGGTACTTGATTTGCCCTAATTTTCTCTGATTTTTGATTTTGTTGATGCAGGCTGAAAAGGAGAGAGACAGAGAGAGGAGGATAAAGAGTCCAAGCGTAACCCGGGAGTTCGTTAGTGGACTAAGGAAACAAAAATTAATTGGGCTGGGTTTGATGGAAAGGGAAGAGAAAGTACTGGATTTTGTTGCTGCAGGCTGAAGAAGAGGGAGAGAGAGAGAGAGTCCAAGTGTAACACGGGACGGGAGTTTGTTAGTGGACTCAGAAAACAGAAATGAATTGGGCTGGGTTTGATAGAAAGGGAAGAAAAAGTAAGAGAGATGGGATTCGGCCACAAGTCCGCAACATTAGAGTAGAGCATTGGTTGGGCTGTGGGAGTAATTGATTTTAATAAATGGGCTGGGCTTGGCCTTCTTAATTAATTATGGGTTCGTTGGAATGGAGCGAAAATGACGGTACGTAGAGAGATACGTGTTAATTGTTGATAAGGTAGAGGATAAAAGTCAATACCCGTTTGAATAGAAGAAAATTAAAAAATAGATAAATAAAATGTATTTTCCAAGAACACGTGAAAAAGAGATGAGAGAGAGAGAGAGAGAGAGAGAGAGAGAGATAGACAAAAGAGAATAGAGACAGAAAGAAAGAGCCGTTAGTGAGATACTAAATCTCTTTTTTATTTTTATTTATTAAGTTTGAATCTTCAGACAAACTGCATGACTTCAATGATACCAAAAAAAAAAAAATCATCATAAATTTATAAAGATACTGTTATAAAATTTTAATCTGAAATTTTTCATAAATATTATTTCATTTAATATTTTTATTTTTTAAATTTATTTTTAAAAATAATATTTGTCAAAATGATGTTATAAAAAAATATAATATTGGGAAAAAGCTTAACATAATCAACATCTAAGGTGGTTGGAAAAATGGTTATGAAATCTAAATCCGTGTCTTTAGAAGCCAAAATTATTTACGAAGTATATAAAAGTAAAGTTGAAGTTGGAGTGTTATGTCTGTTCGTATGTGGAGTGGATGGGTCAAGTCAACACGAAGAGAGAGAGAGAGAAGGGGGCATCTCCTATTTATCATTAAAACTCTATAAATACTCCTCCTTCACCTCACCCACTTCTGCCATTCACCATCAGCTCCTTGCTTTTTAATTTTTTCTACGTATTCTCATTTAGAGAGAGAGAGAGAGAGAGTGGAGAGAAGAAGACTTGTTAAGTCTGTCTCTGCGGGGAGGGAGGGAGAGAGAGAGAGAGTGTGTGTGTGTTTTAGGTATAAGTTAGGTTGTTTTGCAGGTGAGGTGCGGTAGCGTCGTAGATCCATCATTTCGCTTGTCCTTGCCTCTTCTTCTTCTTCATTTTCTACTACTTCAGATCAGATCAGGTCCGTTTTTCTTTTTCCACTGAATATTGATTCTCGATTATTACCACTTTTTATGATCTCTTTTTTCACCTTCCTTAATTATTTTCGTCAATGAACTCTTGTTTTCCCTCTTTGTTACCGTGTAAATTTTTTTTGTTCTTTTTTACTTTTTTAGCTCAGATCTGTTCTTTTTTATTTTCTTTTAGCATGTTTGAAACATGAAGCGCTTATTATATTATAAGACTGATGGTGACACAATTTTCAGCGTCTGTTGTGTTTGTGAATATGATTGTTGGAATTCGAATTATAGGAGGAACTTTTCTTTTTTTTCTTTTTTCTTTTGAGAGATAAGGAATGGAGTAGAAAGAGCATAAATTTCTTTGCTTTCAATTTCACTACTGAATTAAAGGGGTAACTTGTTCACACACACACAAAGGAGGACCTCTTCTTTCGAGCCCTAGTTCAGTTCCATCTCGGTTGAGCTTGACCTCACTCTGTTGGTGGCTTTGCAGTATCCTTCCAAGCTGCCAATGGAGGTCTTTGGTAAATCCATGATTTCTGGGCCTGCCAATGTTGTTTACCTCTCTACTATTCTCGGACGTGATGGTCCAATTCCTGTCCACAAATGTGACTGGAAGTGTGAGAATGAGCATGTCTTTGGCAACATGTACCGCTGCAGGCTCACTGGTCTTACTCACATCTGTGACAAGAACTGTAACCAGAGAATTTTGTATGACAACCATTCTTCCCTTTGCCGGGCAAGTGGCCAGATTTTCCCCTTTTCCCCAGCTGAGGAGCAGGCTGTCAGAGGAGTTCGCAGGAAGCTCGACACGGAGAATAGTAATATCCCCTCTGATAGCTGCTCTTTAAAGCGCAGGCGTGATGCAAAGTTTCATCCTTCTCCTTTCGAGAGATCTTTCTCTGCTGTCAGTCCAATCTGCAGCCAAGTTGGAGATGGCATGGATATGAGCTAGATATAATCTCTATCGTATAGCTGAAATAACCCTATCTCTTTCTATTCGTAATGTTCCTTTTAAGTTTTTACTTTATATTTTTCATGGAACGGATATGGATAACTTGGAATTTAATGTGGGTACTATAATGGTGGACCATGAGTGTCCTCCTCTATGTAGGAACTTTATAGTTACATTTTATGTGTAATGAAATGTAGTGGTTCCAATAGCATAGCTTGACTTTTGATAGGGATCTTGAACTTGCTCCATTCACTCACTTATGAAGCTTTAGTTTAATTTAGTTTCATTCAAGCCCTCCTTTTATTTTTTGAACTCTCAACAAACTACAGGTGCTTTCAGGTCTTTTGCAAGACTTGTATAGTGTAGTATCTATTTTTAGTGATATGATTTATTTCTTTTTGCAATAATTTTGTGTGTCTACTGTGTCTTGATCTGTTGTTGTGGATGTGCTTATTTTGTGCATGTTTAGTTTTAGAAACAGGATCTCGCTGTGATATGTTTAATACTAGTTGATTTTGTTACCTTTGTGTTAAGTTTACTGAGCTTCATAAGCCTGTGTATTTGCTTTTGAAGTTTATGTATTAATTATTTCTTCTATTTCTGCAATTCATGATATTGGATGGTGGTTATGTTTGGGTGCTGCTGGTTATGCAGCATAGTTTTATCAGGTTATTCGGAGCAAGGGCCTCTTTTTCCTTGTTCTGTGGTCAAACTTACTTTGCATCTTTGCTTTATTTTGTCTGGTTTATTGCAGGTTGAAGACAAATATTGCGGTGATTCCTTGCTTTTCTTTGTTGTTGTATTCTCAATTCTGCTTTTTCCTAAGTAGATTTGACGTATGGTTTCCTGAAGTAAATTTTAATTTTGCAGGGATTGGAGTTTATACAACTCAGGAGACTTTTAAATATGCTTTTCTGTTGTGATTAATGAGTTATTGTGTTAGAGATTTTTTTTCTGAAAATGTATAGCCTAAAGAGAGCTTATTTTATCCTGTACAGGAATTCTGTCATTTTTCGCTGTGGTGAATGATGTGGCGTAGAACTGCTGATGGATTGAGAAGATAGTGCACTTACCTGCATTTCAGCTCTCTCTCATTAGAGAATTGAGAATTTGAGAAGCAAACCACATGATGCGCTGGTTTATTGTTCAACAGATCAGTACCTTATTTGTCTGTTTCATTTGCATACCTACTACCTATCTTAACATTCCTGCTTTGTCTATTGATGTGGCAGATGTAACTTAATGGTAGAACTATTGTGTTGTGAATTGCAGAGGCAAAAGGAAGTTTGTTATTTTCTTGGTGAGCTTTGTTTTGAAGTCTTGAAGAGCAGCTAGCTAAGTTTTGTGAGAAGTGCTGGCTTCTACCTCATGAATTTATTAAAGCCAAGCAAAGCACAATGGCTTCAGCATCAAGAATCAAGATGAGAACAATCTGCAATTCCACATTTACTTGCTAATAATGTAGGAGGGAGTTGAGCTTTGCATCTGGCTTGGTCTGAAGCTCCTGAATAAGTACTGCCAAATGTGTACATTTTGGATGATAGCTTTCCCTTTCTGGTCTGAAACTCTCTGTTCTCCACCTTCTTTCCAACGGCTGAAAATTTGATTCCTGCGGACTTAATGTTGTTCATCTTGGATATTGGCATTAACACTTGTATCCTCATATTCTGATTAGAATTCTCCTCGAGCGAGTTTACGGTTTACATGTTTCTCGTCATCTTGGTTGTAATTTGTTGTTAAACGTTGTTTCTTTGACCAAGTTAATGCTTTTTGTATTTGATCCCGATATGTTGTACTGATCAAGTTGCCTACCATGTTCCGTATCAGTGATGAAAAAGGATTAATATAAACAATGCAAAGATATTGATGTCCATTCAATCTGTTTGCGCATTTTCATGTTTCTTTCAGTTGAAAGAGAGAAGCCAAGAACCTTTTCTTTCTTTTAAGGGGAGAAAAGAGGGGGGACAGGAGCGTGACTTTGTATCATCTGTCTGTAATATGTTCTATGCTATTGATTGCAAAAGGAGGGAATCGCTTTGGCATGAGGCCATCAAAATAAAAGAAAAACTAATCCCAGAAAAGCGAAATTGCGGCTCAGGGTTCTGCAAAGCAACGTAACAATTCAGTTTCGGATTTTCCACGGTGCTCAATCTTCTCCCTGCTAGATTCCCCCCACCCCCATATCTAGGAGTTTGGCCCTTGCAAACAAAATGCAAACACTCTGCCATCCGTTTCTCCTGAGGCTAAATTTACAAAGCTACAAACATCCACCAGAATTTTCATAATGGGGGTTAAAATACCCTCCACTTCACCACTTTGCCCTCTGATTTTCAGTTCTTTCCTAATCCCTCTTTCCTACTCGTGCACGTTTACAGTAACGAACAACTGTCCCTATACCATATGGCCTGGTACCCTAGCAGGTGCAGGCACCCCACCACTTGCAACTACCGGATTCCGCTTGGATTCCGGTCAGCGTTTGAGCATTCCAGCTGTCCCAGGTTGGTCAGGTCGGATATGGGCAAGGACAGGTTGCACATTTGATGAGTCTGGAAACGGCACCTGTCAAACTGGGGACTGCGGGGGGAGGTTGGAATGTAATGGCAGTGGTGCTATTCCACCTGCCTCGCTCTTTGAGATAACCCTTGGGACAGGGAATGTCGAAGATTACTATGATGTCAGCCTCGTTGATGGCTACAATTTGCCTCTTGTTGTTGCACCTGTTGGATTTCATGGTGCTTGTAATGCCACTGGCTGCGTTTCAGATATCAATATGGGTAAGATTTTCCGTCTTCGACTAGTTTTCATTGAGAAAATTCTTTGGGTTCCTCAGAAACACAACGGACTAATCCCTCGAAACTTTTCCTCTCTAAAATTTCAATAGGTTGTCCAAAGGAACTTCAGGTGGTAGGCGATGATGGTGGAGGAGGAGGAGGAGTGGTTGCATGTAAGAGTGCATGTGAGGCCTTTGGGCTGGACCAGTACTGCTGCGGCGGAGAGTTTGCCAACCCAACCACATGCCAGCCCTCCTTCTATTCAACCATTTTCAAGCGAGCTTGTCCGAGGGCTTATAGCTATGCTTTTGATGATGGCACCAGCACTTTCACTTGCAAGGCTTCCGATTATGCCATCATTTTCTGCCCCACTGCCAAAGGGTATCCTTCTTTTCCCTCGTCATTGATTTCTTCTGCTCGGATTATATATATCTTGTTTTTCCTGCTTCCCTCAAAGAAACGTAATGGTATTAAAATTAAGAATCAATTTCTGACACAGGATCGAGACACCTGATGGGGCAAACACAGCTGCTGTGATGATTCCCAAGCCTGGTAATGGGGAGACAATGAAGCTGGTTTCCGCCTCAAACATTCTCCGACCTCTTCCACTGCTTTGCCTTCTTCTCATCCTCTATTTAACCTTATCAACATAGATGGAATCTTCTAACCTTGCCAAGATGAAGCAATTCTACAGAATACATTCTTGCCTGGATCTGAATGGCGAACAGCTTCACAAATCTTGCGCACAGAGTTGGCCTAAGAATAAACTCAGCCAAGAGCACTAAGTGCCATTCCATGGGAATGCATTCTTTTCCCAGAATGAAGTTGTTAAATTGAATTGGCTCACAATTCTATAAGAACATCATTCGAATCATGGCTACAATTTAGCTCTCAATTTGACTTAGTTATAGCATTTCTATTATAGAGCTGAGCTGCAAGTTGGTGGGTTGTGATACGCAAAACAAAAATAAAAGTAGAATAACCATTAGTTTCTTCCAAAATAAATTAAATAAACTATGATGATTAGATCCAGCAAGTAAAGAAAACTAATCTAATTGTGATTTCTATATCAACCTCAATCAGCTAGGTTATATCTGCTCATTAATGGTTCAATGATTTATGCAATATGTATGATAAATACATTGCACTCAAGTCTCTTATTTTTTAGTCTTGGATTTCTTCGATACTTGGGTCTTCTTTCTTACTTTTTTCACTGGCTGCGGCTTTCCTGCTGCAGTTTTACCTTTCTTTCGAGCCACTCCCTGCATCCAAATTTTCATAAATAAGCACAGATGGAATTTATTGTAAAGCTAAGCAAAAGCACGGTTCTGGCAGTGCACTGCTGCACTAAAGACATTGAATTACTAGAAAAGATTCAGAAACATACAGATGATTTCTCAGCTTTTCTCTTAGTTTTTCCATTGGCCGGTTCTTCAATGCCCTCGTTCTGATCAGTTGGATGAGCAGTAGCCTTTATTATCTTGTCAGTCTCATCTTCAGAATCAAAAGAAAAACCCTCAAGCGTTCCTACCCATACAAGTCATTTCACCAAACTACAAAAATGAGTTTTTTTCTTTTTTAATTCAAAAGAATATTTCTCAATAAAGTAATTGCAATAAAGAAACCATTAAAAAAATGCCAACCTTCAACCATAGTTTCAGCTTCAAAAACATTAGACTGCGTTTTTAGCTGAATGAAGTCATTCATGATAGCCTCTATCTGATCAAGCACAATAGACCAAAAATAATAAGATAAAATTATCTGATCTGCATAGAATGAGTAATGTGAAGAGGAAATAGGACACACCTTTGCCTCTGATTGACCAAAGCTAACCTGAACCAGAAGAGAAACATGTTATATCACGCAATCATGCATTTCAAAAGTAAAATGTAGAACAGAACCCATGGAAATCATGAGAAAGGAAAAGGAGGGGAGGGTGTTAAATTTGCAAATCAAAAAATTCAAGTAGAGATCCCTTGCATACAACGCAAAATGTTCTGGTAGGAACTATTGTTGTTCTGTATATTGTGCCTGAAACGAACAATGTTAACCAAATCAGAAGCAAGCTCTTTATGGAAGCATGCTTAACAAAAAGTTAAGGACAAGGTTTTCAAGGTGGATATTGAAACTGAGCCAACAATGAAGTAGAGGTGAAAAACAAAAGAGAAGAGCACATAAGGCACTAGTCAACATGGTAAAGTAGAATGTAGGGGAAATAAAACAGCAAACTTTTTGTTGGGAACCTTTTCATAGATTGCTCAAGCTACTTTCTAATGAAGTTTAGTTATAGCAACATTAACATGATTGCTGTGATATAAGTGCCAAATTTGGGAAATCATGCAAAATGATTCTGAAGGAAAAAAGCCTTTCCACTTCAGAAAACCTAGTGCAAAAGCTTTTTTTATCTGCCACTGAGAAATGGTTGAGCTCTCTTCTGGTTCTATTAGAGGGGAAATATTTGAAATATTATACCAAATCACCATAATAAAACAAAAAAGATACCTTTTAAGTCTAGGTACATTTCAGAGTTTCCAGATGGGGTATCTGGAATCACTACTCGCCCAACAGCCCCCATATCACCACTTAGATCAATGGATTCGCCTTCACACTCAACAAGTGCCTGCACCATAAAGCTTTTGATTAATCACTATTGTGCTTGTGCAAGCATACATAAATTTGTGAATTCATTTCTTTATATACATAGATTTATATATTTTGTGGTCAAAGCATAGAACCACCAAGCCAGAAGCAAACCCATTATTAAGTAGTGTGGTACATGGTGCAGAAAACAATCTCTAAGAGGGGCCAAATAACTAAGCAATACAAAAATAAGTGGCCAGCAGCGCTTAGTTTGCTTCATCCGAGAACTTTCTTCTCTCCTCCCTGGACTTTAAACCTTAATTATTTGAATCTCTACAAGATATTGAGACATAAGACCTAAAAATACATGAAAACTATGTCTATTAATAATATCCAAGTCAGCACCTTAGAGTTTGAAAGTCAAATGATATCTAGAATTAAAGCACATGAACAAGTGATAACCAAGACAAATCGGAAACCTACCTTGGAACGCTGGACTTTCTCAGAGAGCACCAATGGTAACCTTGATGTAGAAACCTGCATGCTTATGTTGCTAAGTGAATTGCGTGAACCATGGGCAAGGGATAAAAAGATTGGTTGCTACTGATAATTCTTACATGAGCATTGACATGCTTCTCAGACGTGTCTTCCTCTGTAATTTCCACATCCCCATCGTTTCCTGTAACGTCAATCAAGAACATTTTAAGAATATGAGAGAGAGAGATCTCAGCATCAAATTTGGAGAGCAGTAAATTAACCACAATTTCCCTCTTCTCCTTGTACCTCTACTTTGCACAAAATCATTTTCATTCTTCCCCTTCTTTGTTGTGTGACCCTCTCCTTTTGGAAGTTTTTTCGGAGATTTACTTTTTGAGGCCTTTTTTACTGGAGACACTTCTCTGCTATGCAAAGGAATGGGGTCCTCATCGTTTCCACTCTCTTCAACATTACTTTTTTTGGCATCTCGTGTAGGGCTATTATCAGGACAAGACTCAGAGTCCGATGATAATGCCCAAACTGAATGGTTTGAAGCCTGTTAGCATCATTGTACTTGTCATTAACACCAAACATATAAATAGCAAGCTAGACATCTTCCAACAAATTTCATAATCATTAACTATAACAGCATTACCCCATCTAAGCTTCATGTAAATTGATTCATCAAGATACATAGAAAAATAGATAGCTAATAAATAGAGAATAAAGAGTAAAATTCAGGGTTATCTTGGAGGAACTCCGACAAATTAATTAGATTGTAAGAGAAGTTTAGAAAGACGTAACTACAGTGTAGGTTGCATATGAAAAGCTTAAAGAACTAAAAATTCAAAACCAGTGACCATGCTAGAGTTTCCTTATAAAGAAACATTCCACACCAAGAGCTGTAGAAAGAAAGTCAAAAACTAGCTGACAGCATACAATATCACGTTAGTGCAATGAATGGTTAGAAATTAGATATTAACATCAAAATTTGCTACAGTAGCAGATGACATTTAGTGTGGGTAAGGGGACAAGCCAGCCATCTGATTCCTTCACCTATGAAACCAAGAAGGATGTCACTCTTAGAACACTTCTGGCTTTTAGCAGAACATCAAAGATGAACTTCCCTCAGTTTGCTCTTTGAAATCACCCACAACATTACCGAACATGAGCTTTTGAGTTTTGGCAATACATAAAGTCTTCATTGGCATATAACTATTGATCGACAGTATTACTTTACTACAGGAGTCATGTAAAGCCAGCAGAAGCAATATTTATTTTGTGATATTTGGCATTGGACAAAATTCTCCCCCAAACTTCGTTAACTCCCAAAACAGACTATGGTTCATACTTTATAGATTTCTGAACTGATCAATCAAAAACTATTGGCAGTAAACTCAACAGAATACGAACAAAGTGTTGGTATAAATGTTCTTACACGAGGTTCTTCAGTATGCTTTGCAGATGTGCCATCCTCGACATCTTGCCCATCATCCCAATCCCCTAAATCAACAGGGAAAAAAAAAGAGTACAATACATGAAAGCCAATACTAGATGAATTTGCAAAGAACAGAACCATTGAAGAAAACAAAAGAAATTGTCGCAAAACCACCATAACTAAGGCTTAAAAGTAGTGGTACTGTGGCTACCATCAAAGCACAGACCAATACTGTTTCACTAAACAAATTGTAAAGCAAAACCCTTGTTTCACCTTTTCCTTTTTTCTTCCTTGCTGCTCCTTTTGCTTTGGAAATCTTATTCAACAGAGAGTCTGCAGTGCTTGGACCAACAAGATGGTTGCCTTCCTCTGAAAATTGAGAAGCAGTTGTGTCATCCCTAGAAGGACTAGCCTTAGATGAAGAGGTTGAATCCGAGGACAATGTCAGAGTTGGGGCCTGTTATGGAATGCTTTAATTCATTAGTACCCAGGATTGGAAACATTATAACAACAGTAAATGAGTAATACTCCTATGAGGATAATTATTGGTTATTGTTCTTTGTTGCTGGCAAAGAAAAGTAAATAAAAATGGAAGCAACAAATAATGATGTTTGAAGAACAAAAAGGAAAAGAACAGACCTGGAAAGAACGGAGCCAGTCTGGAGAATCCTCCCTGGAGCTGTTGCTCATTTTGGTTGAACTCTGCTATAGTTTAGCAGCAATCAAACTTCAACATGCAAATATTAATAATCTCCAAAAGAGCTTCTGTTATTAGTCTTACTTTATTTAATTAAATGCAGCAATGGAATTCCTAAGTACAAATTATGCAGTTAAAGGATGAATTTGTAGATGCAAGACCACTCCACTTTCGTTTAATTTTCAAATTACTTGATCCAGAAAAAAAGGCAGAGAGAAAACCCTAACACCGGAAAGACAGAAATGGTGGTGCATGAATCATAAAATAAAGTGAAAAAAGGAAAGAAATGTCTGACAAACAAACAGCACAGAGAGCAAGAGGAATCTTACCAGAGCAGGAGCAGTACAAAACAAAAGAATCAATGGCGTCCCGTCCAGTCTAGGTCCAGGCACCATAAACGGAGTTCTCAATCTCCCTCCATGTCACTGTGTCTATATGCTACAGCCTAGCCTGGTTTGCATCGTGGCCAGAAAAAACGACAGCGTATACTTACAACATTCAAGACTCGGGCTGCTCAGATATAAGAAGCGTCTTGGTGGGCGGGTGAGGTAAAATCAGTTTGCATTGCAATACTGGGACTAGGGTTGGAGACCAGAATGGGCCTAAAGCCCTGACACAACTTAACCAGCCGAGTCCATCACTAATTCTTTTTTTTTTTTTTTAACTAATTGACGGATTGTCTTGTGATCGGCACTAGATCAAGAGAAAGTACACATCATCAATTGTGATTATAAAAAATAATTAAAATAAAATCATGATTTTTTATTCACTTCGGTGTTTAAAACATTATTCACTCTGAGTTATTTTATTATTTATCCAAACTTATATGTATTATTTTTTTCATTATACAATATATTTTTTGTTGTTTTTAAATATTTTTAAAACATTTATTATCAAAATTTTCATAATATTACATTTTGATCTCTTTTTTTAACTATTATTTTTTTGATCTTTGATTTTTTTATTTTTATTTTGGTCCCTCTTTTTGGTTTCGTTTTGACTATTTTAATACTTTCTTTTTTTTCCTTTGATTTTTTAATTAAAAAATTTAAGGTAAAAGGATGTTTAGAAAAAAATTTTAAAAATAAGTTTTTAATTAAAAATATGAATAAAATAAATAAAAATTTGATAAAAAAATTAGTTAAATACAAAATTTTAATTATAAAATTATAAAATTGAATGAATTTTTGTTTCGTTTTGATTTAATATATTTTGATTAACGCATGATATAACATGAAATATCAAAATAAAATAATTTTTGAGAATAATTTTACGTATTATGCAATGGATTAAAAAAAATACTAGTAAAAACTACAACATTGAGTTTCTCTTCTTCTTTTTTTTTTTTACCTCAAGTTTACGAATAAGTTGAGTGGATATTGTCCACGTATTAAGAGTAATTCCTTTGAATTTTCAAATTAGATACAATCCGTTAGGATTTTAACTTTTATTTTCTTTATAGCAACCTTATATTCTAAGTATTGGTATGTCAGATAAAATATATTTTTCTCTTGTAGTTGGATTTATTTTTTTCAGTAAGTGATTTGATGATATTTCAACTTGTAAAAATATATAAAAAAATATTAACAATAGAGTGATAAATTTCCACTGAATTATTTTTTCCATTAAAAAGCATAAATCAGGAATCATTATATTAACTTCCTGTCTGTAATCATATCATACAAAAAAAAGTGTTAAAAAGAAATAAAAAGGTTCATTTACAAGCAATTAATCATTTAATTTATTAAGTTATTATAAAATAAAAACAAGGGGGAAATCGATAATACCTAAGCGGTAAAAAAAAAAAAAAAAAGAGTACAATTATACAAATAAAGGACATAAAAACAAAGGAAAGAGAAAGGAGAAGCATCCCTCCTCTCCTATTACTATACATCTCTATCCACTCGGTAGCTCGAAGCAGCAGCGGCGGCAACAAACACTGAAGGAGAAAAGAAAAGAAATGGAGCAGCAGGGTAAACAAGGAGTGGTGGTAGCCAAACTGTTACCCAATCAAGACCCAATTAAGTTCGTACAGTTCAAGTATAAGGAATTGGAGGATGGCTTCAAGTCTTGGTTGTCCAAACAGTCTTTGGCTGTCGAGGCCGCTGTTGTCACTGCCACCAGCGGTGTTCAAGGCGCTGCCATCGGAGCCATCATGGGTACCATCACCCCTGACATCTCTTCCTCCATGCCAACTACTCCTCCTCAGGTCGCCCACAACCCTCAAGCCATGGCCTCTCTCAAGCAAGCCCAAGTACTCTACCTATCTCCTATCTTACATACTCCTCGTTCTTCTTATTTATTCTGTTTAATTAATATTTCTACGAAAGGGTTTATCTTTTTACCGTTCTTGAATTGCTCTGCTTTGAAATTGGAGACGATTAATTACCCTAAATGGATATATCAAAGATATAATTTTTTTTGTTCCTCAGATAACATAGAATTAGTTTCATCATCTAGTTACAAGTAGAATGTTATGAAAGTTTATAAGTTAAATAAAAAATAGGGTTTTACTCTTTACTGCATCAGAGTCAATTTTGTTACTCGTTTGCTACAGTGCTGTATGAGCTTCGAAATTGGAATTCTAGCTCACAAGGTTGATGGGGATCCCAGTGGCATAATCCACCAAGCAGTTTTTGCTTCTAGTAATGAAAAATGGTGAATCTCTGTTCGGTTCAGATGAGTTTTATGTCGCACATTCTTTTTCTTGAAACTCGGTTAAGCATTCCTAGGGAGAATGAGGTGGAGATGGCAAAAGTCCTTCAGAATTGATTTATCTTTGCAATTATATTTCTAGTTAAGATGTCAAAGTAGATTGGTTCAGCAAGCCTACGTAATGACTAGAATTAATCGAGACTGCTTGATCCATTAAGATATATTGCTAATGTTTAACAAACAATATGCTTCACCTACAGGCTTTGGCTGGTGGTCCCTTAATACAAGCTCGCAACTTTGCTGTAATGACTGGAACTAATGCTGGTATAGCCTGTATCATGAAGAGATTGCGTGGCAAGGAGGATGTCCAATCTAGGTTAACTGTTTCTGCATCCCTTTTCCTTTGCTTATGTTCTCCTTTTTCAGGCAAGAATCTTTTTTCATGTCTTCCCGTTCTCCTTAATGGGATGATCGACCTCATAAAATGTTATTTTAGTTGAATTTCATTTAGCATATCGTGGTGTTTATCTCCACATAATGGAATCCTAAGCACTAGAAATGTATAAACTAATTTGTCACAGATAGTAATTACCAACGATTTTTGTCTATTTATCATATGCCTCTAATGGAATCTATTGGAAAAGGGAAGAGTTTGGGGCTTGAATCCTATAGTTGTATTGAAAGAGAAGACTTGGGAATACAATAGATGGATTAGAATGGCCAGAAAATATAGAAATGAATGGATCAATGCCTGATTTAACCTGTCTTTTGGTGCTCTATCATTATTGTCATGTATTAAACTCGTCCTCTCATTCTACAACCAGTATAGATCTTATTAAGGAAAATTAGGTATTAAATGGTAAACAAATTCGTGGAAATTCAAAATCAGTGGTTGGAAATGAGATATTTTTGTGGAAGGATACCGTGTATGGCTGGAGATTGGGTCAAAAAATCTCCAATTTTCTTTAGCTCAATGTACTTCACGTTCCAAGATTACTTATCCCAAGGTGCTTTAAGTCCAATTCTTTCGTTCACTGATAATGAAGCCTACAAAATTGTATCCATCCCTTGTCAATCTTAGAGTATTCAAACATATCCATGGCCTCTCCAAAATATTGTTCTGTTTCGTTTTTCTTTTTGACTCTTGGATTATATGAGATGTGCAATATGTATCTGGAGTCATCTGACCCAAATTTCTATTGGGGCATTTCAAGCATTCATGTTCTGCAGGCTCTTGAACTTGTTGATTACTTATTCATGCACCCACTAAATATTATAAATTTTTGGTTGCAGCATGGTTGCAGCTTTTGGTTCTGGTGCCATGTTTTCATTGGTGAGTGGCATGGGCGGCCCAAACAATGCTGCAAATGCAATCACTTCTGGACTTTTCTTTGCATTAGTTCAGGGTGGTCTTTTCAAGGTAAAGCTTTAAGGGAAGATTTATGTCTCTTTTCAACAGAATCACATGCTACAGTAGGTTTGTTTCTTTGCCCATGCAAGCTGTGAGTATGTATTGAAAAAGCATTCATATGGAGGCTGTTTGATATTAGTCCTGCCGAAAACATTTCTTGCATTTGCATAAGAGAGTCAATCAGTTCTGCAGTCTTTTTTCTATCTTGAGATCATTCTTATGTTCTGATTTTAAACTATGTTCTCCAACAACCTTCTGTTGGTTTTACACTTTTTGATGCTGAGATAAACTTTTATGTGATTATTTAGTTGGGGGAGAAGTTCTCTCAACCACCAGCTGAAGATTTGCACTATGCCAGAACAAGATCCATGCTAAGTAATCTTGGCCTCCAAAATTATGAGAAGAATTTCAAGAAAGGGTTGTTAACAGACCACACTTTGCCTTTGCTGACTGATAGGCAAGTTAGATGATCTAGTCTTCAGTCACCTTCTGTGCGATTAATTTGCTTGTCTTTTATCAATATTTATCAAGTAATATATCATTATTTCCTTAAAAAGGATCCGAGGTGATCATTGAATGCTATTTTGTTTGTTGGTCTTACAGTGCTCTTAGAGATGTGAGAATCCCTCCTGGACCAAGGCTTCTCATTCTTGATCATATTCGAAGGTCTGGCTTGTACTCTATCCACGACACCATGACCTTTGGTCATTGAATTTTATCTGATTTTGAATCTTTTTTTGTTTGTTTGTTTGTTTAGGGACCCGGAGCTGAGAGAGAAGACATGCAAGTCGTGATTGATGATGCGTTTAGAAAAAATGAATTAGCTATGAAAGATCACTTTGTTTTTTAATACAGCAGAGATTAGGAGGAGTAGTTGTTGTCTCTTAATAAGATAGTCATTTTCTCACAAACCATCCTTCGAATTCAATGTTGTTAATCTATTCTCCAAGGAACTTCTTCGATATACCAAAGCTTTAAATTTTGGTAAATTGGTCTTGATTGCTGTGGAGCCATGAATTGAATGATATTTCACCTAGCTTTTTTAGCGAACGCAGTGGTAATGTCTAAACTCGAATCTGGTATGATATTTGGTTGGAGCAGTTGTGTGCATGGTAGCGTGTGTTTTATGCTTTACTTTTTGGGAATTAAGGTTTTGCTTGGAACTGCAATTCAGCATCTCATGGTGCATCCTGCCTAATCTCGCCCTTTGAATTTTTCTCCCAGGCATTAATAATTCTTTTCAAAATTTTGAGAGTTTAACACCCGAATCAAGTGGGGTTTTTCTTATTTTATTATCCTCTCCTTTCAACTAGACAGCTCACAGCTGCACCAAGGCTTAAGTTTCCCCTTTTCCATCTTAACTGATAAAATATCCTCTACTAAAATTTTAAGTGCTTTCTTAGTTTATTATCAATAAATTTTTTGTTAACAAATATGTGCAACGGTGCAAGGGCAAACTCTGGCTGCGTAGATAAAAACAGTTAGTTAAACTCTGGCTGCCTAGGTGAAAGAGGTTAGTTAAACTGCTCAGCACTGTATTTGTGAAATCTATGCCTAGGTGAAAACAGTTAGCCTTAGGTTGACGGCAACCATAGCAGGCAAGGTTATTTGTGAAATCTATGCCTAGGGGAGTTGCTGTCAGAACACTTATGAGACATAGATGATTCTTTCAACTCTTTTTAACTTCTTTGATTTTGCCGAAGAAGGTTATGGTACCTGATTAACCACAAGAGAAAAAGAACAAAGAGAGGGCTAGAGAAAATACTGCTGAAAAAAGAAGCAACTAAGGCAGGAAGGAAGAATAAACAGAATTTATTCACACTTTCTAGAAAAACAATGTACAAAATTATTGACTTTCCGCTCCTAAAAAGGGAGAGAGGAATAGAGTTGCCATAGCTAGACAGAGACACCTAATTGACAACAGATCACACACAAAGGTGCCAGTAACATCACTGCCTGCTCCCAAATTATTTACATATGCTGGTCGAGGAGCCAAAAACACCGGAAAAAAAAAAAAAAAAAACTGGGGAGAGGGGAGATGACGATGTTAATTGGTGACCGGATGAAGGTGGAGGAGGTTATGGGCTTGAGAGAGCTCGTTCATGAGAGAGAGAATGCGGGCATGATAGGCACGGGCCTGATCGACAGCCTCGGCCTCCAGCTCACCCAGCTGGGAACAGAGCCTCTCCTCAGCCTCCTCTGCCACTCTGAGCCTCTCAAATGCCCTTTGTAGCTCCGACTTCATCTTCTCTTCCCTCTGCTGGCTTTCTATGAGGGCTTTCTCCAGCTCCTCGTTTCTCTTCTTTAGGATCATCTCCTGATCTCTTTCCTTGACAAACCCCATAACTACTATTATTGTTGTTGGGTATTTTCTCTCTTTTTCCTCGGGTACAAGATCAGCCACTCAAATTTTATCACCCTTGCTTTATGCTGCTAGACCATCTCCCCTTTAGGATTTATAGGCCAAATGAGTTATGTCCAGGTTCAATGTATCTACTCTCCCATCTCCAATGGACTAGTATTTCTGTTATAACATTTCGTTTCCACATGCTTGCTTACGTATGTGCTTTCCTATTACTGTAATTTTGTTATGAATGCTTAGTAATTTAGTCACTGTTTTTACTGAAATATAATAACTTAGCCCATCTAATTTTAAAAAATCATTAATCAATCCCTTTATCATCATGATTGTCAATTTATTAAACGCTCACTTAGTTTTTCTTAGAAACAGTGTACTTTTTGAAAAAATGAACTCAATTGGTGACCATGAAGCACTGTATTAACTCACTTATTAGAGGGACTGAGTTAAAAACATCAAAATGCAATGTGAGATGGTTTAAACTATAAGGACTATCTTTTGTCTTTTTTGGACGAAAAAGACAAGAAAAAGAAAACGGTAGCGTGTCCTTCCACTCCCACTAATAAGGACACCCAACGACCCAATGCCATTTTGCTTTTTCTTTTTTCTTTTTCCCATCCGGCTCCGGGTCCACTCTTATTTTACTTTTTTTTTAAAAAAAAAAAGGTTTGATCCCGTACTCGAGTAAATTATAAATCAGTCCCTTTATTTTTTTAAAAGTAAATTAATTAGTCATTTTTATTTTAAAAATAAATATATCAATATGTTATTATATAATATCAAATATTGTCCATATTTAATTTAATATTAATTTTTAAAAAATATTTTTTTTCTTGTCAATCACTCTATAATATATAATTTTTTTTCTTTTTTTATTTTTTAAACTAGAAAAATAAAACAAAAATAAATAGATCAATATGTCGTTATATAATATCAAAAATATTCAATCTATCATTTCTATCGGTTTTTTAAACTATAAGAGATAATTTTTAACAAAAATGCTCTTCATATATATATATATATATATATATATGAGTGAGAGAGAGAGAGAGAGAGAGAGAGAGAGAGAGAGAGAGAGAGAGAGAGAGAGAGAGAGAGAGAACGTTGTGTGACTTTATGTAACAACCAATATTTTGAACCTAGCATATGCATATGTGTGAGATATTTTAAATTATAAGTACTATATTTTGTCTTTTTTGGACCAAAAAGATAAGAAAAAGAAAACGAGAGCTTGTCCTTCCATTCCCACTGATAAGGACACCTAATGCCTTTTTTTTTCTTTTTCTTTTTCGTCTGGCTCCGGCTCCACTTTATTTTACTTTTTTTTTAAGAAAAAAACAAGGTTTGGTCCCATACTCGAGTAAATTATAAATCAATCCCTATATAACTATATGCTAAGTTCAAAAGGTGTATGTTTTGACTTGAGCAAGTATTTTTTCTTGACTATGTTATTTTTAAGGATAAGATTATGCATAATGGATCCTAGTAAGATTGAGGTAGTGCAATGGTGGAAGCAACTAGAGAATATGTCCATAATGAAGAGTTTTCTTGGCAAGACAAGTTATTATTGAAAGTTTGTGAAAAGATTTTCAAAAATAGCCACTCCACTTTCAAAATTGATAAAGAAGAACATAAAGTTTGTGTGGAATGATGAATGTGAAAGGAGTTTTCAAGAGTTGAAATTCAAATTAACTACGATACCAATTTTAACTCTTCTATCGGACAACAAAGATTTCATAATTTACATAGATACGTCGAAGGTTAGACTTAAAGCTATTTTGATACAGCTCGACGAGTGATTGCCTATGCCTTACGATAGTTGAAAAACTACGAAAAGAACTATCCAACACATGACTTAGAGCTAACAGTCATGGTTCATGCCTTTAAGGTTTAAAGATATTACTCGTATGAGACTAAGTGTGAGATCTACAGTGACCATAGAAGTCTCAAGCACATATTCACTTAAAAAGAGTTGAACATGAGATAAAGACAACGGCTTGAAGTATTCGAAGATCATGACATTGCTTTCCATTATCACTTAAATAAAGCGAATGTTGTAGCAAATTCTTTAAGTCAAAAGCCATGGGTTGTGATGCAAATAAAAATCGTTAAAGACATAGAAAGGCTGCAGTTGGAGATTCTAACGAGAGGGTACAATAGTGGTTTGTTGTGTGCTATGTGTAAAAATCGGACAAGAGGTAAAAAAAAAAAAAATTAAAGAGGGGCAATTGTTATGTTAGATATTAAATTAATTAAAATTCAAAAGAAATGGCGGAAAGGAAGAAAAAAAATCTAACCGTAAACAAGTGACAACATTTGGCACTACTACAACATATTGTATGTTCTAGTAGTGAAGGAATTACAAAAAAATATTTCGAGAGACACTCATGTTACACCTTACCCAATTCATCCAAAAAGTATAAAGACATACGAGAGGGTTGAAAAAATTCTACCGATGGAAGGGAATGAAATGAGACATTGCTAAATTTATGGCTAAGTGTTTGATGTGCCAACAAGTCAAATTCGAACATCAACGTATATCCGGACTATTGAGGCCATTGGACATTTTAAATAGAAATGGAAACACATCATGATGGATTTTATATTTGGTTTACCAAGATCCGAGAGAAGGGATAATAGCATTTGAGTGATTGTGAATAGATTGACAAAAGCGACTCATTTTCTTACGATGAAATCTATTTATACAATACAACGAGTATGTTGAATTCTATCTAAAAAAGTTTCTAAGGTTATATAGGATTCATATATTGATTGTATTGGATCGAGACCTATGGTTTACATAAAAAATTTAGAAGAGTTTTTACCTAATGATAGACACCAATATGAATTTCAATACAAACTTTCATCTATAAAGTGATTGACGGACCGAGAGAATGAATCAAATTGTAAACGATATGTTACAAGCTTGTGTCTTAGATTGGTTTACGAAATAGGAGAAGTATTTACCATTGGCTAAATTTACATACAATAAAAGCTACTAAATTAGCATTAGAATGCCACCCTATAAAGCAATGTATGAAAGAAAATGTCGATCACCGATGTATTGAGATGATGTTAGTGAACATAAACTATTGAAACTCAAAATGGTTCAATAAACCATCGAGGTTTTAAAGTAAGTTAGATTGAGAATGAAGATCGCTCAAAGTAGGCGGAAGAGTTATGTTGATAAAAGAATAAGAAGTCTAGAGTTTAAGATTGGGGACAATGTGTTTTTGAAAGTTGCATTTATGAAATGGGTAATAAGGTCGGGGAAGAAAGATAAATTATGTTCGAGATACGTTAGGTTATTTGAAATACTATAGAGGGTTGGAGATGGAGCGTATCGATTAGCTTTACCTTCATATCTTGCTCGCGTATGTCTTTCATGTGTTTATGTTACAAAAGTATATCAAAAACCCAAGGCATGTTTTGAAGTTTGAGTCCCTAGAACCGAAATCAAATTTGAGTTACAAATAGGGGCCAATACATGTACTAGATCGAAAGACTAAACAACCGATGAACAAACAAATTGCCTTGGTTAAGATTTTATGAAGGAATAACAGTGTGGAAGAAGCTACGTAGGAACGAGAGACCGAAATAAGATGTAAGTTTCTTAAGTTATTTGAGTAAGTTAATTTCGATAGCAGAATTTTTATAATAAGGGAAGTATGTAACAACCGAGACTTTGAACATAATATATGCATATATGTATGTGTGTTTATTTTGTTAAGTATATGTATGTTATGCTTTGTGTTTATGTTGATGAAAATTATCATGTCATGACATGTGATTTACGTTGATAAAAACTATTATATCATGACATGTGATAATCCTCGATGAATATTTGGTTTTACAAGTTTATGTTTCTAAGTGTTATGTGTGGGTGACTAAGGAACTCGAGCGTGACATTTAAAAGACCGAGGACATAAGTGAGTTAAGTAGCAAAGTAAGATGACTAGTTTGTTAGGCTTTTTAAAGTTGAGGAACCTATAAGTCGTTGGGTGTCAACCTAAAAATATAACTTGACTTAATGTCTCATACACTTGTCAACCTTAGGCTTTCTTAAATTATTTTAATTCGGCCTGTAGGGGAAAGATGGGGAGAGTTGCTAAGTTTCATTTGTGGTGGTTTAGTATTGAAAAACCTAAGAGCAACAAGAGAGAAAATTGATTTTGACAAGCGAGCTTTAGTCGAGAAAGACAGTTTGGTCGATATGAAGGAATTCTAGGTAGCGTGTTGTCGAATAAAATAGAAAAGAAAAGTGAAATGTTTACGAGTTTTTGGGTGTTCTCAACAATAGCTATACCACTAAGGTAAGTGTAATCTAACTCACCATATGATTTTGTGTCCATGTGTTTACTTAATGATCAAACACTTGTGATGATATGTTCACTTGATGTTTTGCACTTTAATTGTGTATCCATGCCATAAGAATGCTTTATAATGATTCAAGTATTCAAAGAAAGGCTAATGTTCATGTTCAAATAGGGTTTACAAAAGAGAATGATTTGGTGTATACTTTATGTAAGGCTCTCGGTTAGACTATGTCTAGTTTTTTCAAGGTTTTTATAAAGCATGGTTTTAAAAGAGGGCTGAATAAGATATTTAGCAGAATGTGTTTGAAAGAAGAAAATGAATTTCGGCATGAAAAATATGTTTATTGAGTCCATGCATAATTACACTTAATGAGCTCGGCTTATTATTTGTCTTGTGATGTAGGTGAGCACAATGATATGTAAATACATGTCTGTGACATTAAAGATGTTGTCGTGAGTGTCCCGAGTTTACTAAAGTGTGTACTATATGTATAGGTTTAAAGTTTAAAGGTTAAATAATGCTTATATTTCATATGTTTGGTCACTTTTATTTGTAAACCCATATTACATTTGGGCTATTTTGATATGTCAACTTAGATATGAGTTTGCACGTTTATGAAATGGTTTTACAATTTGTGAAACTTGTGTTGGCTTTAAAATTTTTAATTCGAGGTCAGTCTTGAACTTTAAATATAAATATTTTTATTATGCATTGTATGTTATACACAAGTTAAAGGTCATAGGGATTTATCTCATATTCTACGAGTGTGTGGCATGCTTGTCACAATCCTAGCCTCCGTAACACTCTTAGTCTCCTTGAGGTCGAGAGTGTTACACTTTAAGTATTTTTTGTAAGTTGCCTTTTTTTTTTTTGGCATTTAGTAAAAGATATTTCAATAAAAAAAACTTATCCATGGTTGAAAAATTTGATCAAAATAATAGATTTAACATTTTAAAATTTTTCAAGAATACATGTGATGTAATTAAAAATTTAGAGACGAGATGAAAGAATTTTGATATTATATAAAAACATATTAATCTATTTAGAGAAGAACATAATACAGACAAAAAAAAAAACCAATAAATTAGTTTTTTGAAATAAGGACTGATTAATTTATTTATCAAAACTTGAGAGACTAATTTGTAATTTACTCATATAAGCAAATCTTGGAGATCTGTGGTATTGCATTAAGCAACTGTTTATGCTTTTTTATTCATGCTCAAAGGCTTTTTTTTGGTTGTCATGAAAATGCCTAATGCTTTTGTTTTGCTAATTCAGCTAATTGTATTTCCACCAATTCAAAAAATCAACGGTGTATTTCGCTTTTATGCTTTTCTTTTCTTTTCCTTTTAAGTCTTACTATGGAATACTTGCTTCTTCTTTTTTTTTTTTTTTTTTAAAAAAACCAGTACTAGTTTATTTTCAACTGAAATCAAAATAAAATAGACAGATCAGCTAACGGCAGATTTTGTAATCTGCTCTAGAATATTCTAAGGATTCGCTCTCTTTATATATATATAATATACAGGAAGGAGACATTTTGATTTTTATATACAACTACAAGCGATGCATTCCAGAAGCAGAGGGCTGAGTTCTCTAAGTTGCAATCCACGTACGTTATTAATTATGTATTACAAGTTTGAAGAAATGATGTCTTGGGAAGACAACCAATGACCTTTTCCTAGACAGCGACATGCGACCTGATCTTAATTTTTATTTCTGTAAAAATTAATTAGTGACGATGCATATATTTGATCTGAAATAGACAAAAACAGGAGAGACAGGTGGCAACAAATGGAAAGGCTATTAGTGTAGTGGGGCCCTCTTTCCACTCTATTGTTTGATGCTGCTGACCCAAATTTGTTTCTTTACTTTTGCCATCCTATCGAGTGCGCATCCAAGGATCGATTTGATGGCAACCTCACCCCGAGTTAATCAGAGGGTAAAAAAAAAAAGTTTAATTTGGGAGATATTTTCTTAAATAGTTTCTCTTAGGCACGATCGAGTACTGAGCCATCCGAATCAACCTGGGCTAATCTAGTTTTAAAGGAGTTCAAACTTGAGCGTCGGTTTGGTTTACAATAATAGTTTGACTTGCTGAGGTTTGAGAATGGTCGGTAAATTAATAAATAATTTAAGATGGAATTGCTTAGTTTAAATTCCATTCTTCACACTTGTTTTTTGTAACTACCGCAAAGACTTAAACATGTTTTTTTTTTTTTTTTTTTTTTTTTTTTTTTTGGGGTGGGGAGAGTTTTAAGAGCATAGGAGATTTAAAATGCTAGATTTTAAAACCAGTATGTACCCATCAAAAATGGTTGAAAATTAATATTTTTGAATTATTAAAAAAATTATCATATATTTTGACTATATATAATTTAATTGATCTAGATTTATGCAAGATACGAAAAAGCTTATTGAAAACTATTTAAAATGTTTCACTATAGATTATCAATTTAATTAATATTTAGTAAAAATATACCCTATTATATATATATATATATATATTAGGGGGGAAGATTCATGAGCTAACTTAAGATAAAATTTAGGTCGGTGAAGTAGATGAGCTGAAGCAAATTCAGCTAAATTTAATATATTTGCCTTGTTCATCAACGAAGCGAATAGGGGTCCCTCTAATTAGTTTTTTGTTTCAGGAATTAGGTTTATTACAAACTTAATTGAGCTCAAAAAACCACTTGAGCTTGATATAATTCAAATTTGACTACTGTAAGAATTTGTTTGAGTTTGGCCATTGACCATTGTTCTGATTAAAACGAGCCTGTAATGTAATAAGTTGAACTTTTGGTAATGCTCCTCCTCCTGGGAGTCGTCAGTCTTAAGCAGCTTCTGTTGAATGAGTAGTTAGGTTAGGTCTTCCTGCTTTGGGTGTCTGGGCCCACTAATTCAGTTGGCAATGGACTCTTGACGGGCTGAAGACATCCTACATCTACACTACATGTGCGTTGTCAGGAAAGCATCAAAGTGATCCAGGCCCAATTGAGTTACCCGTCATGAAATTGCAAACCTAATAGTTAGGAAAATGGACGCAGAAGGCCCAACCCAAAAGAAAGCATAAAAAAGAAAGTAAGTTGAATGTTTAATCCCTTTTTTGTGATTTCATCTGTTGTTTTGATTAGCGTCATTAGCTGCCACTCTTTATTTTATTAATTTTTAATTTCAAATTTATAAACCAATGGGATAATTAATGACCCAAAAAGATGATTTACCCCTTAAAAAACCCTAATAATTGATAATTGAGGTATATATAATAATATAAAACGAAAGGATGATGATGGTCGTGCGGAGTGTATTATTAAGGAGACAATTATAGAAGAGAGAGGATTTTTGAAATGAAATGAGATGGGTTTTAGGCCTTAGGGTGAGTAAAAAGATTAAGAATTAGTAACATGTTTTGGATCATATGAATCATGCAGTAGGATAAAGTATAAAACTAATTTTCCTTTTTAACCCCTCCCCTTTCCATTTCCATTTCCATAACCAATCCAACCTCTACTTTCCCTTTTCTTTTCTTTCAAACCAGTTTCCTTAACTATTACAACTACGACTATCACTACCAGGAATTCTATTTCTTCTCTCTCTCTATCTCTTTATCTCTGCGTGTGCGTGTTCCTGTGTTTACTTCCTCTTCCTCCTCCTCTTCCTACGCCAGCCGGTCAGCCACCCAGCCATCGCACACAGCAATAATAATAACAATTATTATTATTATTATTATGTGTTGGATTGTTTCACGTCTCTCTTTGTCATTGCCGGCAAATTAATTGCTAATCATTCTCTTCTCTTCCACGCCATTTTTTTTTTTTATTATTTTGCGGGTAAGTTTTCCATTCCTTCCCTTCTTTTTAAACATTTATTTATTTACAACAATCATATAATTACATGGGAGATGGCTTTGCTTTACTTTCCTTTCCTTTCCTTGCCTTATTAGATCAAGATTTTTTGTTTTTTATTTTTTTAATTATACAATTCTGAATCAGATTGAATTTGTTCTTCATTTTATTATTTCACTTTCGATCAACATTTATCCATCTATCGATCTATCCCAATCGGGTTGATCTGATCTGTTGCTTTCTGTTTCCTTTATTATGCCTTGATCGTTCGTTAATCCATCCATTCATCGCCATTTTGTTGATTTTTGCTCTCACTGGTTTTTTTTCGTTCTTACATAATTCTACTGCATGCTCGCATAATAATAAAGAGCAGAGCTACACAATCCATTCTTAGCTCCATTTCTTCTTACTCCTCAACCATTTGCCTTTTTTTTGTTTAATCAAAATTAATGTTCTTGATTATCACTAACCTCAGAATAGAGTAGAGAAGAGAAGAAAATTGTGGTTTTCTCGTATTGATTGAAGGTCATCTGAATTTCTAAGTTGGGTTAGCACCATGGATATGCATGGCCATTCTCAGCATGATTCTGGAAAACTAGAACAAATTATTTCCCAGTTTCTATTGAAGAGCTTGCACATCATTTTGGACTCTAGGATTCCTTCTCTTCATCCCCATGATCGGAGTGGGGACCTTTCTTCCATTTCTCCTGTTAAAAAGAGCGACAAATGGTTCAATTTAGTTCTTGGAGACCGCCCTGCTGCTCTAGATAACTTGAATTTTTGGCACAGAAATCTTATGGATCCAATGATAATTGATGTAATACTTGTTCACCAAACTTCTCCTGCATCTTCATCTATGGACAATCTGTATGCTGAGCCTGGGACATCTGTCGAGACAGTTATAGAGAGGTGGGTTGTTCACTATGAGTCCCTGCGGGTTATGCCTCCCCAAACTGGTGAAAGTTCCGCCTCCTACAAGAAGACATATAAGAAGTCAATCATACTTTTACGCTCTCTTTATTCCCATATGAGGCTTCTCCCAGCATATCGGATCTTTCGCCAGCTAAGCTCATCTAATCAATCTTACAATTTCGATATCATCTACAAAGTTTCTTCATTTTGCGAACCCTTCTCTAGGGCAGATGAGGAAGTAATGAAGGAGCTCAGTTTTGTCCCTGTTGAGGCCCTGCCTGGCCGCCTTTGTGTATCCGTGACCTATCGTTCAACACTACTATCTGATTTCAAGCTTGAGCCCGTCACAACGATGCCACCAAAGATTATAATGGACTATGTTGGTAGCCCTACCACTGATCCTCTTAGGTCTTTCCCCTCTTCAGAGAAGGGAGTTGGTGCTACATCCTTTCCACTGATAGGAATGCAGACTCCTGTTTCTTCTCCTTTTCAACGCCCGCATAGCTGGTCAAGTGGTTACCATAGAGCAGCTCATCTGATGAACCAACCACTGGGTGGATCACCACCAGCTTATCGCACATCTCGCATGTCATGTGATTTTCCATCTCCTCCTACTGATATCTATGGTCATAGAGCCCAAAACTATAGACCACCAACTCCTCAAAAGGGTAATTGTTATGATGAGTACCAGCTTTCCCCTCCATTCTCACCATTGATGTCCCCTTCTACCCCAACACACTTCTACAGTGGTAGTCCTGTGCTAGCTCACGTTACTTCAGAAACTGCCCCTGTAACCATTCCATTTCCTATATCAGGCAGAAGTTCTAGGTACCTTTCTCCTAACTTTTCTGATTCAAGCAGGCATTCTCTTCCACCTTTATCTCCCAGAAGCACAAGGCACGACTCGTCATCACAGGAGTCTCCCTCTGGAATTCGATCAATCAAGAAATCAGAAGCTATAAGGTTTTCAGAGTTAAACTCTGGCAACGTAAATCATTGTTCTGGTCAAAAGGTAGTCTTTGCTCTTTTCAACCTGTTTTTTAAGGGTTTTTGTTCCTGCATACAAACTGCATCTATATAATTTTGTTCTGACTGATGAGGCTAATTTTAATTGTTTTGTAGCTGCTCAAAGATAGCAAAGATGATTCGGGGCGGTTCTCAGGATTGTTATCTTCTAGCGGCTCTCCACGCTTTGGTTTTTCTAGAAGTTCAAGTAGATTATCTTTCCAAGACGACTTAGATGATGATGATTTCTCGTGTCCTTTCGATGTTGATGATGTTGATACATCAGATTCCCATGCCAGGTACTTACCTCAAACTTTCAGCAACGATGAAATTGCAGTCACAATCAGTGGTTGCCTAGCTATATATGAAGTGATTCTGAATCCCTGTGATCAGTTTTTATTCCAATATTTTATTCACATGCAGATATTTTCAGTATGAACATCTCTGCCATGTTGGTTGCGTGTTTAGTTTGGATCTATTTGGTAAAGCCTTCCAAGTGGTCTCTAGATTGCATGAAATACTTCTTCTGGGAAGATAGTTTTGTTGTTGCAGTTTGTTTCAGTTTTCTTGGGTAGTTTTGTTATAAAGTTCACCTATATTGTTGTTTCTTTGTTTAAGTTGAGCGCGATGTGGAATGCTCTGTTTGAAATCACGTCTTAACTTCATAAAGGTTTACTCTGTTTATGCCGATGGCTTTCAAATATTTTGACAGTTATCTAAGCTAACAGTAGTATGAGAATTTGTTAAGGGAGACCTAAGAAGAAAACTGGTAGTAGGAAAAGTGAAGTTTAAATGGAGAGGAATTGTTCAGTATGTCCGGGAGTTGTACTCTTCCCTCTCGTAAAAACATGGGACTCATTAATTATTTTCATGGTCGGTCCCATGTTTTTGTGACAGGGAGGAGAGTACAGTTGCTGTTATACCTCATAATTTCTCTCAAATGCAAGAATACTTGATGCTTTCTCAATTGAATATGAGGAAGACTTTTTATCTGAAGAAAAAAAAAAAAAACTAGCAACAATGGAACTGAGCAGACTTTATATTCAAACACCCATTTACTACGACATACAAAATTGAAAAGCATGCAGAACTCTTTTAATTAATGATACCAAAAGAACTGATTATTAATTAAGCAAAGCAAATCCGATACCAGTTTATCCTTGACGTTTAGAACCCAACTTTGAAGATCATGTTTGCTTTTCCAACATGAAAAATTTATTGCTGCATCATTTTCTTCTTGTTAGAGAAAACTCAACCTCAAGTTTCCAAGCGGGGAAGTATTGAAATTCCTCGAGGTTTTACTTGCTGTCCTACTGGAGAAGCACCCTAGGCTGAGTATATGGAACTTGTTGTCTGCTTAAATGTCAATGCTTCTTCATCTTTAAGGCTAAATTGAGTATAAGCTAGAAAATTTTCTATCATCCTTTGGTTGCTTAATATGTTCTAATGGGTTTAGATCACAATTGCAAGTCACACAAGAGGGATCACCGGCTTCATGAGTACACACTGTTTAAGTTTAAGCAAATGGTCCCTGATGCACATATTTCATCAAAAAAATGTGTTCAATGAACTAAGATTGTAAGTTTATAAAAAATACCTGACGTGCCTCATTATATGGGCATATGACTCATCTTCAGAATAATGTTCTTGGAGGGTCTTGGTAGTACTAGTTACCGTTCCTTTATCACCTTGGCTGCTTTGTGATTCTTGTCCTTTGATGGCCAACCACCCATGTATGTGGATCAAAGAAAGATAGCATAACTTGTTGGCAGTTTGGCACAACCTGCTCCGTGATTCCTCCCCATGATGAAATTGAGAGAACCACCATGGGGGATTCATCATTTTGTTTGTGCATTTGCTTGTTATGCTCTCAAGTTCACCTGTTTATGAAGCTTTTCTTTTCAATCCTGAGATTTTGAGGTTTAATGGTTTTGCTGCTGGTTCTTATTTCTAATTGTTTTTTTTTTCATCACCATAATCTTCGGTTTGCATTTTCTTTTGAGTATACAGTCAGAACCTTGATGGCAAGAAAAATCTGGAGTCCAGTTCCCACACTGCATCAATAGGGAAAAAATCCCAAGATGCTGCTGTGGGTATCCTTGTTCACATGCTGAGGACAGCTCCTCCCCTGCGTCAAGATCCAAGTTGTTACTCATCCCAGTCCTTGAGGACTGACATCGAGGAAGGGATTGGCACAGCTTCTGGGTTTTTTATGCCAAGAAAGACAGCAGATGCACTGGAAGAGCTCAGGAGTTACAGAGATATGAAAGACTTGCTACTCTCTAAGAGTGGAACTCGGGTGGTCACCAAAGAAGAAGCTTAACCGTAGCTGGTTTTGGTGGGTTCATTTGTGTTAGAGAGACTTTGATTTAGGAAGGGAAGGTACACGAGGGAATTGTTCTAATCAAAATAATTAACAACATAAGCTCCACCATAGCACAGTTAATTTACATTTATAACATAACAGACCATTTTGTGAAGAGAGAAATTAACATATTATGTACATATCTTTTATGACTGAAATTTGTAACATTGATTAAGCAGATCACTGCATTTAGTGGTTGCTGCCTGCTATTCTCTCTCTTTCATAATACGCCTATGTGGGAACTGCAAAGAGGAAAATGTGTTTCAGGAACCAAGAATAAAGTTGTGCGGGGAAGGTAAGCAAGGTAAAGAAGACATTGTGAATTGTCAAAAAGTTGGGAGACCTGTGGAAACCTAAACAAACGAGTTCTAACAGAGTAATGATCAAACGTTGGTCAGTTACGGAGCTTGTATTGGTTCCGTACCGTGGGGTCAATTAAAACAAGTTCTCCAAGGAAAGAAATGACGAGTAGAAATTAAGATTAAATAGGTCAACTGTTTTTATATAATATTTCGAATCTCAAATCTATTTTATGTTTTTAATATGTAATTATTTTTTTTTATTGAAATACCTTAGATTAAAATGTGAAAAAGAAAAACACTTGAAGTAAAATGATTTGTATGTTTTATTTTAAAAGTTTTTAATTTTTTGTAATTATTTCAGTAAGAAATGCTTGGATTTACTGAAACTTAATAAATACAATTAAAAATATATTTAAATATTTCAATCTATTATTGAAGTATGGATTGCCTATTTACCAATAAATTAGTTCTAAGAATTTGTGAATTGGAGGGTAGGATGAACAGCCAACCCTAAATCTCAATTTGTTATATGGCAATGGAGATTTAGTCCTTTTTGACATGATCTTCCTTAAAGTTATATCCTTCACATGAAAGAATAAATTCCAGATGCCCAATTTTGTACAGGCTTCCTCCTTGTGAAGATTATTTTCTCATTGGTTTCAACTTAATATCGGAGAGTTTGCATGAAAAAAATCATTTCATTGTGTCATTAATCCATTGGAAAAAGGGACATTTTGGCCTTTGTTTTTCTTTATTTTTTATTTTCAGAAATTTAAAGAATAAATGCACTAGTATTTTATTCGTCATCATTTCAAACATGATTCGGAGTATTAATTAAAAATAAATAAATAAATAAGCCAACACGGAGTAGAGTGGAAGGCGAGCAGTCCTGCAGTAGGCAATAGATTGGGAACATACTTAAAATAGGGATTTCTCGTCTTCTACTTCTTCTTCTGCCACTTCGCATGTAAGTCTGCTGTGCTGTGTTGTGCCGAGCTGGTGATATGTCCTATTGTTCGTTGTTCTTTTTAAGGTTACACTAATTGCTGCCTGCTACTCTACAATCATATCATGCATCCGAAATGAGGAGAATATAATTGAAGAAAATGGATTCTTTTGCCGAGTGTCCCTTTTGTCATCTAACCCTTCCTCCGTCACAACTTCAAAGGTAATTATTCCCTTTGCTTCCTTCCTTCTTTCTTTGTATTTCATTTGCGTTTTGAATTTTACTCTCCCTCTCTCCATTTTTTTCATTTAAAAAAACACATTTATTTGATTTGATTTGATTATGCACAAATAGCAATATATATTCGATGGTGGATGCAGGCATGCCAACAGCCACTTTGAAAAGGATGATGATGCTGTTGTTGTTGACACTGAAAAGGATGAGCAACTTGCAAGGGACCTGAAATTGGCCCAACAACTTTCTATTGCTCCCCCATCTTCTACATCCACACTCCAAGATAACAACACTATGGGTGAGAAGATTTCTTGTTTGATTGCTTTGCAGAATAGGAGCTCCTTTTACCATGTCAAAACCCCTGGTGGTTTGATCTCCTTGCTGTCCAACTGTTTCGAACTAGATGCTGATGCTAGGTACTCCACGGTCTTATTGTCTGGCTATGTTGACCACTTTCAGACCTTGCATTCTGAAGATGTTGGATGGGGTTGTGGTTGGCGCAACATTCAAATGCTTAGCTCCCATTTGCTTTCCCATAGACAAGATGCCAGAGAGGTTTTGTTCGGTGGGTCTGGTTTTGTCCCTGATATTCCCTTTCTTCAGAGGTGGCTTGAGATTGCCTGGGAAAAAGGTTTTGATCCCCTTGGCTCTCATCATTTCAACAATTCTGTCTATGGTTCTAAACATTGGATTGGGACTACTGAGTGCGCTGCCCTTTTTCGCTCTTTCGGCCTTCGTGCTAGGATTGTTGATTTTGGTCCTAAGGAATTGCAAAGCTTTTTTCTTTCTGTTCCCGGTACTAGTCTTGCCTCACCTGTTATGACAGCGAATGCAGGAGGCAAGAGAAAAGCCTTCCAAGTTTATGGACCCATGGATAGATATCTGCTGGGCCGAAATGGTGCTGTTTCGCAGCTAGATTCCGTTGTGAATGACAAGTCTCAGTTGTCTACCGGCTACATGGCTGGTGGAAGTGATCATTCTGTGGCTAATAAATTTCCAAGGAAGAATGAGGGTCATAAGGTTCTCCTCGATTGGGTGTGGAATTATTTTTCAGAGGAAAGCTTAACCATGTCTGCCCAAAACCAACATGTTGTCATTACCAACAGACCGTAAGTTATTCTTCCATGCATTTTTTTTTTTTGTGTTTTCCACCTAGTTTTATAAATGTGAAAAATTGTGTTTCTGGAATTGATTTAAGTTGTTGATAACATTATCAAGCAGACCCTTGTACTTCCAACATGATGGTCACTCAAGAACTATTGTTGGGATTCAAGTAAGACGTCAAGAGAATGCAGTGCTGCAGTACAACCTCTTGATTTTGGACCCTGCTCATGTAAGTAATAAACCTCCTGCATTTCTGCTTGATTCTTGAACATATAATAAATGACACCGAAATATTCAAAGCTTTAGCATGCTTCCCTATTCATGTCTTACAGTAATTTTTTTCTTATGGAAATCCTGTTTGGCATGTGCATTGAATCTTGCATTTAACCTGTGTCCTGTGTTCGACTGCGTTCGTCATGCTCAGCTAATTTTCTGGTTCCATCTTTCTTCCTCTTTGGCCTTAATTATAGCCTTTCTATCTTCATACATTTCTGCTGAGAATTTGTTGTCACCTAAATTGTGGAAAGGACACGAATAGTATAATTTAAGGTTTCTGAAATAATTTGATCCAAATGACAATTTTCAGTTTTGAAACCTTTGTTGAACATAGACAGGACAATTGAGATTGTGGAGATGGTGCAAATATTTTCTTGTATTTTTCTGCTGTATTTATTAGGTTTTATTCTGTATTGCAAAAATAGAGAACTGTAGCTCTAGAAAGATCACTTAAAGAAAATGCTGGATGGAAGAAGCTAATTAAAAGAGGAGTTCATACATTGAAGAAGCCCCAGTACCAGGTTCTACTTCTCTACTTAACCTTTCTTTTCTCTCCTTGTTATTTTGTGCGGAAGCTTCACATTATGTTTTTCTTCTTCTTTCTTTCCAGTTGTGCTACATTGATCCCGGGATAGCAATTGGAGATGAGATGGAGCAGCTCAAGAAAATAGATAGTGTCTTCATTGAATTTTAGAAGAATATTTCGAAGTTCTATGCTTCTCTTTTATCCTTGCTCATTGGTAAATGAAATCTTATCCTTCTCTTTTTGATGATGAAAATGAAAACAGGCACATCTATACCATTCTTTGACTTGTAGTTACTAGTAGATATTGTTCCCTCAGTAAACTGAGGTATATGATGGAAGAGGAACATCAACTTCATGTTAAGTTCTGGAGCTGGTGTAATCTCGAATATACTCCATCAGATGCCACTATTAGAGCCGAGTGGCTACCCATCTCAACAATCTCACCTTTATCCATTACGACTATAGCATCTGAGTTTTTAACTGTAGAAAGCCTGTGTGCAACTGTAATCTGTGTGGTTGTGTATCCTGAGCCCCTGTTGTCATTCAGGTTTATTGATCCCAAAGCATTCACTATAGATCTTTCAGACTCAGTGTCGAGGGCACTCGTTGCTTCATCCAGGAGCAAAATTGCAGGCCTTTTTAGTAGGGTTCTAGCAATGGCTATCCGTTGCTTTTGTCCACCCGAAAGTTGGCAGCCCTTCTCCCCTACAACTGTATCATATCCATCAGGCAAATTACTCACAAACTCGTGTATATTTGCGTCCCTTGATACCTTCACAATTTCAGTTTCAGAAGCCCCTTCATTCCCGTAGATGATATTGTCTCTGATTGAGGAGCTAAAAAGAAGTGGCTCTTGTTGCACCCACCCTATTTGTCTCCTCAACTTTCTCAGATTGTATTCTCTTATATCCTTCTTATCAATCAGAACCCTTCCTTCCCTAGGATCATAGAATCTTAGCAGAATGGCCAAAACTGAGGACTTTCCAGATCCGCTTGGCCCAACAAGCGCCATCTTTAATCCAGCTTCAATTTGTAAGCTGAAGTTGTGGAGAACTGTCACTTCTGGTCGTAATGGGTAGTTAAATTGGATGTTCTGAAATTCAATTCTTCCCAAGATCTTTCCAAGATCTGGGTTCTCTGGAACATCTGGTTCAATTTCAGTCTTCCGGTCAAGGGTTTCGAATGCAGGAGTCAGTACACCAATGGCAGAGATGACAGTGGGAATCAGTGTCCATAATTCTGTGATTGAAGGTACTGTAAGAGAGAAAATCTGGTATGATCTTATGCTGTCTAAGAAGGTGGCTTGATGTTTATCAACTAAATGTGTTGTGTACCACAGAGCAACTGCATGTGCAATATTCCATAAACAAAGGGAGACGCCCTGAATGAGCCCATACTTAATGCTTTCTTTCCTGCTCCTCCTCTTTGGATTTTCCAGACATATCTCGGCTTTCTTGAGAATTTGCTCTTCATGGCAAAATGATGCAATGGTTCTTATGTTGGCTGTGGACTCAGAAGCAAGTTCAACAAGTTCATAATGTGCAGCAGCAGAGTCACCTGAAAATCCTTTGGCAGACTTGGCTTGAATTAGTCCACCTATGAAATGGCAAGGCATCACTGCCCAAGCTACCAGACCCATTCTCCAGTTGACAAACATGCTAACAATTGTTGCAATCAGAATGGAGGAGAGACATTGGACAATTACTGACATGCGATCAGAAATTATGACTTTGACCTTGGAGGTATCATCGATGATCTGAGAAGTAAGTGAACCAACACTGTTCTCAGGTTTCTCAAACCATGCCAATTCATTGCGTAGAACACCTGTAAAAGCAGGCTTAATTTGCGCACTTATGGCTTGGCAGTAATGGAGATTGATTAATGGTGATGCAAGGTTATTAAAAAAAAACATTTAAGTGATGATGCAGGTACTAATTGCCATAATTGATACCTGAATATAAAGCTTGTCTGAGGTTGGTCATTGCCTTCTCTCCAACTACTCCAAAGAAGTAGTGCTGCAAGGTGTGCGTGAATAATGAAAGGAGTCCTATTAGAGAAAACATGATTGAATACCAACCAACTATGCGCGCTGCATGTTTCTTGTAGTATGTTACTCCAACTGTTATAATGAAGTATCCGAAAAAGGGCTTTGAGATACCAGAGAAAGCTGCTGCAACAGAGCCAATGGCCGTCTTTACAAGATCTTTATGTTCCAAGCCAAACCATATTCTGAAGAATGGAGTAGCTTCCTCTCTATCTTTCTTGTCCTCTTGCTTCAGAGGTTTGGGAATGTGCTTGTCCGGATCTTTACGTTCTCCATGTTGATGAAGTTCTGCAGATAAAAGCTTTTGGTTGGTACTTGCTGGTTCTTCAAAATCTGCAGTTCTGTCATATGGTTCACATCATTAAATTAGACTACTTCTATTACTGAATTTATGCTAAAGGAAGAGAGGCTAACCAACCTTGTGTCATTAGCTGGGCTGATGTTCTGCATGCTAAAAAGGTTACTATACACCTTACTGGTCCCTAGTAAGCTGCAGTGTGTTCCCGTCTCAGTAACTTGTCCGTTCTCTACAATTGCAATCACATCTGCATTAATAATAGTTGACATCCTGTGTGCAATCAAGACGACTGTTCTTCCTTGCATAGCCCTCTCAAGGGCATCTTGAACCAGCTTTTCTGATTCTGAATCAAGTGCACTTGTGGCTTCATCAAGCAAAAGAATTGGAGGATTTTTGAGAATGGCTCTTGCTATGGAAATTCTCTGCTTTTGACCCCCGGATAATTGGAATCCCCTTTGGCCCACCTGATTGTTGTCATTTTTGTCGCATAGAACAATTTCAATACAATGGATCTCTTTTCTAGGGATAAAAGAGAGCTATAGAAACAAGATGGTAGCATTGAAATTACAGGGGTTTCAATTTAAGTATTCACAGGGATGTTCAATCTGCAGGAACAGATTCTATCTGTGTTCCCTTGTGTTTCGTGGCTTAAAGCTCATGCTCATGGTGATTTAAGTGAAATAATTTCATTCTAAAATTCAGGTCTTCATCGTCTCTGTGCTCGCTGTGTTGTATAATTGTTATGTGATTATATATATCTATAGCACAAGTCGGTAATAATATCAAAGCTTTGCTGCAATGGCTCTTGTGTATGAGAAAATGTTCATACTAATCACTGAAAATTCTGATTTGGAGGCTATATATGTTGTAAAAAATGAACCAAGATGCATTGGTAATTAAAATATATAGTGGTTCTTATAGAGCAACTCGATTGGGAGTAAGTCAATGACCTCTGTTGAGTACCGATTTGGTAGTTCAGAAATGAAGGAATGTGCATTTCCCATCACAGCTGCGTTTTCAATCTCTTGATCATCAGCACTCATGTTTCCTACCATTAAGTTATCCTTGATTGTCCCTGCAAAAAGGGACGGTTCTTGGGAAACTGCTCCTATGTTCCTTCGCAGAAATTTCAAATCAAGATCCTTAATATTATGATTGTCGATGAGGATCTCCCCTGCGCAGCAAAGGGTTGCACATTTTGTTAGGCTTGACAGAGATCAAATTCAATCATATACTTTCATGAAAAGCATCCATTCATTCCTGTGATCATGCATTTAAACTTGATGCGAATAACATTAATTTAGGGTTTTGGATGTATGCATACGTTATGCATATATCCGTATGTGTGTGTGTATATATATATATATCAATGGTTTTGAAGTTAGTCTTTCATTGAATTGGAGGAGCTGCAAACCTCTGGAGGGATCATAGAATCTTTCGATTAGGGAAATAATGGTACTCTTTCCGCATCCACTACTTCCCACTAACGCAATCATTTTTCCAGATGGAATTGACAATGAAAATCCCTTTAGTATCAGTGCGTCCTGCCGGGTTGGGTATGAAAAGTGTACGTCACGTATGTCAATATTGCCATCCATTCTATCGAGAGTCTTCCCTTTTGAATCATAAGTTATGTGAGGCTTCCTTTGGATGACCTCGAAAACTTCATTTCCTGCAGCTTTTGCCTGATTGAAGATTTGCATGTCTGGAGCAGCATAAGTGAGTGCTCTGCATGTTGATCAAAATAAGTTATCTCTGTCTATGCATTTGAATAATAAAACTAGGTCGGTTCATCTGTTTTTCATCAGGGATTGGATCCTTCCACTACTTACATAGCTCCAAAGAGAATGCTCATAATTGTAGCTAAGACGTCTCCGCCTTGTGCCCTCTTGGATTTGACTGCAATGGCACCAACCCATATGATGATTGCCCAAGAGCAGAACGTTACTGTCTGAAACATTCCTATTCCAACTCCTTTTACCAGTGCTTCCCCTCTGCTTATAGAAAGCTGTTTGGCCATGCTCTCTGAAAAAGTTTTGATTGCATAACTCTCCCCAACAAATGCAAAAACTGTTCTGATTTGAGCAATGGTCTGTGGTATATATATGATGAGAATTAGTAGGAAACAACTCAATAAAACAACATTAATCATATTTACGAAAACTAATAGCTTAATTAATTTGTCTTACGCAGTCATGAACTGGATATATATGCACGTACTTGTTCAACCATAGAGGTAGCTTCTGAAAGGTAAAGCACTTTAGCAGTTGAAATAGTGTTCATTTTCTTGGTATAAGTGGCTCCAATCACAAGAATCATAGGAAGAACTATTAAGATAAGCAGTGTCACTTCCCAACAGCATATTGCAGCAATTAAGATTCCAGAAAAGAAAGTTGCAAAGCTCGACAGGAAATGGCCCAGCTGCACACACACACACATAGACGATCAGTGATGAGAAATTATATCAGCACCATAACTTTGTTTTTTGGACAGTAAAAGTGAAATTGATCGAATATATATGTACGTACCTTCTCCCCAATTGCGTCTTGTATGATGCTCATGTGGTTAGTGACTCCAGTGATGACTTTTCCACCTGTTAAATCCGTATCGAAAGCCCCAATGTCCTGGCTAAGGACTGCTTTAAGGAATGCTAATCTTAATCGTGCTGACTGCCTTTCACTTGCATACATCCAGCATCCGACCTCTGCAAATTTAATTAATTCCAAGTGTACATGTACGTGAGTATGCATATTATAACATATACGAAAACAGAATATGGTTTCATTAGCTAAGCTTTTGATACAGTGAAACCAAAATAGCATTGTTTTGGGTTTTTTAATTTTTCTAAAAAACAATGGGTGATTTTTTTTCAATTTATCAATATTTTATATTTTGATTCTCTTAGTTATTAGTTTATATAAAACAATTTCAAATTTTAATTAATATTACCAAAAAGTCCCTATAATTTTTTTCATTAATTATTATTGAATCAAAATATTTTTTTCCACAATCAATGGTTACTTTCTTTATTTTTGTAAATATTCATTAACTAAAATTAAATATTCTTCTAATATAAATTGATTAAACACCTCCTTCTAATTTGATTTTTTAAAAATAAATTATTAATTGCATGTATTTTTTATCTATCAAAATAAAAAATATTTCTACGAAATATTTAAATTCAATTATATATATATATATATATTAAACAAGTTTTTTTTTACAATGAGTGTTAATTAATTTTTATTTTATATTTATATTTTTAAATTATTTAAAATATTAAAACATTGATATAATAAACTTATCTGTGGCGGGGTGCGGGTATTGAGCTAATATTATAACATATACTAAAAGGAAATGAGGTTTCACTGTAGCTAAGTTCCTACTACAGTGAAACCAAAACGACGTCATTTTGTATCTTTTTAGACTCAAAACGACGCTGTTTTCCCAAAAAAAAAAAGTGATTTTTATCAATTTTCAGGATTTTACACTTTGGTCATCGAAGTTATTATTTTATATAAAATAGTTTCTAATTTTAATTAATATTACCAAAAGGTCCCTATCATATATATTTTTTTTTGACTGGGTTTTTTTCATTAATTATTATTTAATCAAAAGAAATTTTTTTCCCCATCATCAATGGTTACTTTTTCTATTTTTAGAAATATTCATGGACTAAAATTAAATACTCTTCTAATATAAATTGATTAAACAAGTCCTTCTAATTGGATTTTTTAAAAATAAATAATTAATTGTATATATTTTTTATCTATCAAAATAAAAAATATTCCTAAAAAATAGTTAAATTCAATTATATATATATATATATATATATATATATATATTAAATTAAATTAAATAAATTTTTTACAATGAGTGTTAATTAATTTTTATTTTATATTTATATTTTAAAATTATTTAAAATATTAAAACATGGATATGATAAGTTACTCGCGGGTATTGAGCTAGCATATCTCTATAAGAGAACAAGAAGCTAGTCGCCTGGAGGGATCAGGCTAGCCAGCGAGATACAATTTAAGATGCATGGAATCAACTTACCCAGTATTCCAGCTGGAAAGGTGGCGATGGCCATGTACCACACGAACGGAATTACCTGTAATAGATATATAGATATATACACATTTTGATGAAAATTTTTAGATAGATATTGATTATATATATATATATATATATATATATATATATATATATACAAGTTTGCATGGAAATTAATGGGAGATTCATGGGAACATTCCATATATATACCTTGTTCAGGGCTTTAACCATTGCATCATCGTCCCCGATGTTGTTTCCAAATGCATTGAGGGCTTTACCTAGCAAGAGATACCCTATGGGTTGAGCCATGCCATGGACGATAGAACCCAAGGTTCCTAGTGCCATAAGTAGCCAATCTACCGCATCAGCATAGCTCAACAGCTTATGAAATGGAAAAGGTTTATCAATGATCTTCTTCTCTTTCTTTTCGTTCTCATCTACAACAATACTATCATTATTACTCTTGTTTTCCTCCACCTCCATCACACGCACTTGGGGCTGTGAGGACATCTTCACCATTTCGCTAGCTTTGAGTAATTCTACCCTCCGCTAGACTACAGAACTGGAGATGCACTGGAATTATGTTACGGATAATAAATAGCTAGCCAGGAGTATAAAAATATACATACGAGTATATTTAAATTCTTATTTCACGATAACCAATGTGCAATAAGGAATATGTTGGGGGATATCCTGGGATGCGGGGGAAGAGAGTGGAGTTTTGCTGTTGGTGGCATTTCTTAGGTTTTGTTCACGTCATCGAAGCCAACTTTCTGCATAAAACATGCACAAGGGTCCAAGATATAAGAAGTTACAAATTGATTTTTCATATATATATACATACATTATTAATTTTGAGTTGAATTTTGCATATGGATGGCATCCATCCCCTGCTAACTGAAATGGCAAACTTTTTTTTGCCGCATAAGACAGACAGCAGTACTGTTCATTATCACTGATCTTCTCACCAGAATTAAACAAAGAAAATTAATTTAGTTATATATATATATAATGAGTACCTTGTAATCAATCCATTCGGGTACCGTGGAATATTTAGTGTTGCTTCATAAGTTTAAATGTTGTATCCAGCATCTAAGATAATCTATTCTTCAGAATGCATCAAATGGATATTCGAAATGAATCCTTAAGACCGATCACTCGAAAGTAGAATCTAGTTTCGTGGAATAATATTTAATTTATTGTTGCTTAATACGTTAAAATTTTATGTCCAGCATTTAAGATAATATATTCTTCAAAATACATGAAACTAAGAGGCCCAAAAAGAAAAAGCTTTTGATTTCTTTCCATATTTTAGAGAAGAAGAAGAAGAAGAAGAGGTGCAAGTACAATATACAATTCTACTTCTTTCTCTACTTCCTTCGTCACAATATACACCTTCTCTGTCTATTTTTTATTTTTACAAGATAGATCAAGTGAAAGGTCTTAGAAAGTGAAAGACATAAGAGATATTTATATAAATGCTAAAGAAGTTATCCTTGATTTTAATGACTTGTATTGTTTATTTACAAATAACGAACTATTAAATTTTAATGAAACTATTAAAAATAGTAGATGAAAACAAACCATAGATGAAGATATTAAAGTAAATACTTAAGAATTAACAGCTCTTTCCAAAAGACACGAGACTATTAGAGTTAAGTTATGTAAGAAATGAACCGTCAAAATCATTCGAAAAAAATAAATTAATTTCGTGCAAACATGCCAAGAATATACATAGAAATTCATATGTTTTATATGCAATAAAAATTAGGACGTATGTTTTACTATATTTTAATAGATGCTAGAGCCAGATGGTTTCGTTCGTAGACAAAATATGCTATACAAAAGGCATCATTTTATATTATTATTATCATTATCAGCATAATAAATGCAATGGCCCCTTCTGGATTAGCCGTTACCATGTGTCCGGTTATAAGGTTTTAGGCCTTTGGGGCTTTTTCTAGGAGAATAATGGGCTTAATGAATGGATAAATTTAGACCATTTCTTCGTAGCTGTTATCTTAATTCTTGGCCCATGAAGCCTGAGAATATGTACCCCCAATTTTTCGATAGCGTCCGCGTTACCGGAGTCTACCTATACTGTAGAATGGTTTTCCACGATAATAGATCCAATACCAACTAAAATCTCATTGCAATTAACATCCAATAAATTTATCGCATTTATCCAACCCAAACATATATATACCCGATGCATGTTGATTTGAAATTTTTAATTGTAATGAACTTTAAAAAGAAAAATATTACAAGTTATGTAATAAGATTAAATATTTTTATTTATGAAAGACTTAATTGAAAGATAATTGAATTATAAACGAAACATAATCTAATTTTTATGAAAATTTTAATTGTAATGGACTTTAAAAAGAAAAATATTACAAGTTATATCATATGATTTAATATTTTTATCTATGAAAGACTTAATTGAACAATAATTAAAGTATATTCTTCGCAGCCCAATATTTGTTTTAAAAGAGGTCAATCAGGGCCCAAACTTGAAATACGTACGCCACAGACAAAACATTGGCTTTTTCTTTCAGAATTAATGGGCTTAATGTATGGATAAATTTAGACCATTTCCTCGTAGCTGTTCTCTCTTAATTCTTGGCCCATGAAGCCAAGAATAATTAAAAAATATAATCTATTTTTTTAATGAAAATTTTAATTGTAATGGACTTTAAAATGAAAAACATTACAAGTTATATCATATGATTTAATATTTTTATCTATGAAAGACTTAATTGAACAATACGTACGCCACAGACAAAACATTGGCCTTTTCTTTCAGAATTAATGGGCTTAATGTATGGATAAATTTAGACCATTTCCTCGTAGCTGTTCTCTCTTAATTCTTGGCCCATGAAGCCAAGAATAATTAAAAAATATAATCTATTTTTTTAATGAAAATTTTAATTGTAATGGACTTTAAAATGAAAAACATTACAAGTTATATCATATGATTTAATATTTTTATTTACGAAAGACTTAATTGAAAAATAATTAAAGTATAAACGAAACATAGACTAATTTTTATATTAAAATAAAATTTTAATAAAAATTAAACGACCTTAAAATGATTGATTTAATATTAGAGAAATTTTCCTTGGTTTATTCAACAAGTAACATGCACTATATATTTTTAAATGGAAACTTATAAACGATTATTTATTTGGTCAAAATAAAAAATTAACAATAAGCATACTGTAAAAAAAAAAAAATCTTTCAAAGTATAGTTCGAGCACTTTAAAAAAAAAATAATAATAACAAAATTGATAACAGAGTTAAGTTGAGTATTGTGTGTGAAATTTTTCAAACGATGGGTAGGAAAGAGAAACTAAGGTTTGAGTGGATTTGTGTCATTCTAAAATCATGCTTAGGTTAACTTAGAAGGAATCAAATGAGAAGATAAAATAAAATAAAATTAGTATTTATATAATCATCATCATCTAACTAATTAATTAATATACTTAAAAAAATCAAGGTGTCCTATCCTCTCTTATCTGGCAATGTTGTTTTTTTAAATGCCACGATGTTGCACGCAGATAGGATAGATAAAAATTATAAGTAGAATATAAATAAAGATCTTAATTATTAATAATAAATGTACAAGTTAATTCGTGCACCTCACCTCACGATATTGCACGCGGTTTCACAATTGAGGATCTGTATCAAATCCTAAACCTATATTGTGTGTCGGAGTCACGTCTCCATTTGTTCGAAATTAATAGTATTTTAATACTCCGTAAATCGTTGAGAGTTGATTTTTGTTAGCTGGAACAAGGGAGACCATACCGCAGCTGCGCAATTGCAACGTGAAGTTCATGTGACATTTGCTTCGTATGGTCGTGGTCATGGTTAGCCTATTTATCCACTGACTGGACGGTAATAAATAAATGCGTATTAGCCGTTACCATGTGTCAGGTTCTAAGGTTTTTGCCTTTTGGGCTTTTTCTAGGAGAATTAATGGGCTTAGTGTTTGGATAAATTTAGACCATTTCTTCGTAGCTGTTCTCTCTTAATTCTTGGCCCATGAAGCCTAATAAAATGCCCACCCAATGTGTTGTGCATCGATGTTACAGGAGTCTACCCATACTGTAGAGTGGTTTTTTTATGATAATAGATCCAATGCCAACCAAGAACGATTTACTAAAATCTCAATGCAATTAACACCCAATAAATGTATCGCATCTATCCAACCCAAACATATATATCTGTTCAATTCAATTGATTATTTATACATTTTTTTTATCAACTGAAATTGAATGAAAAAATTTACATCACTGTAAATAAAAAAATACAATAAAACATATATATACATTCTATGTTCTCGATGCATATTGATTTGAAAATTTTAATTGTAATGGACTTTGAAAAGAAAAATATTACAAATTGTATAATATGATTTAATATTTTTACTTATGAAAGACTTAATTCAAAGATAATTAAAGTATAAACGAAACATAATCTATTTTTTAATGAATTTTTTAATTGTAATGGACTTTAAAAAGAAAAATATTACAAGTTATATCATATGATTTAATATTTTTATTTATGAAAGATTTAATTGAAAAATAATTAAAGTATAAACGAAACATAGTCTAATTTTTATATTAAAATAAAATTTTAATATAACTTAAAAGACCTTAAAATGATTGATTTGATATTAGAGAAATTTTCCTTGTATTATATTCAACAAGTAGCTTGCAATATATATTTTAAATGGAAACTTATAAAACGATTATTTATTTGGCCAAAATAAAAAATTAACAATAAGCATACTGTAAAAAAAAAAAAAAATCTTTTACAGTTTTCTTGTTGAAAAAAATTTTGTAAATAATCAATTGAATTGAACATATATATATATATATATATATATATATATATATATATATATATATATTTAGTCAGAAATTTTGCATGTGGATGGCATCCGGCTCCTGCTAGCTGAAAATGCCAACGTTTTTTGCGCATGAGACAGACAGCACTGCTCATTATCACTGATCTAAACCCTAAACCAAATTAATCAAATTAAACAAAGAATTGAGGATTATTTCTTATATTAACTTGATGTATTTAATTTGAAGAATATATTATTTTAACTACTGGACATAATATTCGAACGTATTAAGCAACAATAAATATTCCACGGTACTTGAATGGAAACTAGATAGATTACTTTTTCGAGTGATGTATTTTGAAGAATACATTAGCTTCAGCAAGAGCCACCCGACCGCCAAATTCCTCGGATAGCTGCAATAACCCATTTGATCGAAAATTACTATATCCAGGAAATTAATATATATAATTTCCCTTGCCTTCCGTACAATAAAATCACAAAGCATTGGTATATTCTTCCCAGCCCAATATTTGTTTTAAAGGAACTCAATCAGGGCCCAAACTTGAAATACGGACATCACAGAACAAAACATTGGGCTAAAATGATATTTGGGCTGTTTCTCGGGCCAACTTTTTTTTTTCTATAGAGAAGGCATATTAATTCAGGATCAACGACCATTTTATATTGTTATTATTATCAGCATGATACATGCATTGGCCCTTTCTGGATTAGCCGCTACCATGTGTCAGGTTCTAAGGGTTTTGCCTTTTGGGCTTTTTCTAGGAGAATTAATGGGCTTAATGTATGGATAAATTTAGACCATTTCTTCGTAGCTGTTCGCTCTTAATTCTTGGCCCATGAAGCCAAGAATAATTAAAAAATATAATCTATTTTTTTTTAATGAAAGTTTTAATTGTAATGGACTTTAAAATGAAAAACATTACAAGTTATATCATATGATTTAATATTTTTATTTACGAAAGACTTAATTGAAAAATAATTAAAGTATAAACGAAACATAGTCTAATTTTTATATTAAAATAAAATTTTAATAAAAATTAAAAGACCTTAAAATGATTGATTTAATATTAGAGAAATTTTCCTTGTTTTATTCAACAAGTAACATGCACTATATATTTTAAATGGAAACTTATAGACGATTATTTATTTGGTCAAAATAAAAAATTAACAATAAGCATACTATAAATATATATATATATATATATATCTTTCAAAGAATAGTTCGAGCACTTTAAAAAAATAATAATAATGACAAAATTGATAACAGAGTTAAGTTGAGTATTGTTTGTGAAATTTTTCAAAAGATGGGCAGGAAAGTAAAACTAAGGTTAAAACACATGATGATACGTGATATTTACTTCAAAAATTAACTGGTCTTGCTATCTTTTCACTTAAAAGAATTGTCTGACAAAAGTTAGTTTGAATGAATTTGTGTCATTCTAAAACCATGCTTAGGTTAACTTAAAAGGAATCAAATGAGAAGATAAAATAAAATAAAATTAACATTTATATAATCATCATCATCTAACTAATTAATTAATATATTTAAAAAAATCAAGGTGTCCTATCCTCTCTTATCTGGCAACGTTGTTTTTTTAAATGCCACGATGTTGCACGCAGGTAAGATAGATAAAAATTATAAATAGAATATAAATAAAGATCTTAATTATTAATAATAAATGTACAAGTTAAGTCGTACACCTCACCTCACAATATATTGCACGCGGTTTCACAATTGAGGATCTGTATCAAATCCTAAACCCAAACTGTGTGTCAGAGTCACGTCTCCATTTGTTCGAAATTAATAATATTTTAATACTCCGTAAATCGTTGAGAGTTGATTTTTGTTAGCTGGAACAGGAGAGACCATACCGCAGCAGCGCAATTGCAACGTGAAGTTCATGTGACATTTAGTTCGTATGGTAATGATCATAGGTAGGACAAAAGATAGCAATAAATAAATGCGTAATAGCTAGCTAGCAGTAGCATTGACACAAACAACCAAAAAAAAACAAGTGGGCTGGGTTGGAAAAGTAAGCATTTATTATAAAAGGGACAAAAGTAGCCAGTGGCTATCAAGTACTCGCTTAACGAAAACGGCAAAATCTGCTCAGCCCTCAACTAAGTTAAACTAAGTTACATCTCTAACAACTCTCTCTAACTAGAATGACATCACCTGCTTCCTCCCTCAATAGCCAAATCCCAATGGAACACCAGAAACACAAACTGGTGTTGGATGAGGAGGAGGAAGAGGAAGTGCCGTCTCTCCAAAGCAGGCAGTCTCAGCTTCACAGCAGCAACAACAGCAACAGCAACAGCAACAATAGCACTGCTTCAGATACCACTACTCTGCTTGTCAATATTTCTTCCACCAATGGTAATGGTAATGGTAATGGTAAAGGTAATGAAAATGGTAGCCTTATTAGGAGCAGCAGCAGCAGCAGCAGCAGCAGCAGCAGCAATAGCAGTATTAATGACGACTCGGAGACTCCTAAAATAGGAGTATCATCACCGTGTGGATCTCCACATAAACCCAGCGTGGATGAGCAGAGAGCCCACAACCTAAACAGCGTTTACTTTGACCAACACCATGGTATGCTGCTACTAACCTTATCACCATTCCTCTTCTTTTCTGTATATATATTTGACCTCCCCTCCTGCTTAATTTTACTCAAATCAATAATACTTAAACTCTCTCTCTCTCTCTCTCTCTCTCTCTTCTTCAAGGACACATACAAACTATAAGGATTAAGATATCTAACAAATTATTATTTGATTTCAATTGTTGGATTGATTGCCCTTTTTTTATATAATAATCTAACGGGGATGCTACTACATTGGGTTGGACTCTGAATATGTGAATTTTTTGAAGGAAAAAAAAACACATAAAATTGGAAAAGAAACAAAAGAAATACGGTCGCATTGCATATGTCTATAACTTGTTGTTTTCCGAGACAACGTACCTCAACTGTTCCTTTTTCTTCGCTGAAGGAATATGGAAATGTCACCACTGCAATTGGACCTACTGCGTTGGAACTCCGTGGATTGATCATGTACAGAATCATAAAAAGTGCTCGCGCACACTCATAAATTTCGAAAATTTTAATCAACAGGAATCGTGTTTCCTTTTTCAAACTAAAGGTCAGTAGATTCCAATGCTTTCTCAGCAGGGGAGTGCTACTGGTTACTTACTGTTAGTGAAACTGCAAATATATGCAGTGTCCTTCACTCCTCTGATTTATAGGTTCAGGTTCTACTCTATTATATTCTAGGATGCTGCTTCATCTAGTCCATGCCAACAAATTGTAGTATAAAATTAATCAGCCTCCTCTTTGCAGCATGCTACTTTTTTGAGGTATTAAATGGTTGATTTGGAATGAATGGAGTGACTATTTGTTTTATGTTATCGTTTCTTGCTCCCAAAGTTTGCCTATCTGTAGACATCAAATTCAAGATTATTGTAAGCAGTTGTAAGAAAATAAGTTCCATTGATTATGGGATGATAACCACTTGACATTTCACTATCGTGAATTTACTACTTTCGCATGAGCCTACACTATTCTTCAGATATCTTTGTGTGTATCGAAGTTGTAATTGTGGATATTGTTTATTAATCCATGGCCTGCTGATGAAATGCTCACCTTCTGCATGAATGCAGGTCCTAATTCCATTGATGGCGTTTCTGACGTGAACTGTAGTGGGGTTACATGCTCTGTTTTTGAGACAAGTCCCGGAGATGTGGAAGTCCTTGTAAAGAATTCTGAGATTCAGAAAAGTCTGATCAAGGATGTCAACCTTCAATTAAGGGAAAATTCGGACAATGAAGGGCTTTCTGGTTCAAGTCTTACACCTTTAAAAGATACATTTGAAGAACGCAATTTTAAATCAAAATCTTCTGGCAGTGAAACTAGAGTAGCTGGAGAGTTGGACTTGATAGAAGAAATAGACCAGGAAGTGACAGAATTAGACATTGAGAAGGTGTTAGAGAAGCAGAATACTCATGATTTGTATTGCCCTAACTGTAACTCCTGTATTACCAGAAAGGTTATCCTTCGCAGAAGAACACGGAAGATTCGAAAAGCATGCCGTAAACCAAAGCATGCTAAAGCTGATGCAATTCTTCCCTCCGAGTTGGATGCCAATTTTATCTATTCAGATGCCAATTCTGCTGATTCAGCTGATGGTCCAGGCCATGATACAGCTAATATTTGTTCAAATGATTGCCCAACACCTGCAGTCGATGACAACAATTGTGATGTATTCAGATGCTTATCATGTTTCAGCTTCTTTATTCCTGCAGGTATAGTAGTGATCTCTGCTCACTGAAGAACATATCGATATGTTAATCCTTTTATCATCTTTAGCATGTTAGCTTTTTAGAATGGTGATTGATCTTTATTGCTTCCTGCTCCGTGATGTTTAGAGAGGTACTGCTTCAAGTGTCTTAACATATGGATGCTATTGCTTAGAATGAGCATTAATTAGCAACCTATAACACACTAGTTTGTCATGATGAGATAGAAGAGTCCTTTGAGTGAGTTAATGTGCAATATCACCAAAGCTTAGTCTGCTAATTTATTCTTCAGGGTGCAATTTCTTCTCTTGTTAACTTTGAGTTTGTTATTTTAAACAACATATCACTTCTGCACAATTTTTTTTTCTTTACTGTTAAATGCTTCCAACTTCAGTTTCACTTTGTTTCAATTTGAAACATGTTAGAAACTTGGGTAATAAAATCTTGATTCGGGTCCTAAGATATTTCAATTCTTAATCAAGCAAGCTGTTCAGGTGTTAGCTTCTAACTTGTATGCTTTTTGCAATGCTTTTTAGGCAGAATTTGCTTCCTTATTGGTTCAACATGATATTACTTTAATCACAATGGTATTAAGTTTCATTTAAAGAAAATGTTTCTTTGCTGATCAAAGGAAAAAAATTGATGATGAGTGTATGACATGCTTTGCCATCTGACTGATAATAATGGGTTCATGTTTGAGGGTAATTATCTTCATTATTTCTTTTCCTTTCTTTTTTATTTTCCATTTTATTGGTGCATGGGATGCCACCAATTTGGGAAGTCTTCATTTTCTGATGGATTTTCAAACTGAGGCTATCATACAAAGAAATTCTCATAAATGATTTAGGATCCAAATCCAACATTTGTGACTTATTTATGCCATCTAGGGCCATATCTGCTCTGCAAATTTAACACTTTTGTTGAATTATACAGGAAATGGTTTTAAATTGTTTCGGGTATCATCCACTGAGAATGAAAATGTCCAAGATTCTCAGAAATCAACAGCCAACACAAATTGGTTCTTCTCTATTTTTGGAACTCATAAGAGGAAAACAACCACTGAGCAAGGTAGTTATTTTTATTTAATTAACATTAATTAATTCTTTCTTGTTTATGATTCATTGACTCTTATCTCTTTTTAATTTTAAAAGAATGAGTCAATCAAATATATATATATATATATATGCTGAGAGCATGCCAATTTACATCAGGTAGTTGTGTGCAAATGTTGAAACTTATATGAATGCAAGGAATTGCACACCAAGAGAATGCTCAGATGATATGCTGTTGCAGGTAATGCTGCAGTGGACCCTGCTCAAGTCGATGGAACAAATCAGGATACCACGCCAAGCTTTTCTAACAATGTTACATCCTCAAATGGAAGTGATCGTTCAGTAATGCCACATGCTGATAGAACTATGGTTAACACTAGAGAACATCCAGATGGTTCTGATTCTAAGCCTCACCAAAGTGGAACGGAATCTCTGAATCCTTCATTAATGGAGCCTTTATTGCTTAATAATAAATCACCAGGAGTAGACATCAGGTCCAATTTTGAAGATAAAGCAATTAATGCTCTGGAAAACAAAAATATAGGTATGCACAAGACTTGGGGGTCTTGAACTAATCTCTCATTTGAATTTGACAGATCTGCATGATTGTAACTTGATTCTGCTGTTAAATTTTATTCATGAAATGTGTTTTTTTCCCCCTCAAAGCAAGAGATCAACGGTTGCAATGCCGGCTAATACTCTAGGTAGAAATATTTTCATTATTATTCTTACCTGCGAGGCTGTTTTGACACGGCAATATGATCCAGGGAATGATGTCATAGTCACCATTGAAAAGGAGCCACTAAGCCATGTAGGTTCGGAGATTGTCTGTATTGATTCAGTAGAAACCACAAGTTTGCTGAACAGTGCAAACCAGACAAATATGGGCGAACAAAGAGTTGCTGGAGTGCGTGAATCCCTGCAATGGGAAATTTTAAAAAGCATTGTATATGGCGGTTTAATAGAATCAATTACAAGTCTAGGCGTAGTGTCTTCTTCTGCTGGTGCTGGTGCTGCAACTTGTAAGTATCATCTTTTTTTTTTTTTTTTTTTTTCAATCCCTGGATTCTACTCTAACATGCAGATCAGTTATCTGAAGAAATTCAATCTAGTTTTATTATCGCTTTTTGAAATTAATTTGCTACATTTTTAATGAACTTTTGTTTCTATGGGGTACGAGGAACCTTTTTAACCCATCTGTTCCCAAAGTTCGCGTTAAGCTTCCTTTCAACAATTTATATTTCATGGCTCATATTTCTTTTGTCGTTGCTCCTTCTAGTTCAGTAGAAATTCATATTTGATCTGTAACAACAACTTGTGACTTTTCGGACCTGTGGTTTCTGCAGCGAACATTATAGCTATTGGATTGGCAAATTTGATTGGAGGGCTTTTCATAATTGGTCATAATGTGAGTAAACTTCCTTCCTTGGCAGCCCTTTTTGACTATAATGAGCATAAATATGTTGTTTTTATTATTTCCACGTAGTATACAAGAAAAGATTAAATGCGGTTAAGATATCAAGGGAACGGTGAGATGATCCGTTTCTCTTTGTTTTTGCAGCTTATGGATCTGAAAAATCTTGGTTCCAATGAAGTGAATGAGCAGGAGGATCGCTACCAAAAAACACTAGGAAGACGGGACAACTTTTCACTGCACGCAACAGTATCTGTTTTGTCGTTCCTTATTTTTGGGCTACTGCCTCCTGTGATATATGGATTCTCGTTTCGGAAGAGTGACGATAGAGATCTCAAGCTTGCAGCAGTTGGTGGGGCCTCTCTTATATGCATCATATTGCTTGCTATAGGGAAGGCCCATGTTCAGAGCAAGCCATACTTCAGCACTGTATTCTACTTTTTTAGCACTGGCGTCATAGCCTCGGGTGCTTCTTATATAGCCGGTGACCTCATCAGTAAGCTATTGCAGAAAATAAGTGGGTTTGAGTCAAGCTTGTCTTTCCCAGATCTGAAACCAACTGAGCCAGCGGCATGGGCAATTTATCGAAGTGTTGAAATCTGAACTCAGAAAGCATAGACGAAGCAGTAGATCTTTTTTTTCCTTGAAGTAATTAATGTTAAATTGTTAGTAACTTGGAACAATGTCTTCGTTGGAAATATTACTGCATTGAAATCACACAGTTATGTGATCGAAAATAACAATGAATAATAAAATGAATATAATCTTTTCAGTGACAGATCCAAGGTTCAAAATCTATTGACTTCTCTGGTGTGGAGTGTGGAACAAAAAATTGTAGTTCTTCCACCAATGTTAGCAATTTGATTAGTCTATGTTCTTTTTTCTCTAATTATTAAGTTTTTTTTATTCAAATTAATATAATTATATATTTTACTTTAAAACTATTATTGAGCTATACAAGACTATAATTTATTTTTTTTGAAGAAAAAAAGTTAAAATCTTTATTTAAAAAAAATTAATTGTTGAGTAATCTTAAAACATTCTTTTAGCAATTTTGAGAAATTTTTCTATTATATTCTTATATAAACGAAGGGAAATTTTAGAATGAAAAGTATAGTTTTATCGCTTCAAATGAAAAAAACTTGAATTGAAAGATATATTAGAGAATTGGATGCTATTTAAACACATAAAGATACAATTAAAAATATAAAGATATATCAAAGACTTATCTAGTTATATAAATATAAATTAAGTAATTTATACTATTAATTAAGAAAGCTATTTATACTATTAATTAGGATGAAAAATCAGGACATTATCTTATATATTTAGAAGGGGAATTAGTGGCTGAAGAATGCAGCCTCTGCTGTGTGACTGTAGTCCAAAACGAGTTGGTTTGGTAGAGCATCACCGTTGTTCTAATTTCTTATGTATGTATATATTCTGTCAAAAGTAATTTAATGTTCTGTCAATGTGGATAGAAAAATAGAAATTTGAAATGGCCTAAACCTCATGCTTGCAATGCACAAGTAGAATACTGACCTAAAGTTGAGAATGTTAGAAATGAGAGCTTACTATTTAATTTTTTTGAATTTTGTGCTCAACTTTACACCCTTTAAAATTATTGCTCTGATTTTGTATTTCAAACAATTATGATTTTTTTTTTTTGAAAACTTTAACTTAAAAACACTTTAAAATTCTATTTTTTCTCCATTAGCAGGCACGTTACCGTAAGTTGATGGAAAAAAAATTGAGAGGATTTTTATTATTTTTTTCTGATCAATTCCTAAACGGAAACCTAAGTAAGGAGGCACATTTTAAAAAAAATCATATTTTCTAAGAGGTCAAATCAAATATTTTTAAATTGAAATATATTTGGTTTTTTTTCCCCTTAAATTCAAGAGAATATTTTATAATTTAGTCTCTTTTTATACCTTCTCTCACTAAGCTCTAAATTCTAAAAAAAAAGGGGCCAATGGCAAATAAGCATAGAAATTTAAAAAACATCGAGGATTAAAAACAAGTTTGTTATATTACTAATTCTGACTAGTTTTATAAACTAATTAAGTCGTTAATTCTTTACGTTAAAGATAAGATTAGAAATATTTAATTGATAGCTAATGAGATTACTATAGATTTATTTGTTCAATTAAAAAAATCGATATGAATAATGTCATTTGTATTCTACTTTATTTTTCTGTTTAATAAAAGAAAGAGAAATGCATTGTCGCACCATATTTTCTTCTTTTTACCATGCCATCATACTTACTTTTTTCTTAAACACACAAACAAACTCAAAAGCTAAGCGTAATACTTAAATATTTCTATCTTAGTTCACTTGCGTTTTAACATCACCTATTTAGTCTATGTAAATAAATTATAAATTAATCCCTATATTTAAAAAAAAACAAATTAAATAGTTTTCTTTATTTGAAAAACTAATTATTTAATTCATCAATCAATATTGATCACACTTAATTTAATATTATTTTATATTTCATAAAATATTTTTTTCTCATTAATTGTTTCACATTTTTACTTATTTTTTATTTAAAAAATAAAATTACAAGGAAATTTTAAAATACAAAGAGTAAATAATTATTTTTTTAATAAATAGGATTTTTTTTTTTGAAACCAAACAAACTCATTTATAATTTACTCCAGTCCGCTTGGTAAGTATTCATCATAGAAATTTATTTTAGTTCATAGGGGAATTTTATCATTTTGAAGTTGATGTTGACATCGACAAAGCTATTTATTATGACTCGTCTAAAGCCGAGCCAAATAACAACAATACCATTAGTGAGGACGAGTGAGGATAAGCTCGACATTTCTAAATTGGGTTTGCCTCTCGAACCTTCTAGAATCGAGAAGATACTCGCCTTTTCCCATTCATGTTTGCTTCTTTACTGTGCGAAACGAATTGGCTTTCTAAAGTTTTGGTTCTAGCACTTACTCGAGAGCCAGCAGAAACTAGTAGAGAGATAAAAGAGTCTACGCCTTATTTGAACACTCGTTTGTGTCTTGGAGGAGTTTCTTATTGTTGGAAGGTGGTGGACACTCACTCCAACACACAATAGAAAAGAGAAAGGAATTTAAGAAGAAGAAGACTCGTGTTTCTAAAACTAATTCTTATTGGCTTAACTCGAACTCAAGATTACATAAGCTATTTATAGGACTTCTTACTACATAGGTTCATCCTCCCGATTAAATTCTAATACATGAATTTCAATTTACTTGAAACACACACTTCTAGATACATGAAATGAAATAATTAATGAATAACTAGATTCATGCATGGCTAGATACATCATACATGCACTAATAATAAATTTGGGATTGGTTTAAGTTTAATATTTCAACACTCCCCTTAAACTTAAACCTTTTTGAATTCCAAGTAGAAACCTTTGTCTTCGAAAGTCGTCATACTTCAAAGGCTTCGTAAAGATATCGACAACCCGGTCCATAGACTTCACATATTCCAACTCTACTTCTTTCTTCTCAATGCACTTTCGAATAAAATGATATCCGATATCGATATGCTTGTCGCGATCATGGAACATAACGTTTTTGGCTAAAGCTTGAGCCGACTTCTTGTCATTTAGGATCTTGTAGCATTCTTTTGCTCCATATGAAGCTCTTTCAACAATCTTCTTAGCCATATTGCATGGCAAGTGCAAGATGTGGCTGCAACATACTCACTCTTGCAAGTAGGGAGTGTGACAATTGGTTGCTTTTTTGAACACCAAGAAATTGCATTATTTGCCATAAAGAACACAAAACCGATAGTGCTTTTTCCATCATCAATATCTCCCACGAGTCATTGTCACAATAACCCATCAACTTGAAATCATTAGAGGATGAATAAAATATCCCAAAGTCAAGAGTACCTCTAATGTAATGAAGTATCCTCTTGGTCGCCATCAAGTGTGTTTCAAGTAGGAATCTCCATGCAATGACTCATGACTTCAATTGAAAATAGGATATCAAGCCATGTGCAAGTCAAATATCTCAAACTTCCAATACGACTTTTGAACATGGTGGAATCAACTTTTTCTTCATCTCGCCTTGATCTTGGAGAGCTTGCTCCACACTCCATCGGGGTGTTCATGGGATTACAATTAAGCATGTTGAATTTCTTTAATAACTCCTTCGTATATCCTTTTTGTGAGATGTAGATGCCCCCTTCCATCCGATTTACTTGGATTCCCAAGTAATAAGACATGAGACCCATGTCGGTCATTTCAAATTTGTTGAGCCATGGCCTTCTTAAAGTCTTCAAACATCTTTGGACTATCATCCGTAAAGATGAGATCATTCACATAGACACAAACAAGTAAGACATGTCCATTTTCTTTTTTCCATAGAGGGCATACTCATCTTGGCATTTAGAGAAACCATTTTCTTGCAAGTACTTGTCAAGTCGACTATTCTAGGCTTTTAGTGCTTGTTTGAGCCCATACAATGCTTTCTTTAGCTTTAACACCGCCTCTTCATGGCCTTTAAAAACATAGCCCACCGGTTGTTCGATGTAGACATCCTCATCAAGGTAGCCATTAAGAAATATAGACATGACATCTAACCGGTGGATCTTTCAATGATTTTGGGCAACAAATGAGATCAATAAGCGGATTGTTTCCATACGAGCAACTCGGAGCAAACACCTTTTTATAGTCAATGCCTTACTTTTTCTTATAGCCTTTGGCAACAAGCCTTTCTTTATACCTTTCGACTTCTCCATTACCATTTTTCCCGGCCTTGTACACCCATTTGACACCAATAACTTGATGATTATTTGGATGAGATACCAACTTCCAAGTATCATTCTTCTCAATGGCTCGAATTTCCTCGTCCATGGCTTGAACCCATTTCTCCTTATTCTTAGCTTCAGCAAAATTCAAAGGTTCATTCTCGATAAATAAATAAAATAAATTTGGATCTTCTAACCTTTGAGTGACATCATAAAGATCAGCAAGGATTTGGTATTTTAGGATTTTCTCATTTGAAGATGAATCGATGATGATGATCCCGGTGAAGATTAAATTGGTATGGTTCGTGGAGTAGCATCATCTTAGACTTCTTGGATGGTCACTTCTTCCTTTTCAAAGTATGGAAGAAAATCATAAGATTCTTCCTCTTTGGAGCTCCAATCCCATGATGTATGGTCATTAAACTCCACATCTCTACCGATTATAATTTTTCCATTCTCCGAGTTGAACAACTTATATCCTTTAGAATTCTCATCAAAACCAATAAGAACAATCTTTCTATTTCGATCATTAAGGTTGGATCTATCTTGCTCAAGAACATGGGCATAAGTAATGGATCCAAAAACTCTCAAATATGCAACACTTAGTTTCCATCCACTCTATGATTCTTAAGATGTCACATTCTTCAGTGCTCTTGGTTGAACTACAATTTAAAAGATAGACAAGCATATGTAATAGCTTCGGTTTGAAACTCCTTTGGCGTGCTCTTTGACTTTAACTTGCTCCTTGCCATGTTGAGAATTGTTCGATTCTTTCTTTCGATGACTCCATTTTGCTAGGGTGATCTAGGAACTATCAAGGGATGCTTAATACCATGTAACTCATGAAAAATCT